AATATCCTTCCATTTTCTTAGGTTTGATATATCCTTCCATCTTTAAAATAATATAATAATCTTCAGTTTGATATATCTTTCCAGTATCATAGGTTTGAATTATCCCTCCAGTATCATAGGCTTGATATATACTTCCAGTAACATAGGTTTGTAATATCTTTGCATTATCTTAGCTTTTATATATCCTTCCAGTATCATAGGTTTGATATATCCTTCCATTATCTAAGGTTCGATATATCCTTGCATTATCTTAGGTTTGATATATCCTTCCAGTATCATAGGTTTGGTATATCCTTCGAGTATCTTAGGTTTGGTATATACTTTCAGTATCTTTGGTTCCAGAGGCGCAACTAGGGGGGGGGGCGGCCGGGCGCGCGCCCTCCCCTAGCAACTGAGAGGGGGGGCCCTCTGCAGAATGATAAGAAAGAAAGAATGGTGAAAATCAGTATCACAGGAATAAGAAAGCCAATAGAGTTATTGTAGAAATTTTATTATACTATAGTTAGTTAAAAAGAGACCAAGAAATGGCACTGTTCTTGCACTGCAATCCTAACAAGGAGGATATCTACTGGAAACCTAGTAGGGGATGTACTCCCAACCCAGCAACCCTAACAATGAGGATATCTACTGGAAACCTAGTAGGGGATGTACTCCCAACCCAGCAACCCTAACAAGGAGGATATCTACTGGAAACCTAGTAGGGGATGTACTCCCAACCCAGCAACCCTAACAAGGAGGATATCTACTGGAAACCTAGTAGGGGATATGTACTCCCAACCCATGACCATACCAACAAGCTGCTGAAGACTAAAGCTAAGACAGAAAAGGCTGTGATTGAGAAATAAGATAAATAATGATAATAAAGATATGTACTGTAGGTATACCTATGTATACTCCATGATGTAAACTGTAATTAAAATATATATATATATATATCTGATATATAACCATATTTTATCTTTTGTAGGGTAATAAGAATGTTGCAGGACAAGATACAATTCAATTCTCCTATAACATTTAATTTATTAAAATATAATTGGTTAAGCAAAAATGTTTGATTTTTGGCAAAATTTGTTTTAAAAACAAAGCAATATGCAAAAAACATGCTCTTGCGTTACCTAGGCAAGATGTGACACTAGGCAAAATGTAACCTAGGCAAAAGTGAACTAGGCAAGTTCTGACGATTCTGACTAGGCAAAATGTAGCTGAGCCCCCGAGATATGAAGAAGTAGCTCAGATTTTGACAAGAGATTGGATTTAGTTAAAATTCGGTGATGGTGATGTACCAAACCTCTGTAGAGTAAAAAAAGTAGATATTATAGTTCCACATTTATTGAAAATATATTTCGGTCTGGGTTGACCCTCGTCAGTTCTAACGATATAATAACCATCAAAATCGATAAAAAAATTTTCTTTTTTTTTAAAATCACAAGAAAATAAACAAACAAAAAAGATTATTAAAAATAAAAATTTGGGCTGTCAAATGGACATACGAACTCAGATTATGAGATGGAAAAAAGATAATTTGCAAATATTCACTTTAAAAAAATGTTTTAAAATTATTATTACTTGAGATTGTTTCTGTCACAAAGATTAAAAGCAAACTGTTTAGATGTATTCATGTTTATAGAGTAGTGGTGGGAGTCGATCTATATAACGAACTTTTGCGTAAATCGGGGGGATAAAACGATAAACGAATAAAGAAGGATAGAACATTCTCTGGGAGCTACATACAGGGTGTCCCACGAAACATAACAGTTTGTGATTAGTTTTGAATGTCTTCTTCCATATACTTTATAAGATATTATAGAATTTTTGCAGTTTATTTAGTTTTAAAAATCTTTTACTTTGAAATCAAGACTTTTAAACTTTCACCAACATGTCATGTTTCGTTGGACATCCTGTAGCTCTATAGAAACAGCAAATTTCTCATGCAGATGTTCAGTTTAATTAAACACGTTTTTCGGAAAACTTTTTTTATCCTTCAATCCATTTGCGACAAACATGTTCATATCTTTAATCGGATATATATAATCTTTTCTGTGCAATATATCTTTTTATCTGCAACCTTAACGTGTGAATAAGTTTTCAAATAAAATTTTTTAATAAAACTTTTTCACATCATAAAAAAATTCCATTCGAGATATTTATGATGTGAAAAAGATTAATGAATTCCAAAAAGTATTTATTTTTAGTTTAATTAAAAATATTAAAAGTAGTTTATAATTTCGAAAAAACATTAAAAATTCTTCTTAATCTAAAATGAGACTACAAAAATAGGTATTGATATGATATGATGATATTGAGTGATAATGTATATCCACTTTAATAATCTTTTTTTAAATCCAGCAATTCATCAAAAATTTTAATATTTGTAATGTATGTACAGAAAACTGTATCAGAGAAAGTTATAAAAACAAGAATTATTTAATAAATAGGGAAGTTATAAACTTTTGTACTGTAAATCGACTCGGGTTAAAGCATTGATCTCTTTCTTCCAGGGGCGGATACAGGGGGGGGGGCGGGGGGACATTCAGCCCCCTGAATTTGGAATTTTTTGTTCCTTTTTTCAGAATAGCTTCTCAATAGCATGCTTAAGGGAAAGAAACCCTAGTGCAAAACAGGAAAAATATCTGTCATAATAAACTATGAGTGAAAAGTTAAAAATCTAGTTTTTTAGTCTTTAGTCACGATTACGGCACGATTTTTTGTTCCTAATTATGAATTTTTTTGTTTATAAAAAATCTTCCCCCCCCCCTCACTTATATCCTGTATCCGCCCCTGCTATCTTACACAGATTTACAGATTAATTGTATGATGCTTTACCGGCCCTGGGGATAACCATGATAGAGGGATTAAGCATAGATTCTTTTAATTAAAAGTGCCCACATTGGATATCGAGATAAATCCTTTAAGAAACAATATCCACTCAGAAGTTTAGATCTATGCAATGCCTAATAGCTGGATAAGATGCAGACATATTTAAAGTAGTGCTATTGTATATATTTTGTTGAAAACAAACTGAAAGTAATGTAAGTGAGGAGGGGTGCCGTGAGCCCCGCGAAATGGTCTCCAAGCCTCTGGATTTGCATATAAGTATTTAAAATCAGCTGGCGCTAATCCTATCTTTATAGTATAGATATTGTAGAGAAGTATACAAACTTTTCAATATTTTAATAGTTATGCAATGTTTACTGAATATGTAAAGAAAACATTGCATAACTATACAAAGCTTATATATAATTACTATCTGCGAATACGGAGGCTTAGAGACCATTTTGCGGGGCTCATGGCAGCATTTTCCTCATGTGAGAGGTGGTGGAAAACAGTTTGATTATAAAAAATGATCAAGTTATTAAAATTGTAGCACAAGATATTGAAACTCATGAACTGCAGTTTGCGTTGAATAATAATTTGCAATTCAAAATAGTTTGAAAATTTTCTGCTATATTTTACAAAAACTTTGTGAAAACTTTATTGTCCCTAGATTAAATAAATTTCTATAATACGCCTTTGTCATCGGATTTATTTAAAAAACGTTAAAAGCTAACTTTCCTATTACGAATTTGTGACCTTGTAGCTCGTCCAGCTTTGATTTTAAAATGTACAGTACATTCAATTTTATGCGAAAGATGCAATGCCATCCAGTAAGATTAAAATTAATTAAAATTTATTTAATTTGACGAAATATCAACATCATATTTGACATTTTTTGTTTTTATTGTGTATTTATCGTATTTGGTTAAGAATTTTTCAATCTAATTAACAAGAATTGTAAAATTTACCCCCGAGTGGTGTTCTTAAAGGATTTTCTACAAAATAGCAAATATGCCAGTTATACACCATGAATTGGCATTTGTGCCGCTGGTTTGTCAGCCGCCGAGCCGCTTAGACCACAATCAGAGTATACCGGGCGATCTTTGGCGGTAAATATTATGAAAGTTTTTCATAAACGCTTTTAATTTTTTTTAATGAATTATGACTAAAATTTATTATTTTTACTTAATCAATTATACCATTTAGGAAACAAATGTTATGGTTTAACTTGTACAGTGAAAACCAGAAAACTGTGGAATAGGAAGACGACATTAATGCAATATTTAAAGTCTATTTTTTGTTAAAAAGCAAATAGTTTTACTAATCGCTTAAAATTTTTATCTTTAAGTGAAATAATCTGTGCGCAATCTCGGGTGACACAAGAAAAAAAAACAAATGGTTCATAGGTTTGAACTTAATAAACTTAGGTGGAAGTAGTGTCAGTAAAAAAACAAATGGTTCATAGGTTTGAACTTAATAAACTTAGGTGGAAGTAGTGTCAGTAAAAAAACAAATGGTTCATAGGTTTGAACTTAATAAACTTAGGTGGAAGTAGTGTCAGTAAAAAAACCCTGATTTTTGTTAAGGATAGTATGGGGGCATTTCGACACTTAGTGACATCAAATTTTGTACAAGCTGCATAGTGCATATGGTTCTTAAAATTGATATAAAAGGCTCAAATTTTGCTTACAGTCTCCAATTGTGGTCATCTATCTAGATCACAAAGAAAATTTGTGATCGGAGGTCATTGACCATCATCGACAAAAATGTGGCTGAGAGAAGAAATTTTGTTGATTTACTTAACTCCGCTCATTGAAAAGTAATAGTCACTTTTTTTTAGAGAAAACACAATTCAAAATAATCAGTTTTCAAAATTATAATTATTTATTTCAAATTCAGACAAAGCTTTTCAGGGAACAGTAGTTGATCGGGCATCGTCAATTTGTCATCTTTGCAAGGAGAGTCACTTAAAACTACGCTTAGTGTCCCTTTAAACTGGTGATGGGTTATGAATTTTGACAGAAAAAAAAATTAAGATTTCTGTTTTGTCAAGATAGGCGAAAACTTGGATAAGAAAATAAGAAGGACGGGAACATATTATTTAAAAAAAAATTTCCTTAATTTTTTTAACTCATAAGATTTAATGATATATGGATACACATTACATTAATAGAAAATCAAGATTAGAATAAAATCTTACTCTTTATTATGGAAATTATAATCAGCTTAGGGTTGATTAAACATTACATATTTACGAATAAACGACAGTAGAGTAAACATACGCTTACATAAATACATCACCACATTCATTCTTCAAATGCATTTGTTGTTCTAATAATAACTTTTTAGTCCGATGCATTCGAAAGTCACCATTCGTCAAATATGTTGCTCATATATTTATTTAAAAAATTTATAATTCTATCACTGAAATGCATCTAGAATCTAATAATACAAGGCCCACTCGTTTCCTGAAACAAAGTCGTCGACCACCTCCTTCATGGCGTAGTTGGGGACCAACATATCCTGGGTCAGCTTGGTTCGGGTCACGGGATCAAAGTGACCGACTCGCTCCAAATGTTCAGTAATATCCTTCCTGAAATATAGAAGTAAAGGAATTGAGTCTTTGTCACAAACTCTAAATTACTAATCCGTATACCCATTCATGAAGACCTTAGATATTTCAAGCTATGAATTCGGTTAAATTAAAAAATCAAAGTTTGAAATTTCAAAGGTTTAAATCACCAAAGATGAAGGGATAAGACCCAATTCGTTTGGGAGGAAGAATGAGATTGTAGATTCGTAAAATCAGCCGACCAAGCAACCAACTGTGCAAATTCAAAACTAAAGTTCATCAGAAATCGGGAAAAAGTATAAAAGAACCTACTACAGGATTTCTTAAGATACTTGACAGTAGAAAGATGACATGAAGGTTGACTTCCTACTGTCATTTGTCGTGGGACACCTTGTAGCTAACAACCTTACCAACCAAGCAACCTAACAACCTAACCAACCAATCAACCATGAATGAAACCAAGCAATGATGTAACCAAACAACCTATAAAAAACTGACCTGTCGTATGTTATACCACTGGGAGTTATGACTGGATCTTTGAGAAGTTCGAAACTTATTTTTCCACAAAGATAATCTGGGACCTCGCGTTTAGTTCTCCGATCATCTACCTACATAGAGAGATAGGTTTTTTACTTTGTTTGTATATATTCAATGTTTTCCCTTTTAAAGTGATTTTAGACGTAACCCTCCATTTTTAAAGTGGCATGTTCTAATCACAACGGTACCATCTAAAATCCTTGTATAAAATTAAATAATGGAAATTTTCATCTTTTTCTTTTCTCAAAATAGATTTTTTTTCGATTAGATTTTTCCATAAAGAGACTTCCGGATTTAATGAACAGGATCTAGAAAGAAAGAAATTATCTGCATTCAACACTTTTTAAGAAAGAAAAAAGCCAATGTCTTCCATCTCTATTTCTCAGATAAAGTTTTAAAGTCTGATTGAAAGGTCACTTAAAATTTCGTCTACAGACTCTTTAAGAGGCTCAAAAAGAACAAAAATGAGATGTGTATTATATTTATTAAATCCCAGGCTCAAAAGGTTCACGTTTATCACATTGTCCAAAATGTTTATTTTGACATCAAGTGCAAATGTGCAAATGTGCAAACTTTCTTGGTCAACTTTTTTTGTTAAGAGAAAAAATTGTCAGAATGTTCACAATTTAGAATTAAGATGAAAATGTCCTATTTTAAAAGCCTTCTACAGGGAGTGAAACCGTAATTTCTAGTGACCGATTAACGACGTTTACAGTGAAAACTCCAGGCAAAGCTGGGTTCCCACGCTAGTTATATATTTATACACGGTAATCCAGCTGCTTAGTTTTAAGTTTTTCTTTATGTTTTACCTTAGAGAAAAGTGAGTTAACTTCTGCAATATATTTGTCTGCTTCCACCTCTACAATTGATATTTCTTCTGTAACTTCATCATAGTTATCTCCGTTTCCCTGAACAAATTTATTTCATGCGGATTAGAAATAAAAATAATCGGGGATTTTTTGTTGCAAATTTTTCAATGTTTCATTTTTCAATAGTTTTTATTAACCAATCACAGAAGAAAATTTTCCCATTTTATCTAAAAAAAATTTAAGAAAAGAACCATTTCCTCAGAGAAAGGATGTACATATGCTGTACAATGTTCAAGTAAATTTATAGTTACTAGCCTTAGAGGGCGCTTCGCGCCCATCTTCTAAATTAATTGTGAACATGTTCTCTTTGTATACATCGTAAAACAAAACAAAAATAATTCGCGGATTTTCACACAAAATTTCGTGGATTTTCAAAATTTTCAAAAATTTAATGAAGATCGAATTTTGATGGAGACAAATATTTGAAATTTTGATCATTTATAAACCTTCCCTGGGGTCCCTAGATGTCCCACAAAAAATTTGGGCTCGATCGGTTCAGCCGTTTTGACGTTTATTGGACACAAACAAACAAACAAACACCCAAACAAACAGACAGACAAGCCAAATTTATTTATAGTTATGGAAGTCTAACTTTACCCCCTCAAAGGTTTGAACCCCGAGTTTTCGTGTGTGGAGTAGCGTCATTCTTAAACGCAAGATCTAGATATCCAATGTGGGCACTTTAAAACTTGAGGATAAATTCTTATTCCTCAATTAAATCCCTACAGGTAATGCCCACCACGGGATACCGCAGAAGAATTCCATTTATCTGAAGCTTTCAAGATTAACGAGTCTCCAGATAAAAGTAACAGACTTCATTGGACTTTTTTAGGATCAAAATTTGACTAGTTAACACACGGTATTATCAAGAAACAAAACTTAATTCCATTTAAGGAAATTGAAGTTGGTAGATAATTAGCCCTTCATTGTAGATAATATAGAATTAATCGTTAATATAATGCGCTTTTCTTAAAAAAACAACAAAAAACAACGATCTACAAAAACGCAAACCTTTCTGTCGAAAAATATTATTGCTAACAGATGGAAATATGATGTATAAGGACTATACACTGTGCAGTGTACAGGTTTTTTTGTGTCTTTGTTGAATTAGTAAGAGATATATAAAAATCCACACACAAAAAAACAGAAATTCGTCCAATACTTTCTCAAATCTTTGAATTTCACAATAATGACAATCATGACAATCATGACAATCATGACAACATGACAATCATGACAATAATAACAATAATATAATAACAATAATGACAATCATGACAATCATGACAATCATGACAACATGACAATCATGACAATAATAACAATAATAACAATAATGACAATAATAACAATAATGACAATCATGACAATCATGACAATCATGACAATCATGACAATCATGACAATCATGACAATCATGACAACATGACAACATGACAATCATGACAATAATAACAATAATGACAATAATAACAATAATGACAATAATAACAATAATGACAATCATGACAATCATGACAATCATGACAATCATGACAATCATGACAATAAAATGACAATAAAATGACAATAAAATGACAATAATGACAATCACGACAATCATGACAATTATGACAATTATTACAATGATGACAATAAAATGACAATAAAATGACAATAAAATAACAATAAAATGACAATAATGACAATCATGAAATTATTTCGACATCCGAATTTATTTTAAAAATATTTTTTTAAGAACTGAGAAATATTGAAATAAATGATATGAGTACATCAGTCTAATAATATAAATCTGATGAATGTGAAACATTCTACGAAAATAGAAAATACTATTTAAAGATTCAGTTAATGTACTTGATTAAACCAGTGTAGGGCAGATTTATATCTCAAGTAAATTCACAAGAATTTATATTGATCAGTAAGAAAAAGGAAGACAAATTTAACACAAAGTGGCAAGTTTTTTCCTACTTTTTTGTTTTTGTACATTTATATCCCCCTAACTCAGGGAATATAGCTAAGGATGAGACGTCAGACGACTGTTCGGAATTTATATTGTCAGTTTTCTTATATTATTCCTGCAACTGTAAACTTGTTTCTTCCAATGTCAAATGATAAATTAAGCAACCAAAAGACAATATTCAAGAATATTCAAGAATTTAGTAAAAGACAACATTCAAGAATTTAGTAAAAGACAATATTCAAGAATATTCAAGAATATAGTAAAAGACAATATTCAAGAATATTCAAGAATATAGTAAAAGACAATATTCAAGAATATTCAAGAATTTAGTAAAAGACAATATTCAAGAATATTCAAGAATATAGTACAAAACAATATTCAAGGCAGAAGACGTTATCAAACCATTGCATATATTAAGAACTAGGTGAAATGCCCTGCGTTGCTCGTGAATTTAAGAAACACTTGAAAATTTTTAATCAATTATTTTAAATATTTTTTTAAAATTTAATTATTATTTTGGTTTATGTTACCCTCGGGATACTTAAGGCTTTTTTTTGACAGTTTGATCATCCATAAACCTTCCCTGGGGTCACAAAATTTTGGGCCCGATCGGTTCAGCCGTTTTGATGTTTATTGGATACAAACAAGCAGACACCCAAACAGACAAGCAAAAAATATACATATAAAGATATATCTAAGAGCGTAGAACTTTACTTTAATTATTAAGATTTCAGTCGTCTTTATAGTCTTATCCTTTGTGTATAAACTGTATATGTGTGTTCTCAATACGTGTTTTCAAGTATGTCCTCATTATTATCATTGGCTTACTTTAAACGATTATAATTTTACTCATGTTTTGATTCATTAAGTGGAATGCCGATGGCAGTGAGAGATGCTAGTATGATAGAAAGCAAACCCTCAACCCATTTGTGAAACTACAAAATCACAAACTGAACTATTATCCAAGAAACAAAAGAAAAAGGCTGCGCAGACCAAAATATTCACTTTTGAATCCTTAAATAAAGCATAATTGTCCTCATTGATTAAAGGGTTTCCTTAAGGAATCATAAGGAATTGAAATCTGCAAGAGACCCCATTGTGGGCCCCCCAGACCGCCCAGAAAGCAGGGTGCACTGCCCCGCCCCTGTTAGAAGTATGAAATAGTAATTAAAATCAGATTTTCCTTTAAGATTATAGATCAATGTGCCTCCACCAAAACTATCTTTTTATTTGTTGCATTCAAAATATCTGGAGCTTAAGTATTCTGAGCTGCAAACTTTAGAATGGGATATCCTTAGCTTTAACATTTACATGATCCCTTCATTTAAATTATCTCTGCAGGGTACGATCACCACAGGGGAGTATATTTTTACTCCCCCCCCCACCCCCACCCCTCAGGAGGGGGAAAGAATTCAGTCCAGGTACGAAAATTAAAGAAAAAAGAAAAAAGGAAGCAAGGGGAAGAAAAAGAAAAAAGGGGATAAAAAGGGAGAATAGGGGAAAAAAATTATACCAAAAACACTCCATTGCACAACCAAAATACAAAATTTTTTTACACAAGTTTACGCGGGCTGCGTCACTCTGTTAAAAGAAACCCCTTGTAGTTTGGTTTTGACTTAAGGGAAAAAATATTATTTAAAAAGGAGGGGGGGGGGGGGGCAAAAAAGTTGAATCTCAGAACTAATTTACACCCAGATCCTGGGTATTAGGATAAAAATGTGGCAAAAATGGCTAAATGACTGTAATTTAAGGATAACAATCAAGGTAAGTGATTCAAAATGACTTAAAATATGGTAAAATATATGATTTAGTGGCCATAAAATTTATTTTTCCAATGCTAAAATTCAGGACAATTAAGGGGGTAGGGTATTCTTGTTCTAGGATTTTGTCAAATTTTATCATTTAGTTGATTTATTGTGTTAATGTTCCTGTTGATGTAGGTCTGGAGTTCAATATCCTGCTGAATCCTCTTCTCCTCCTGCAGGTTAAACTTCTTCTTCCGGGCCAACCTAGACAGACAATCAATCAATCAATCAATCAATCAAGCGATCAATCGATTGATCAATGGATCAGAACCAATAGATTAATCGGATAATGTTCAATGAATCACAGAGTCAATGATTCACTGAATCAATCAATTGATCAATGAATCAAAATCAATGAATCAGAATCAATCGATCGATTAATATATCAGAATCAGTCAATCAAAATATTAAAAATCAAACAATCAATTAATAAGTAAATCAAGAAATGAAATTATTGATAAATCGCAATGGTTAAAAATCAAACAATTAATCACTCAAATCACAAACAATCAATCAACCAACCAAATCCCATTCCCAACCAACTAATCAGGGACCCCACCCCACCAACTAACCAACGAACCAGCAAACTAAATTTCATTTTAAATGATCTGAGATGGAATTTAAAGAATTTGAGCCGCGGTTTAAATCCGCCAAAACCCGGTTTAAATTAAGCGCCGGCTTAAATCTTGAAACATTTGATACAATTTTAAGTGGAACCAACCATATTTAAGCCACGGCTTAAATTTAAACCGCCGCTCAAATTCTTTAAATTCGGCCACTGGTATAAAAGCTATTAAGGATTAAATGCAAACAGTTTAGTCAAATATTCCCACTAAAATCCTCTGTTTGAAATATAAAATTTTGGAAAACATCTTTAATCCTTGTTAAACTTTAAAATATTAAATCTACTTCACATCAGGGGCAATAAATACTTGACTGGTTCAGTCTAGAATAAATACTTGACTGGTTCAGTCTAGAATAAAAGTACGATATGATTTGTGCGGATAAAGTAAAAAGATTAATGGAAAAATTCAAATTATCAAATATGGTTTAGAATGGTTTCCTTTATTTTATAAAATTTCTCAACTTCATTTTTTCTAGAAATAACCCGAACTTGGAATATTTCGTTTATTGGGTTTCTGGTTTTATAAACCAACTTCTTTCTCTAGAGAAATATTTCGAATTTCGTCTCCTTTTTGACTGATTTTTATTTTAAAATTTTAATTTCCATTTAGAAACAAGGAAGTTGTAAATAATCTCTCATTAGTTTAAACGACCTGTGTCTCTAGAGCACAAATTTTTTTGATGTAAGTTTTACTTAATAATTTGCAACTTTGATCCGGATTCAAAATATCTGGAGCTTAAGTATTCTGAGCTGAAAACTTTAGAATGGGATATCCTTAATCCTGATCGGATAATTAATCTGGAGATTAAAAATGAGAGGAAAACAAGCAATATTTAATCTCGAGATTAAGAAAAAGAGTGGATTAAGCATTAATCCCGATATCCACCATTCTGAAGTTTTCAGCTCTGGATCCAAGGATCAAAATCCAAGAAGGCTATGGATTCAGGCATACGGATCCAAGGAGATCAAATGATCCGGATCTTTGGAGCTACATTTTTTGATCCAGGAAGCAAAAATATTTTGAATCCAAGGATCCAAACGGTCTGGATTCATAGAGCTCTTGGAAAGTGTTAAACGTTCTGGAGCTATGGGTTCCATACATAGCTTACCTTAGTTTACTAGAAATTGTATCATCGTAATAGGATCCCGGATCCTGAAATTTAAATCTTTTTTAACACTTTAAACGGCATTTTTAAAAATAATCAACAAATAAAACCTTCATTCTAATTGTTCAAAAGAACTGATTAACGTCAAAACGGCTGAACCGATCGGGCCCAAAGTTTTTAGGGACCTCACATGATTCCAGGGAAGGTTTATGGATGATTGGAATTGAAAAAAAATTTGCCTTAAAATGTATTTGATCTTTCAAATACACGACAAAAAATCGATAAAGAGCAACAATAACAATTTTAAAAATAATACGGGCGCCTGGCAGCCTAGATAAAGATTTCAGGGATCCACGTTCTGGAGAAACAGCATTCCAGAGAAATAGAGATTTAAAAATAGCATATATTTTCTAAAGGTTGAATACCGAAAATTTTTAAATAAATTAGCTGCATGTCTAATTAGTGTATTTTTTGACAACCTATTGTTAAAAAAACAAATAATTTTAATATTAGTGGTTCTACGTCTAAAAGTATAACAATCTAGCAACCTTTGATAATGTAAAATCATAATGAAATATTTCCGCAGTTAATAATCAAATATTTCCACAGTTAATAATGAAATATGTCCACAGTTAATAATGAAATATTTCCACAGTTAATTATGAAATATTTCCACAGTTAATAATGAAATATTTCCACACTTAATAATGAAATATTTCCATAGTTAATAATCAAATATTTGTGCAGTTAATAATAAAATATTTTCTCAATTAATAATGAAATATTTTCTCAGTTAATATTGAAATATTTCCATAGTTATTAATGAAGTATTTCCATAGTTAATATTGAAATATTTCCATAGTTAAGTTAATATTGAAATATTTCCATAGTTATTAATGAAGTATTTCCATAGTTAATATTGAAATATTTCCATAGTTAATAATCAAATATTTGTGCAGTTAATAATAAAATATTTTCTCAGTTAATAATGATCAATTTCTACCTTTTTAGCGAGTTCAAATGCTGTCTGAAGATGCTTAATTGATTCATCTATCTTCTCTAGTTCTAATAAAGAACTGCCCAGATAAAAATGACCTAAACATTTTAATCTAAAATATATTGTGATTTTCAAAATCTTTCTTTCTAATGATTTTTGGCATGAATAAAGATTTTTTCATTTTTTAAATTATTGGTTTTTTCCATTATTTGTTTTTTATTTTTCAGTCTTCCATTTAAATCAGTCTTTAATTCAAATTAGTCTTTCAATTATTAGTATTTCAGTTATTATTCTTTCATTTCTCAGTATTTCATAGTAAAACCTGAAGACATCTCTGTCAACTCAGAAGGTATATAAATTGTAAAAACATTTTGGAAACCGCAAAACAAGTAATTTACTTTGATAAAAAAATCTTCACTTCCGAGAAACCATGTCTGGAGCGCAAAAGTAACTTTTCCCAATTTCAGTCGATATGACAGTTGGCTGAAATCTGTAATCTTCTCATTTCCCCTTTTTATTTTATTTAACATATTTTTATTTTTACACCTTTGACAAGTGTTGAATCTCTCTCCAATGCAGCTCTTGAGTCCTGAACCGCCTGAGCAAATCTAAATTTTCATATTTTTTGTAAAATAATAAACTTTCCAATATTTAACAGAATTCAGAATTTTTGTGTTGTTAATCACAAGATCAAGCAATGATCTCCATCTTAAACAGATTAGTTTAATTTCTCTTCGATATACTGTGATGGTTATACCCTGCAGGGATAACTTTAAATGAGAGATCAAGCATTGATCCTTAAACTTAAAGTACCCACATTGCAAAGAATAACGATGAGACTTGCCAACAAACAGGCATTCTACTTGGCATCAATTCTCTGTTAAGTCTTTTTGAGAACCTTCAGAAGCAAGGTGTAGATTATCTTCTAACCAAAAATCTGAACCAAGATTGCCTGGAGAACTTTTTCAGTCTTTTATGTTTGTTAGAAACCTCACATTCAGGACCTGTAGATGTCATGCACAAAATCAAACTCATCTTGGTAGGAGCAAACCCAAAAAATGCTCTCAGTGTCAGTAATCCTTCAGTAGAGATGGAGACACCCCAGGGAAGTGAAGAAATGGACACAGAATCTGTTTCCACATTGATTTCTTCCCAGGTAAATTGTTTTAATGTATATATCAAAGAAAATTTTACATGAATAATTTGGGTATGTTTAGGTTCTAGATGAAGATGAACAGAAAGAGATAATACAGCCTGGTATTATTCTGCTAGAGGACCAAGTTGAGGTTTAAACCAGCTGGGTCGGAAAAAATCTGCAAATGAGGCAGTAAATTACATTGCCGAATATATTGCCAAGAAGTTGTGTAACAAAGTTGAAGGCCTCACATCTAAAACAACAGCCGGTAACTGGATTAAGCTTAAGAACCGGGAATCACTGTCTTTCCCAAGCAAGGAGCTTGTGGAAAGTATTCACCGTTATGAGGAAGTTTGTGTCAGGTTACACGGCGAAAACATGTGCAGGCAACCAGATCCCATGGGGAGAGCTAAAAAGGCCATCCTGAAGATAGACAGGACCTGACAAAAACTTGTAGTGGACCTTTTTTTAACATAAGCTGTTTCCAGCATTTACGAATTTTGAACTCGCAACTCAAAGAAAACAAAAAAACCAATTGTGCAAGAAATTTAACAAAAAGCACAGTTCATTTTTTGAATAAATTTGGCGAAATATAATGCATTCAGTGTTTTTTATTTTCATTAGTATTGTAAGACAATACAGTGGTAGGGGATAATATCAATCCAATTTGTATGTTAATTGGGTCTCATTGATAGAGTTTAAAAAAAAACAATGCAGAAGTTTTCCTATAATTTCCTTAGAGAATCATATGCTTGAACCCATACTAACGGATGTTGAAAGAGCTAAATGCGCTTAATTTTGATAATATGATCTAGTTAATGTTATAGTTTCCTATGGATCCCATGTAATGCTGTGGCACTTCTACTCTTGTATTTACTTTACCGCCCAGAGACAGTACACTGCAGTACAAAAGATGCGTTTGTCTACGAAATAACTTTCCTAGCCTTATAAACTTACCACATTGAATATTGAGATTAAGCGTTCAAGATTAACAATATCCCCACAAAAGTTCTAATCTCAGATCAGGTAAAGAAAATATACAAGTGATATTAAAACACAGATTTTATACTTACTTGTTTATTTTCATATAACAGAGGGCTCTGTTGGTGTAATACGTAGGAATGTTAGGATTTAATGCTATAGCCTGCACCATCAAAATAATTCAAAAACTTGACAATTTTGCCAAATAGAGAGATTTTAATTAAAATCAATTTTAAAGAAAATTTAAACAAATTATTCATTATTTACAAGAGTCACTTGTAGATTTTACAACTCATTTAAAATTTGAGAGATTAAAAACTAAAAACTAGAAACTACTTCAACATAGGTTTTCCACTAAAAACTACTTCAATATAGGGTTTCCACTAGAAACTACTTCAACATAAGTTTTCCACTAAAAACTACTTCAACATAGGGTTTCCACTAGAAACTACTTTGACATAGGGTTTCCCTAGAAACTACTTTAACATAGGGTTTCCACTAAAAACTACTTTAACTTAGAATATCCCTCTAGAAACTACTTCAACATAGGGTTTCCACTAGAAACTTCTTCTAACATCGGGTGTCCACTAAAAATTAATTCAACATAGGGTTTCCCTAGAAACTACTTCAACATATGAGTTCCCAATAGAAACTTCTTCAACATTTGGTTTCCCTAGAACGTACATCAACATAGGGTTTCCCTAGAAACTACTTCAACATAAGGTTTCCCTAGAAACTACTTCAACATAGGGTTTCCCTAGAAACTAGTTCAACAAGGGGTTCCATAGAAACTATTTTAACATAGGGTTTCCACTAGAAACTACTTCAACATAGGGTTTTCGTTGAAACTACTTCAACATAGGGGTTCCACTAGAAACTACTTCACCATAGGGTTTCCCTAGAAACTACTTCAACATACGGTTTCCCTAGAAACTACTTGAACATAGGGTTTCCCTAGAAACTACTTCAACAAGGGTTTCCCTAAAAACTACTTGAACATAGGGTTTCCACATGAAACTACTTCAACATAGGGTTTTCGTTAAAACTACTTCAACATAGGGTTTCCACTAGAAACTACTTTAACATAGGGTTTCCCTAGAAACTACTTCAAGATAAGGTTTCCACTAGAAACTACTTCAACATAGGGTTTCCCAAGAAACTATTTTAACATAGGGTTTCACTAGAAACTACTTCCACATAGGGTTTCCCTAGAAACTGCTTCAATATAGGATTTCCACTAGAGACTACTTCAACATAAGGTTTCCACTAGAAACTAAGTTAACATCGGGTTTCCACTAGAAACCACTTCAATTTAGAATTTCCACTCTGAACTACTTCAATACAGTCAGCAAATCCAGCAAATTATTCTTATAATTTATTTAAACGCACTTGAGAAACATTAAAGGTTGATGATAACGTCGCAATATCATTTATTCTTTCCCTCCTCATGGATATTTATTTTCCTGTGATTAATGGAAAAATTTATCCTAAATATGTTTTGTTTTCGGTATTTTATAGGCTTGATATTTTTAAAAAAAAAGCAAAAAACATTTTGAAGTAAATTTAAATTTTTAAAAAAAATTTAAGTATTTTTTTTAAATCTGGCCACGTTAAGGCATAAAATATGGATGGACTAAAGTATTGCAATGATTATATCATGTTGGAATCTTTAAACCCATGAGAATGATGTCAAACTTTTTGGTAAAACTTAAATCTCTTCTGCCTCCGTAATGGCTAACCTTCGTGATATAAAATAAATAGCAAAATATTCGGTATACCTCTGCCTATAATTTTCCCCATGGAACCACCCGAAAAAATTCTATGGTTTTCAATATAGTTAACAAAACAGATTGAAGTTCTATAAACTGAATATCTGAAAATGTGCGTAAAATAGGTGAACATTTTTAAAGACATTAAACTTCTAATCTTTAATTCAATTGAAACTTTTTTTTCGATTTACAAAAGTTTGATATTTCATTTATGCCCTAACGTGGCCCGATTCCTTAAAAATAGTTTTATCTTGGAGGATTAGACACTTAAAAAAATAATATTGAAAGGACGAGGATTTCGAGGTGGCTCGGACGAAAAAATGAGAACAATGTGGCTCGGACGAGAAATTGTTGTGGTTGGACTTCCTCCCCTTTGGGGGGGGGGGGGGGGGGGGGGGGGGCCAAAATTCCTTTTCTATGAAATTTCCTGCTTATTTGTGTTTAATTTTAGAAAAATCTTCCTTTAACCCTCTTTGAAAATCATTTTAAAACAGATTTGTTAGCGCGGAACGGCATTTACTTATACGGGTTTGTGAATTAGGAAAAATGAATGAATAATTTGGGCATCAACATCTGTGATGAAAAAAAAACTTTAAAAGGTATCCTAGATTAATCATTTATGTCATCTTAAGGGTCAGGTCACAATAAGACAATTTCTAAGCTGAGCGCTGCTGCTTGAACAAAATTATTGGAGGGTTGGTGGGTTAAAACTCGGATCTGTCCAAGACAACAAATTATGTACATAACCATTTTTTTCTGTTTATTTTATGCATTATTATAACAGTTTATAAAAAGATAAAATATAAATATTTTAGAATTATTTTGTTTCCTTTGAGTAGCTGGAGATAGCGCTGTCAAACTTGTTGGCGTTGAAATACTTATTTCCCTGTTCTTTAAAGTCCTTGTCTGTTTCTCGACCCATTTTGGATTTTATCATCAACCTTGTTTTCACGAAACTACAACGCTACGATTTGGTCAAATTTTCTAAACAAAGATAGTTTTAAAGCCCTTTGTTTCTGGATTTAACTGAGTAATATTTATCCAAGACAACTTCGACAGTGTTGTTGCTCTTTGTGTTTTGATACAAGTTTGGTTTGGATTGATCATATGGTTCTTTCAAACTATGTATAATAATAAGATAAAAGTTAAACAAAACTTAAATAAAATCAATAAAACAATATTCCTTATCTTTTCTATGTGAATTTTAGATTAAGAAATTTTTACACTGTGTTGCAACATTTAATTATTTATTATTATTATAATTTAGAAAATAAATTTCATCTTTTTAAATGTCGTCGTTGAAAATTTTTCTCTTAAAAAACATCTGAACTGCACAACATCTGATCTATCAATTTTCCGACTGCCATATAAATGGAATAAAGTTGACAGAAAATAAAAGTTTTCCTAGCGCCAGATAGGCCAGATGTAATAACGAATGTAGTATTTTCTAAAACATGGCATCGATTTTGAAAAATAGAATGCTTACCGATTACCTTTACGTTAAAAAATGAAGGATGAGATGCATTTTGTAATACAGGGTGTCCCAAAAAACATGGTAATTCAGTGACAAATTCGATATCGTCTTCGTTATGAATTAGCATTGTAATACCTAATTTCAACAAGCCATAATATTATTATGTCTGCTAGAATCTATTTTATGAAAATTGGGTAAAAGACTGTAAAGATTTGTCTATAATGTCTCCGCAAGATGAACAATGAAGACGGACAAGTTTACTCTGTTTGTGTACTGCAATTTTCTTGTTTTACTAAGTACAACTGTATGCAGTCAAAACATAAACAAACAAATGTGAACATATAGCAGACGAATTAAACTCTTATGATAGCAGACGAAACTCTTACTCCTCTTACAGATTACAGCCTGGTTCTAGAGAGCTAAATACCACTCTTTACAAATCCTGCTTGGTGGTATTAAGGGTAGATCATCTTTCAGAACCGGCCATACAGCTTTCTATAGTATGGTATCACTACACTAGATCAAAGAATTATTTAAAAAGACGATATATCGAATTCTTCACTGAATTGCCATGTTTATTGGGACACCCTGTACAAAATGCACGTTCAATTAAGATTTAACCTGTAGGCCCGATTTTTGATAGTTTAATCGGTTCTTAGTCCGATTGTTGCGACACTAATGTAAAGATAAAAGGAAGACGATACATTCTTCAACAACAAAACTTGGCAAACTGCGCTTGACTTGGCAAATTCTTTAACAACCTTTTTCACAGATGTTTTAAGGTTTCTCATTCATTTCCAGTCCTTACTACTAATCATGGTTTTAGACTTTTGAAAAGCTTGCATCTTTATTTTTCTCTGCATTGGTAAAGCTTCTTAGTAATGCCTAATGCAGGTGTCGTAAACATCCATAAATGCTAAATCATAAAGTTCATCTTCGATGACTCACCTCTTTAATTAAATTCCTGGTAATTTCCTAGAGAACGATTTTTGGACCCCCCTCCCATCAATTTTGGGTAAATTCCTAATATACGATTTTTGGTCCCCCATCCTCGTGAATCTTTGCGCTCTGTACACAATGAATTATTTATATTTATTTCGTACATGACAAAATTAGTAAATTAGTATTTATTTATTATCATTTAGGGTTAGGCTAAGACACTTTCTGGGCAGAGCGCTGCGGCTAGGACAGGCTAGGGGGCCGAGCGTTGCGGCCACATGGTCTATTATATCCATGTCTAACATACAAGATCCATGTACAAAATTGATAGGAAGTGTGTACATTGGATACTCAGATTAAGCGATCAGGATTAAGGATATCTCATTATCAAGTTTTCAGCTCTGGATATATACTATATGGGGGGGGGGGGTCCAAATGTCATATACTAGGAAATTACCGAAATCCATATTTGTTTTTCATCATTTCATGGTTAGGTTAAGTTGGGTTTATTTAGGCTCTGATCCGAGCACTGCGATTAGGACACTAAGGGCCGAACGCCGCGGTGATGGGGTAGGTGGTCTACAAATCCACTAGAAAATTACCACGGAATTTTAATAAGCCAGTGCTACGTCTGTACGGTGTACAGAGTACAAATATTGTTTCCTAGTGATCCCTTTTACCTTATCAATTTGGTAGGTACGTGCATTGCAAACTGAAGACGACTTTTGGACCAAAGTATTTTTAAATGTCTTAATTGTGTTAATAAATTTTCAGAAAGTTTTACCAAATGTTTTTAAATATCAGATTACCAAAAAGTTGTGTCGTTGGGTTTAATAATGTTTAAAAAACTGAAAGAAAAAATAGCGGACGAAGTTAAACAAAATCCTCGATTGCAGGTTAGTATTTACCATTTTAATGCTACAAACTGCCCTTGTGGTTAGCGGCTTGAACTTTAAAAAATTTTAATTTTCTTTTTCCTAAAATTTTATTTAAAAGGATTTGTCCCAAAATTTTGATGTTCAATAATTTGAATTTTTATTTATCTTGACTTTTTAAACCAAAAATGAATGTTAATTTGTCACATTTCGTGGAATTTTTTAAATTCTATTTCTCCAAACTTTGTCCTTAGGATGGCAAGAAAACGAAGGTATTGGATGCCACTGTAAGTTAAATATTATTTGGATTTTTGGAAGTTTTGGGGGCTTCGTTGATATGGTGGTGGTAAGGGATGTATAATGTATATTCAGTATGTTCCATTAAACAGCTAAAGAAAATAAGCTAAATGAAAACGAGGGAATAAAGGATTTTATTCAAGGTTTTTATAACTAGTTCCATTAAGATTTCCCCTTTTATCCAGAGCAAATATTTAAGTCATGAAGAAATAAAATTTTAATGAGAAATTTAGCAAAAAGTTCATATTATAAACCGCTTAAATGGAAATAATAAGATTGAACCGAAAATTATGACTTAAGAAAATTGATATTATTTTGAGTCCAGTGCTTAGGATCCATTTAATTTTGATGCGGATCCGGATCCTGGATCCGCACTGAAAAAAAATGGATCAGTATCCGGATCCTGGATCCGCACTGGAATAAAATGGATCCGGATACTGGATCTGCACTGGAAAAAAATGGATCCGGACCCGGATCCAGGTCATTTACTGAATTTCTTTAACAAAAAAAAATAATTTTCAGATTTTTAGTGTTATTTTTTTCGCTTATTTTTATCCTAAAACTTTTTGAACCATTCAGAAATGAGGAAATTCATATAATCTCTCTTTTTTCAAAAATTAGATTTGGGTTTTAGGAGAAAATTTTTGTTTTCTTCTGCAGTTTTTGGATGATATTTCACCCCTTGGATGCGGATCCGGATCCAGTAAGCCCAAATCTTCCGGATCCATAGCACTGATTTTGACTAAACCAACGCAAATATGGGTGGGGGAGGGGGGTTCCCCCCTCTCCGTCCCCGATCTGCGCTTACGCAATATCCTTCGGAACAGACAATGCTAATATAAAAATCTTCTAGAGGGGGGGGAGAATCCAGTGTTAAAGGAAATTATAATATACATTACACCCCTGGTGATGGTTTGGTTAATTTTTCATGTTTTTACTTTTTTATAAATATTGGATTATTGTGGACACCAACACCTAGTTTATTTAAAAATGGCCTGGGAACCAGCTTTACCGGAAATCAAGTTTTCTTTATAAAATGAAACTTACTCAACTATAAACTTTAAACCGTTCTAAACACATTCCCGTCGTTCTACAAAATTCATTTATCAATAATCAAGGGGTTTACAAGTTTTGACGGGATATCCAAACATATCAACAAACGACGAACAGAGATTAACTACCTTTTATATATTTAGATGCTTAAAGATATTACACATTTTCTGGCGTATATACTTATTTATTTTCTGTACTTATTCTTGATAAGTATTGGATTTAATTAAATAACTTGTTGTATGTACAGGCGAGTTTAGATTCGGTAAATCAGTTGGCTTCCCAGACCTATTCTGCTTTTAACAAGGTAAATTGTTAAAGGGACTGTAAACGTAATTTCAAGTGAACTTTCATGCAAAAATGGCAATGTCCGATTCACAAAGGTAGTTTTAAACCCTTTGTCTGAGCTATGATGTAGAAGATAATGTCGTTTTTCAAGTATGTTTTTCTTGAGATGTATAAATTAATTCTGAATCTCCTAATAATTGTATTATTTGTCATGTTTAAGGAGGGTTCCGGATCCAGGGACTCCCTAACCTCGCTCAACTCACAGTTCAGTCTCACAGAGAATCAGATTAAGGTTACTTCATTTTTGTTTAATTAAATTTCTTGGAAAATTATGTTTTTCTTTGAAAAAAGTACAAAAATCTAAAAAAAATGAATGGACAGAACATTGAAAAAAAATCAACTAAATGACTGGAATGATTCAGGATAACTATTTTATTTATTTTATCATGATGTAAAATCTTAATCTCTATTATGTCGACAAGCAACTTTTCTTAAAAGCCCCCCCCCCCCCCCTTCTCTTAACACCATGATGTTACCAATAAAACTAAATATTGTAGGGAACTACCCCCCTGTCCGCTAGCTCTAGTACAGGACAGTTCTTCTCTCTGGGTGAGGATGATGAACCATTAAGTCTGAGTGCAGCGAATAGTCCGACTAAAACACCTACACCTACACACCAAGATATACTAGGTTAGTTACCAGGATATAACACCTACACACCAGGGTATACTAGGTTAGTTACCAGTGCTGAAAACTTTAGAATGATGGATATCAAGAGTAATGCTTAAACTCCTGGTTTTACTAAACCCGAGATTACTTTAATACGCATTCGATATCTAAGAAAGAAGTATAAAATTCAACCAATCAGTGTATCATGTTAAGATGTATTCTTTAAACTTTTGAAAACCCAGTTTTTTTCTGGTGTTAATTGTGTAATATCAATTGAACTAAACATCGATTAAATAAATGTAAGTTTTGGATTAATGTTTGTTAAGACTCGTTTAAAATGATGATAGTCCTAAAATGTGATAAAATATATTTTTAATAGGTTCATATTAACGTGATTAAATTTATATTTGCTCAAATGCTCTAAAAGTCGGCTTGTGAACAACTGGCTTTAATTTCAATCGGATATTAGTTCAATCGATATAGCATTGTATCTGTAATTGTTATCAAACGTAACTTTTATACAGTAGGGATATCTAAAGAAGAGGATTAAGAATAAAATCAAAAGTGTGTACATTGGATACTCAGATTAAGCGATCAGGATTAAGGATATCTCATTATCAAGTTTTCAGCTCTGGATATATACTATATGGGGGGGGGGGATAGTCTGACTAAAATAGCTACACACCAGGATATACTAGGTTAGTTACCAGGATATATACTATATGGGGGGGGGGGATAGTCTGACTAAAATAGCTACACACCAGGATATACTAGGTTAGTTACCAGGATATATACTATATGGGGGGGGGGGCTAGTTATGTCAGACTCAGTTCCAGATCTGTAAATTGCTTTTAAAGGAAGTGACAGGGAATGTATTGTAGTTGAACTGAGAATGTGAGACATTTTTAGAAATCATTTGAGACATATAAAATGTTTTAATGATGTATAATTACTGAGTTTAAGCTCAAAGTCGACGTTCAAAATCATCAATTTGGGTGGTTACGTCTTGAGAATCTATTTTAAAAAAATTATTAAAGAACGACGACAAAAAAGTAGCAAAATTCTAAAGTAAAGCAATTAGTTGATAAGGAACAGGTTTCGAAAAGGAAAATTGACTCTTATTATCGAAAATAAGTAATCTTACTCTATTTATTTTTTTCTTAAATGTCTCATTGTTCATAAAACGTTTCCTGCAGATTTCCCGGAATTTTTATTGAAAGTAAGACGAAACTTGAAGAAATCTACGAACAAATTTGTTAAGAATAAGAAATTCATTATAATGATGGAGAAGAAATGATTGATTTAACATTTATTTATTGACAAATTTCTATTGAGAAATATGTTCCTTAACATCTAATACTGTCGATTTTTTAATATATTTTTTGTCGTCATTATTAAATAGTCTTAAAAAATCGATTCTCAAAACGTAACAATCCAAATGGATGATTTTTAACGTCGACTTTGCGCTCCAACTCAGTAATTATACATCATTTAAACGTTTTATATGTTTCAAATGAATTCTAAAAAAAATCTTCTCAGTTCAACTACCACGCATTGACGGTCACCTTTTAATGATAAGGGGAGTTTAAAAAATAAAGTGGTTCAAGTTACAAGGATTTATTGGGAAAGTAACCATTATAGAATATCAAATAGATTAGTTACAAAAGAACAAAAAAGATAGTTACAAAATGGAAGGCAACATGAGCAGAAAAAAAAGAATATTACAGGTTTGTTAACAGAATACAAAAAAAGCAAGTTCCATAATATGAACAAGCAGTTAGTTACTAGAAAAATATATAGTAGGTTACATTTCAGTAGCCAGAATAAAATATTTCAGTTGACAGAATAAATAAAACTATTTACTAGTGTTTAATATGGCTAATTACCATGTTACCGAGAGAATATGTATAAGTTACCTGGCGATATATTCTTGCGTCCGAGGAAGTAAAATATCGTCTTTTCCACTGATATTCCTGCCGTGAGTCAGCTTATATTAATGTTTTCATTTTATTGATTTTTCTTTTGTTCTCTTTTATAATTAACCTTTCAGTAAATAGATATTATTTTATAATTCATTTTTTTAAATCACAAAAATCTCAAGGTATGATTTAATTTTGTTGTAAATATTTTATATTTTATATTAAATATTGTGAATAATATTCAACCCCTGAGTAACACTTGGTCCGGTTATGTAGATATACTAGATTAGAATACAGTGTGTGTGTGTATATAGATACAGTGAGACGTGAATGGAAATAGATTATTTTTATAACATTTAATATTTGAACTATTACAAAGATTAGTAGATAAAAAAGAGCTGATAACTAAGTTAAATCCAAATTGTAATTATTATGATTTAAAATTCGGTGACGGTGATGGACCAAACCTCTGTGTAGAGTAAAAAATCCCAGAAAATTAAGTAGTTTAACCTATATAAATCCTTAGTAATGAGTTTATAGAAAATTAAAATCTTAAGAAACTAAATCCAAAAAATTTAAGCCCCCAATTAAGTCCTAGTTATTAAATTAGTTCAAAATATAATATAAATAAAATAAAATAGTTCAAATTAATTTTTTAAAAGATATTTTTTGGGAAGTTCTTCGAAAGTTAATAAATCCGAAAAATATAAGCCGTAATTAAGTTCTAGTTATTTAATTTAATAGTTAAATTAAAAATATAAGCCGTAATTAAGTTCTAGTTATTTAATTTAATAGTTAAATTAAAAATATAAGCCGTAATTAAGTTCTAGTTATTTAATTTAATAGTTAAATTAAACCTTCAAATCAAATCAAATCATATTCTTTTCTGCTGTAAATATTACAACAAATTAAACAATAAATAAAAATAAAAATATAATTGAAATTACTGTAGCAGGGGGGCTAAGATGGCATAAACCAAGCTGTTTTCACTAAGCCCCAATTGTCCTATTTAAATTATATTCTTATCCTAAAGGATAAAATCCAAAAAACGAATGCCTTTGAACTCGAGAATATTTAATCCTGAAACTGAAAATCAAATTGCAAAATAAAAGGAAAACTTACCCCCCCCCTGTCCCCCACCTCCCAATACCAATCCTTTTTTATAGATAACTAGCCTTAGAGGGCGCTTCGTGCCCATCTTCTAAATTAATTGTGAACATGTTCTCTTTGTGTACATCGTAAAACAAAACAAAAATAATTCGCGGATTTTCACAAAAAATTTCGCGGATTTTTAAAATTTTAAAAAATTTAATGACGATCGAATTTTGATGGAGACAAATATTTAAAATTTTGATGATTCATAAACCTTCCCTTGAGTCCCTAGATGTCCCACAAAAAATTTGGGCCCGATCGGTTCAGCCGTTTTGACGTTTATTGGATACAAACAGACAGACAAACAGACAGACAAGCCAAATGTATATATAGATAGAGCTATATGATGAATTAATTATGTTAATGAATACATAAGATTTTGAGAGGGGAGGGGGGGGCTTAAAATTTAAAATAAGCAATAAATATATTGATAATTATATTGATATATTTTCAAATGGAACTAGACTGAAAATAAGGAAGAAAATTAATAAAAATATATAATTAAAAAATAAATAAATCAATATATAGATAAAGAACGATGAGAAAACTTTTCCGAGAGAAATAAGAAGAATGATATAAAAGAGATGAGGAAGGGAGGGGGGGTGGCGGCATATGTTTTAGTGCAAGGAGAAATAAAAAATTTAATAAATTGTTTAAGCAAGTGTGATTTTATTGGTTTTCACGACAAAATCTGTACTTCAACTCTAGATTAAAATGATATCACATCTAGATTTCTATTTGGAAACCAAGGAAAAAATACACTGGTTTAAGAAAATTACCTTTTCAACATTATCATCATTTTGTTCAAATTCTACCTTTTGATAAAAAAAAATTATTTATGTTTTATTTTTTTTCTATCACATTTTTTCTTAGAAATTGTTTTATTTTTATGATTTTAGATGTTAAATTATGATTGTTGATATGAATGACTTCCTGCATAGTGAGATTTAATTTTTACGTCTAAGTTTAATAAAAAAAATTATTTTTTTCCAAAAATAGGTCATATAATACAATAGATACTGAAGAACGTGGTAACTAAATTTTTAAAGAAGGGAGTTGGGTTTCATTCAATAATGATAATTGTATTCACGTTTTAACTTGTTTAAGTGTTGTTTTATTGTATTAGACTGAAACTTTGCAGCCTGTAAATCGTAATATAGGTAAAAGATAGAAAATTAAAATTTTATTTTTTATTTTTTACTGTCTCTACAAAATGCTATTTCTTGTCGACGCTATTTTTATGATGGAAGTTTAACGAGATATTTTTATTATGTTGGTGTTAGTGCTTCCTTTGTTTCTATCAATTTTGTTTAATCCTAGGTTGTGATTTATTAATGCCACAACTAAAGACATTTTTAAGGGTTTAAATCATGTTTTGTTGTTGTGGAAAATCTCATCTTGTGTGTAATAAATTAAAGCTGTTTTCTTACTCCGTTTAATAAATAATTTACTAACATGGTTGTTAATGACCTCTTATTTAGGAAGTATGACCTCTACTCCAACTGGTCGAGGTCGGAGGTTGTCTAGTGGAAGTATGGATGCATCTCTATTCCCTATATACGAGGATCCGGGATCAGAATCCATTCCTCTGTTCTCCGATCTAGAATCCACTGCTGGATCAGAGGTAGGCAATATATCTGAACTGAAAGTGACCATCTATTAAGAGTGGCATGCCCGATTCGCTATTGTATACACACCAAACCTTTTTTCGATCAAGTATGAATAAGAAATTTTTTTTCTTTCAGAAAATTGATTATTTTCAATTCTAATTTCTCCTATTTAAGAGGCTAACAATATAATAGATACACAATGAAGGAAATTATGAGAATTGAACAATTTTTATAATAGAAAACCGACGATATCTTCCTAATTGTTACCAAATTAGAGGTCTAAAGGTATCATTGTGAAAAGCACATGCCACTTAACTAATGGAAGGTCACTTGAAACGATGTCAACAGCCCCTGAAAATACTTTTTAAAATCTATATTTTTTCTGCTCATGTAAACTTCTGCACAGCATTTGTTTTATAAATGATAAAAGCAATGAATTTAAGCATAGTATTTCCAGTTTTACAATAAAATGATAATACACTTTTTATAAAAAATGTTGAAACCTTGAAACCATAGATAATTAGTTCAGGGGATTCACTTCACATTAATGGAACCATAAAAGTAAAAAACACGTAGCTGTTGTTTATATTTTAAGATATTTAAGTAAAATGAGACTTACACTGGCATTTTTTTTCTCTTCTCTTATACCACAAAATTCTTCAAACTTTTGTTATTACGGCCATGTTGTTTTTTCTATTTGTGCATACATTTCTATTTTTTTGGAGAACATTTTTTAAAAATAGAATAATTTTTTCTGAAAATGTAAAGAAATCTAGTTTTACTTTCCAACTAATGAAATTATTGAGCTGTGAGGGAGGAGCTTGAAATTCCAAAGCTATGTTACAGGCTGGCTGGGATGACAGCTCGGCTCAGCTGTCAGCTGTCAGCAAGGAACAGCTGTATGGCATGCTGGCGAAGATGAGAGCAAGATATCATAAATATAAAGGACGGTGAGGATTTAGGAAACCATTTTAACCTAACACAATCTTTTCTAATAGAAAAATAAATAAAAAAAAATGTCTTACTCCCCCATCCATCCGCTCTTCCCCTCATAAACAATTTTTTATGGAGGGTGGGGGGAGTCACTAGAATTAATTCCTATTTTTTCTTCTTCCAAAAAGTCATCTCTCCTTAAATTGTAAAGAAAATGTTAAGTGAACTTTTTCTTATGCATGCTTATATTTTTTTAGGGTTTTTACTATTTACCGTATGCAGCAACATAAATAATAATAATAACAATATGAATGATGATATTAGTCAAAATAATAATAATAATGATACTAAATTAATACAGGTACACGGATCTAGCTAAAGCATACCGACACTTACAAGCAGAGAATACGAAGGTGAAAGAGGTTATGCAGCAAACACAGGATAAAGCCCTCAGGTACATACATGGGTAGATAAACATGCGTTTAACTTGATAACTTTATAGATTTTAATCATGTCATAAAAAGGGGTAAAGTGTGTAAGCTTTTTTGGATTTTTTATATGTCGCAGGTTTATTTTTCAATCCATTAAAAAAATTAAAATGTAAGGGCATGGAAGGTGCTTGCTGTCTCTGTTGCGGCCAAAATTTGTCCAGGGGGGGGGGACTTTTACGAAGTGGGGGTGGGAATTTCCTCATCCCCCACTTAAGACGGTATTGGGTCAAGATAAAAGACAAGGGACAAAAGAAGTTCAATGATGCTTATTCAGACGTATTTCTGAGCTGCGGGAACAGAGTTCTTTAGAGCAGCAAGCGAAGCAGCATTTAGAAGAGGAGCTGCGCGCAGAACTAGAAGAGAAGCAGCATATTATAAATACTCTCAAAACAAAGGTAGTAAATGAAACGAATAAATCCAAATAAAGGGTTGAAAAAATAAATTTAATTAAGTCTTAGGAGAGGGTTTTTAATAAAAGAAAATTATTGTTTGACAATTAATTATTCGAATTTTTACAAACTTAAATTGGAAGCGGTCCATCTTTTTAAGTAGTACATTGTTATACTCAAATACATTTATAGAATATTAGTGTATCATGTGCATTGTGCTCAGGCATAATTTTTAGTCATATTTGATATCTTTTCATTAGTTTAATTATGAAAATGTCATAAAATCAAATTTGAAAAATAGAATTTTTTCATTTTTTTACTTTCTGAATTCTGAATCACGTAATTTGAGATTGAGATTAACTACAGTGGTCGGCGTTTAAATCAATACACTGAAGACGACTTTTCAATTTAAGTTTTGATATTAAACAAGCTTTTTTCAAATTACAACTTTACAAGTCCACAAAGAGAAGCTGTAAATTAACAACTTCGTTTCTATGTTTATGTGTATAGTGTATCCATGATATAAGCTTGGTAGAAATCATAAATTAAAATCGAAAGTCATCTTCCTTGTATTGATATATACGACGACGACTGTATTAGGCGGCAACAACTAAATAGAGATATTAATTCGATGTCACTAATTTGTTAATTCCAGGTATCTCTACTGAAAGAGCAGCAGGACAAGGAGAAAATGAATGGTGAAGTAGGAAAACTAATTGATCTAAGCATGGACAGCGGACTGCACGAGGAGAGTATAGGACGAGGGAAGACGGACGACGGGGGAGATGACGATGGATCAGAGCAGACAAGGTCGGACGAAATATTATGTGATGAGTCGGAGAGGAATGATCATCAGAACGAGAAGATTAAACGATTAGAAAGTTTGTTGAACAAATGCAAGGTAGTATTTTTTAAAGGCCTAATCTCACTATCACTTTTATAGTGATACTTCCTAAAGGTTTGATGCGTTTTTAAAACGTTTCAATTCACATAGGAATAAAGTTTTTTTTGTAATTATATCTGCAAATAATTTAAAGATATTTTAATTTTAAGTTAGATGAATTTTTTCTTCTGCATTTTTAAAGTTTCTGTTCTTTTTTTTGTTAATTTTTTTTTATTTAATCTTTTTCATGGAATAAATGCAATTAAATTAAAATCATTCATCATAGGTTTGCTTTCATTTGATTTTCAACGACGAATGTATGATATGAATTGTTTTTATTTCTCTCTAGGAATATAACAATAATAATTATATTATATTGCTTTGAATATTGACATTGAAAATATTCAAATGTTTTGCAGGAGAATATCAAGGCAAACAAGCAGAAAATAGGAGCTTTGTCTGAAGTAAAGGAGCAGCTTGCCGAGCAGCTTCTGAACAAAGAGAAGCAGCTTGAGCAGCTTACAGAAAGAAATTCTAAAGTAAGCAATTCAGGCAAATTGTTACATATCATAATAATGATGCTTTTTTTTGTCAAAAAATACGTTTTGTCGGGTCATTTTCACTAATTTTGGTTGGCTATTGTGTTAAGGTTTCATGGTCAGTTACACTAATGATAGTGCTAGTTTATATAATTGGTGTGATCACGAATTTATACATTCTGTGTCTTTGCTTTCATAAGATTTATTTTTTAGCTTGAGGATGACGTTGAGAAAGCCCGAGCTCGCGAGCAGAGCGAGGAGATACAACTGGCGGAGACAAAGCTAGTCATGCACAAAGAACTCCTAGAGAAGGATGAACAGGTTCTTTGAGATTGATTTAATGGATGGATTTATTAATTTATTTTATGATTTATTTATCGATTGATTGATTTATTGATTGACTAGCTTGGGAACCCAGCGTTGCCCAGAGTACTCATAGTTACTCCCGCCGTTTTTAACCAATCAAAATTTGAGGCAAATCGGTCAAGGGGTTCATAAATTATGATCGGTCAAAAAAACGGACAGAGATTACATTTTTATATATATAATATAGAAGAACTGATTAATTGACCTGTGAATAGTTGAATAATTGTTTAGTTGTTTTATCGATTGTTTGTGTTGGTGGATTGGTGGATTTGATTAATTAGTTGTTTTATCTATTGTTTGGGTTGGTGGTTTGGTGGATTTGATTGATTAGTTGTTTTATCTATTGTTTGGGTTGATGGTTTGTGGATTGTTTGAGTTAATTAATTGATTGATTGATCAGATGGGAGAGCTCCGACGGTTACTGACAGTAGAGCAGGAGGAGGTGAAGAGGAAGGAGCAGGAGCTGGAGGTGCTGAGGAGGGAAAAGGAGAAGGAGGTGGCAGACTTTAGGTTGGAGATTAAGGAGATGGAGAAGGCACAGGCTAGCATGGAGCTCAGACTGGAGGAGGAGAGGAAAACGGCAATGGAGGTAGAAAAATTCTGTCTTCCATGGGTCAACAAGTGGTTTTTCTTGGAAATCGGATTTTTGTATTGAAGTTTAGTTCATGATTAGCTCTTTTTTTAATTTTCAACCAAAATCTCTGTAAAAATTGGGCCTAGAAGTACATGAAATGACGGTTGACTGATCATTATTTTTACTTCTAAGCTTGTGGTCATAAAAAAATAATTTTCAACAAGCAAATTGATAAAAAAAACTTTTTTTTTAAATTGTAGAAGTATTGGAACTTGGAAAATTGAAAAAGGGATTACATCGAGTAGGCACAACAAGTTTGTTACTAGATAGTAGCAAATAGATTATCAAGTACAATAGGTGGCAACAGAGAAATGGACCAATTTTACACGACGTCACAAGTGTCAAATATAACAAGGAAAACGAAATGTTCTCAAATTAGTTAACATGTTTTCAAAGATTAAATAAAAAAGTGTAAAAACAGAAACTAAAGAACATCCATTGCCATCTATTGTACTAGAATCTATACAGATAGTAGTAATATTTCTATGGGAGTGGAGAAACTTTGAAAAGAATAATATTTTGATAAATTATGACGTTATTAATTTTCTCATTGATGTGATAATTAGAATTAATATTTCTTACATTTTTTTGCAGATGAATTACAAAGTTGAGGTAAAATCATTACACCCTGTGTTGTGCTGTACTTGTTATTATTAATTTATGCTTGTCTTGCTTATTTTTTATTTCTAGTTTGAAATTAGATTTAAATTTTTGCCCCTGTTGTTTTAATGCATGATCGTTTAAAGCTTATAATGAAGCATAGCATTTGACTTGACATACTTTCGTTCGGTTTACTTGGATCAATGTATATTGTTTACCTGGTCAGAGGCCGAATTTAAAGAATTTGAGCCGCGGCTTAAATTTGAGACGCTGCTCAAATATGGTTGGTTTCACTTAAAATTGTATTTAATGTTTTAAGATTTACTCCGGCGCTCAATTGAAACCGGTGTTTGGCGGATTTGAGACGCGGCTCAATTCATTAAATTCGGACTCGGATCTTGTAGCCAGTAGGTACGGATGGGCAATTACTTTGAAGTGGTTTGCAACATTTCAAAACTGTATGCTGTAAAAGTTTATTATTTAACTATGCAAATTTTCATCCTATAGAAAATAAAGTAAAAAAACGAAACAAATCAAAAATAACTGTAAATATCTTCTCGAACTCTGAGGGCCAAATTTTTGCAATTGTTTGAAATAAGCAATTTTGAAATTTGTAAAACTTATCAGATTTTTTTTAACCTTATAAAAGTCTAAAAACCTAAGAATTCCCCATCACTACATGTCGATCTATTTTCAAGTTTTAGCATGTTCTAGATCATAAATTATTAAATACCTTTTTTTTCTAATAAAAAGATTTTATCTGTCGTTTCCCTTAGTTTTTGATAGATTATATAAACTGAAGGATTGAATTTCATTTAAATATTTTTTCCTATCTTGATTATTATTATTATTAAACAGAACTTCTGGGAAGCCACACCCATCAATACTTTCCCTCACGATACGTGTACAATCACGCCTTGGGTCGTGTGTTTCTATCATGAAATATTTTTGAATGCTCAGGAACTGTCCCGAGGAAAGGAGGCAGCCCTTGAACATGAACGGACTCGACTCAACTTACTTCATAAAAAGGTAGGATCAGGAAGTGTTTATTTTCCTCCTGAAAAATATAGGTTTCTGACAACATAATTCATAATTCATTCACTTATATTTATCATTCTCACCAAATAAAAAAATTATATTTTACGAAATTCGTATTTTATTAATACGATAATACAATAGAAAAAAAAAGAAAGAGAGAATATTAGAAGAATCTAGGAGATTATATACAGTGTGTCCCAAAAAAAACTTTGCTGTAGGGGTATTGGGTGCTGAGAAAGCAATTTTTGTTCAATTTTAACAATCAAGGTGTCATTGAAAAATTCTTTATTTCAGTTATTTCATGGTCTAACTTTTTTCTTTCTAGATCTCATTCCTTATTCTTACAACCACTGCTTTGAATAAAAGTCAAAAATCTGAAAATCTGAACATTTTTTGCCCAGATGGCTTAGATCAAATATCCTTGATGAAAAAGTTAGCTGTGGAATATTCCATTTAATTTCCAAAAAAAAAAATATTTTTACACAATTTTTGTGGACTGGGCAAAGTTCTTACGGACTATAGAGAGACAGTAGCTTTCTTTTATTTTTTTTTTTTTAATGCTAATTTTATTTTTAAATTATTTAGCTCAGAAAATAATTTTTTGCTGGTCCAAAATGTTGGCTTAAAAAGGAACCTCAGACCAACAGCTTACTTAAAAAAAAATGCGAAAATCTGCTTTTTTTCATAATGAATAAATAAATGAAAAGAAAATGTGAAAAAAACAATAATTTGAAAAATCAGGGAAACCTATTTTTGAAATAACTGAAATATAGAGCTTTCTAATGACACCTTGTTTGTGAAAATTGGAGATAACCCGAAGTATAATGTTATTAGGTTACAAAGGTAAGTAATCGTATAAAGGTTTGATCCGAATAGGGAGATAACCCGATGTATGATGTTATCTATTAGCAAAGATAATTGATCACATAAAGTTTAGATAACTTGAGGGGTGATCTTATCATAGTTTGCTAATTCAAGAGTTATGATTTATTGCATCATAAATTTTTGGTTGTAAGAAATTACCACAAGATGGAATTGAGAAGACACGAGAAGGAGATTGTATAATGTTTAGGAGGTGGAGATGGAATTGAGAAGACAGGAGAAGGAGATTGTATAATGTTAAGGAGGTGGAGATGGAATTGAGAAGACAGTAGAAGGAGATTGTATAATGTTAAGGAGGTGGAGATGGAATTGAGAAGACAGGAGAAGGAGATTGTATTATGTTTAGGAGGTGGAGATGGAATTGTGAAGACAGGAGAAGGAGATTGTATAATGTTTAGGAGGTGGAGAGGGAATTGAGAAGACAGGAGAAGGAGATTGTATAATGTTTAGGAGGTGGAAAGAGAATCGTAAAGAAAGGAGAAGGAGATTGTATAATGTTTAGCAGGTGGAGAGTGAATTGAATAGTCAGGAGAAGGAGATTGTGTTATGTTTAGGAGGTGGAGATAGAATTATAAAGACAGGAAGAGGAGATTGTATTATGTTTAGGAGGTGGAGAGGGAATTGAATAGTCAGGAGAAGAAGATTGTGTTATGTTTAGGAGGTGGAGAGGGAATTGAGAAGGCAGGAGAAGGAGATTGTATTATGTTTAGGAGGTGGAGAGGGAATTGAATAGTCAGGAGAGAAGGAGATTGTGTTATGTTTAGGAGGTGGAGAGGGAATTAAAAAGACAGGAAGAGGAGATGAGGAGAAGGATGGAGGAGGTTGAGGAGGAGGGGAGACTGGGGAAAGAGGAAATGGAACTCAGGTTAGTGTCTTTGATTGTTTAGTCTTAGACCTTAGACCTTATTCCCTGATATTCTGATATTGCCGGATCAAATTGTTTTTGAAAAAATCCAATTTGTGGTAGAAATTATCGTATTTATCTTCATAAATTACCCTTAATTTCTTCAAATCTTCTAAATATATTATAAAAATATGAATTATTCCTTAATTTTAACAATTGAATAGTTTTGACAATACCACCATTCTTTAAGGACTGAAGAGGATATAAAATATATCGAAATTAATTTCCAAATCCGAGTTTTTCTACCTGTGAGAGTAAAACCTTTTTTTTGCCAGTTTAGACAATATACAATTGAATTATCGTTTTCCAGATTATCTGTACTTTCTGGATCTGAGCAACAAAAAGCACGGCAGCTGTCGCAACTGCAGCAGCAGTTGTCTCACATTCAAGATGAGAAAGCTGCTCTTCAATCACAACTTGAGAGCAGCAAAGAGAACAGCGCAGAAACCAGGAAAATGGTTGAACAGGTATTTTACTCCAGAAAACTGTAGAATAGGAAGACGACATTAAAGCAATTCTGAAGTGCATTTTATTTTGTTAAAAAGCAAATAGCTTTACTAGTAGAGGGAGGGAACACCCGGACGCATGAGCCTCCACCATGCAGACACAAGCCTCCCCAATTTGCTAGGCAGACCGAGCCTCGTCATGCAGTAAGAGACTCCACTATACAGCACAGCTTCCTACAAATCTTGGGCTTTTACAAGTAATATGGAATTTTAAAAAAAATTTCAACATATTGGCACAAGAATTTTACTTAAGATTAATGTTGTTCATTGATTGTCATGATTTGTAACTTATATTAACTCATATTGGTTTATAAGATTTATGTTTTACAATAAAACATTTCTTATGCAGTAAGGAGGCTATTTGGAAACTCATTTCTTTATTGAACTTAGTTTATCTTATTTTAATCTTTGGTTCATACCAGGGGTATTAAACCTGGATGAACCAATCCTGGGTATTAAACCTGGATGAACCAATCCTTGGTATTAAACCTGGATGAACCAATCCTGGGTATTAAACCTGGATGAACCAAAACTGGCTATTAAACCTGGAGGAACCAACCCTGGGTATTAAACCTGGAGGAACCAACCCTGGGTATTAAACCAGGAGTTTAAGCATTAATCATGATATTCACCATTCTAAAGTTTTCAGCTCTGGGTATTTAACCTGGATAAACAAACCCTTGGTATTAAACCTGGATGAACCAACCCTGGGTATGAAATCTGGATGAACCAACCCTGGGATTTAAACCTGGATGAACCAACCCTGGGTATTAAACCTGGATGAACCAACCCTGGGTATTAAACCGGGATTAACCTTCCCTAGGTATTACACCTGGTTTTTGAATTACATACTAGACCTCTTGCATGTAAAAACCAAAGAGTTATAAGGAAGCTCTGCTGTATAACGGAGGCTCGTTTGCTGCAAAACGGAGCCTCTTGCTGTATGGTGGAGGCTCATGGCGCCCGGGGGTTCCCTCCCTCACTAGTAAGTTATTAAATCTATGTATCATGTATCTAGGTATCCGAGCTTGAGAGGGTGAAGTCTGATATTCAGGGATTAAAGGCAGAGAAGATAATTCTGGAGGAGAAGGTTGGAAACCTAACCAAGGAGCTCCAGGCCTGTAAAAAGGAGATCGGTAATTTTTAAGTGTTGTCTTAGATTTGATGTTCTTAATAAAGCTGTTTTTACATGATAAAAATGAACTGAAATTTGATGAGGCTGAGGGGATCATTGTTGACCCTCAAATTTTAAAGTGTCCAAATTGGATATCAAGATCAAGCTTTAAGAATTAACAACATCCACACAAAAGTTCCAATATCTGATCCTGATCTAACATTGAATCTGAGATTGAATTCATTTTATTTGTCAATCATTCCAAGCTTTTTAACAATGGTTTTCTTTTTAGTTAGTAAAGAGGACGTGGAGCGAAGTTTGTTGGAGGATCTGGAGACCGTTAAAAGAACGATTAAAGATAAGGAGGTCGGCCTTCTAGAGGTTCAGAAGGAGCTCACCAAGTATAAGGAGGACACTGAAAAACTACAGAAGGAGAAGACGAAACTGCAGGAGTTTGGGAAAAAGAAGAAAGTTGAACTAGAGAATAAGGAGAAGGAGTTTAAAGAAAAGCTGGATAAGAACAAGACTGAAATGAAAGTAAGCTTAGAAGAGAAGCAATCTAGTTTTAAATCCCAAATTGATGAAAAAAACAATAAGATTTCTGAGATGCTAGAGTCCTTGGCCAAGTGTGAAGAGGAGATTAAGGGGTATGAAACTAAGCTGCATAAAGCAGAGCAGCTCCGACGTGATGAGAGTGAGATGCATATGAAGAAGCTACGTGCTCTGGAGTCCCAACTAACAGCTGTAGGAGAGGATAAGGAGTCCTCTCTTCAATCCAGAATAGATATTCTTAATGAATCTCACTCCACGGAGTTAAAAGAGAAGGAGAGCGAGATTAAACGTTTGCAGACGGAGATTAAAACATTCTCGGATTCTTATCATGAGATGGAGGACAGGTTGAAGATAAACCTGGAGAGCAGTCTCAAGTCCGAGGAGGAGATGGAGATCAAGTTCAAGGATATGGAACAGAAACTTGTAGATTTCAACACAACACAGACCAAACTTTCAGAAGTAGAGAAATATAAATCTGCCCTGGAGGCGAAAGTAAAGGAATTGAAGTCAGGTGCTGAGAAACAGAAAAACAAGATGGAGGAACTGGAAAGAAACAAGATGGCTGAACTGGAGAAAGTTCTGGCGGAGAAAGAACAGGTTTCTAACGAACTTTGTCAGACAAAAACTACCGTTAAAAATCTTGAAGCTAATTTGAGCAGTAGTGAGAGTAAAAACTCTGAATTAAGCCAGAAAATCAGTGAGATATTTGAGAAAAGTACGCAGCAGAATTGTGAGCGAGTTTCAGAGCTGGAGACAGAACTTGAGACGATCAGATTAAACCTTAGAGAGACGGAGTCAACACTTGAGACCAAGGTTTAGTTTTCTTTTTTCTTTCTCTTCATTTCATCAATTCAAAACCGTTCTTTTTGACCTTTGATTTAGGTTGATGAACTACGGGATGCAAACGAACGCGTTGAAGATCTACAAAATATTCTAGAAAAGCTACAAGACGTCGAGGCTAAGAACAAATGCCTGGAAGATCAACTTGGTAAGCAATCATTTCATGGCAAACGAACTAATTATGTGCATCAAACAGTATATTATAATCCTATATCTTTGCATCCTGATTGTGTTAAACTTTATAACTATCAGAATTCATAGTTAGATTGATGAGATTAATAAGATAAAAGTAAATTAGTTCTTATATTTAAAATTTTAAATGGTTTAGATCAGAAGGTTCTTGAGCTGAGGGAGAGTAACGAGGAGCTTGAAGAGCTCAAGAGGATGACGGAGGAGCAGAAGATTGGTCTGGAGCAGGAGCTGGAGCACCTCAAGTTGATCAGCAGGCAGGAGAACGGCAGCAGGGGGGACATGGAGAAAGAGTTGATAAGTCTCAAGGTATTTTTTCTTCTTTTAAGCTCACACGTCTTTAAAGTGTCTGCAAGAGTATTTTCAAGTGGACCATTCCATGTAAAGATGCCTTGCGTACATTGTGAACTGAATGCAGTTGACGTCACTTGTGCCGTGCTAAAATTCCAAATATTTCACGTTCGAAGTCGTTTTCAAATGTTCGAAAGTAAATATTTATTGCGGAGTCTGTCAGAAAGTAAATATTTATTGCGGAGACTGTCAGAAAGTAAATATATAAATATTTCTCGAATATAAAACAGCTTGCAATGAAGTGTTCAACAATTACAAGTGTTTCAGTAAATAAACAAGCAAAAGTCTACCAACCTTGATTTCTTAAAAGTTTAAAGGGTGCCGTTGTGAATTGGGGATTTCCCTCTTTAAATGGAAATTACGCCTACAGTCCCTTTAAAAGTGCCATTAACCATTTATTATTTATTATTTATTATTTCACCATGTTTAAACTTTTGCGTGTTTGATGTGTAGATTGTAGATACCTTTGTCTACATAAAAATAAAAAATACGACATTTGCTATTCTACAAGGAAAGATCATCAAGAAACTGGAAATCCTTTGAAATTGATTTTGATTAGAAAAATTGAAAACTTAGCAGAAGCCACCTGTTCCCCATTTTAAAGTGTATTTACCAAATATGTGTTTAAGCCTGATAGAAAGGGGCCGGTATAAGATTTTATTTTAAAGACCGCATTTAATGAATTTGAGCCAGATCGTTAAACTACCTACTGTAGATTTAAATACTTATCTGTAGTGCTGCAGTGTAGTTTTCATAAATAGAACATGTAAAAATCCTGAGTCCAAATTTAATGAATTTGAGCCTCGTCTCAAATTCGCAAAAAAAGCGGTTTCAATTGAGCTCCGGCTTAAATCTGGAAACATTTTAAATTCGGCCTCTAGATCTCCGATTCAAGATACGTAGTCAAACCGTCTCTAGACTTCGCTCAAATTTATTAAATTTGTTATTTTTTATTCTCAGGATCAGTTGAACTCTAAACAAGCTTTGCAAGATCAAATGGTAACTTACGAGAAGGAATTGCAATCAAGGTTCGTCAGTTACGAAAAGTACGATTAACTTGTTTAGGAATTTTTTTTCTTCAAGTTTATTACGTCATTTTCCCTTATAATCAGAACTTAACATTTTCCCAATTATGATTATTTGATGGTTTTTTCTTTCGATATTTTAACAATTATTTTGATTATTCCACTTTCTTCCCCCACATTTCTATATTTGATTAGTAAAATTATTTTTTCGAAATGTTTCAGAACCTCACAATTATTTTCAATTGTTCAGATTATTTAGTAGGTAGCTTATACTAAACTATGATGATATATTAAATATATTTTTGTCTACTAGGATATCTGAGTATGAAGGAGAAAAAAGCAACCTGGAGAATAGGTTGAGAGTGGAGGAGGAGAAGGTGCAAAACCTGCAGGAGGAGATCAACAACCTCAACCTCCACTATCAGGAGGAAGCGGACAGACATAAACAAGATTTAGAGATGAAAATCAGGTTCGAAACACATTAATACATAAATCTCACTAGATTGTTCATTTGACGTACTGTCCCGTCTTGCCTTAAATTGTCTGTATGTGAATTGTAAACCAGAGATACAGGCTCAACCTCAAAGGCTGAGACTGTAACTTGATGACCTATAACATTTCCAAGGTCGAATTGAGTCTACTGCTTTGATTATAGGTTTTTATGGCTTTTTTATTGATTGGGAAGAGAAACAAAGTTTATTGTTGGATGGAATCATAAATGTAAGGAAACAGACAGTATTAATTCCGTACAGTCGTTTCTAACCCAGTAGGTTTCAATACGGTTCAGGATCTTGGCCATTTTTATTTCATTAGGCTTTTAGGGCGCTTCAAGTGTTTATAATTTACGATTTAAAATTATTTTCTTCTTCTAAACTTTATTGACTTTTTTATTCATTAGGCAACGATGGAGATTTGTCTTTAAGATTTAGATTTTGTTTATTTTGATATTTGGCCACTTAAATGGACTGTTAGTAAAATTTCATGTGAACCTCCATGTAAAAATAGCATTTCTCGATTCACAATTGTACCTCTGATGATCAAGTATAAATTAGATATGAACATTTAGAATTTTGAAATCTGATAATTTACTATTGGGGTTTCAAAAAAATATTTTGTGCAATTCTATTGCAGGAAAACATATAAGAATATAAAAATAACACCTTTAAACCTAGAAAAATAACAATATCTGCCACATTATTGATCAGAAGATTTTAAGGTTACCGTTGTGAATCGGGCATTGTCATGTTTGCATAAAGGGCCACTTGAAATTACGCTTGCAGTTCCTTCAAAATCTAGATCCTCAGATATGAGCTGAAAGTGTGGTTGTGAATTATTGATGACGCACTTTAATTAGATTAAGTAAACAATAACTTTTAAATTGCAGGCTGGAGAGGGAGAAGGAGAACTCCCAGAAGGAGTTCAAGATGCAGAGTATTGAATACGAGAAGAGACTCCAGGATCAGCTTCAGGAGAAAAATTCAAGGTAAAATAATATCGACAGATTGATTGAGATTTTCAAAAATTACAAGAATGACAACTTTGAGAAGGAGGAGAGGGGGGGGGTTGAAAAATACCACCTAAAGGGACTGTACACTTAATTTAAAGTGACACACATGCAAAGATTGCAATGTCCGATTCATAACGGTACCCTTGAAACCTTTATCTGATTAATTATATGAAAGATAATGTCATTTTTTAAGGGTTAATAGTGTAAGTCTGATTATTTCAATATGTTTTCCTCCAGTAAAAATGCCCAAGTAACTTTTGGACAGAAACCAAAATTGAAAATAATCATTTTTCAAAATTATTAACACTAATATCCAATTCATACTTGATCAGACAAAGCTTTTAAGGGTAACGTATTATATCAGGCATTGCCATCTTTGCATGGAAGGTCACTTAAAGTTATGTTAATAGTCCCTTTAACTGTCAAACTAACTATCCTCTTTTTCCCTAGAATATATTTAAGGATGACAATAAGATTAGCTCTGATCACATCTTATTGTTAGTTCATAAAAATTGGTTGCTGGTCCTAAGTCAGAAACATTTTTGAATCTCAATTCCTTATTTTTATATTATTATTTTATTATTGATTTTATTGTGTTTTTTTAGAATTGATCAGTTGGTCCAAGAAATGGAATCCTTCAAGAAAGAGCAGGGTCAAATTGTAAATTCAAATGAAAAGGTACTTTTCATTTAACAATTACTCTAAAGGAGGTCCAGTTTAGAATTAGTCAGGGTGAACTATATTCACTTCAAGTTTCGTTCCCCGCTCTTCACACAAAAGCTGTAATGCCCCTGAAATATTTTTTTGAAGTGTATCTAAATGCATAGTATTTTGAGGTTCCTTTTATAGTTACCCTCTGCCCAGCGCCAATGGGGGTTGACATTTAGATATTTGGGAAGTGGAATGAATATTTGGGCATCAAACTGGTATAAAACTTCCTAAAAATTCCTTATTTACTGAGGGGGGAAAATTGATTTTTGATGGGAGGGGGGGGGGACAATTTTTCAAGAAAAAGTATTCCCCAGGTTGGATTTTTTGACGAATATTGACGTCACTTCCAAGCGCGATCCTACTTATAGTAACAGCATTAAGGTTCTTATGTACAAAAACTATGTGACTGTTACAAAGACGAGCTCCTTTGGCGTTTTTTTATTGTGATATCGAAAGAATCGTTGCGCGCTAAACTTAATTTTATTTTTTAGGAAATATCAAGCCTTCAGGCACAAATACACTCTATATCCTCATCCCTGGCCAAGAGAGAAAACGAAATAAGGAAAATCATTTTTTATTGTTTCTTGGCTTTTATTAATGATGTTGACGCGGATCCAAGTTTTAGTTTAACATTACTCTGAAAATATAAATGATTTGGTTTATCAGGAATCTTGGGGAGAAGCGAGAACAGTTAGAGTCAATATTAGAGGAGAAGGAGAAAGGAGTTCAGGAGTTGGAGACCCAGCTGGAGAACAAGGAAACTGAGCTTAAGGAGGCTCATGTTAAATCTGCCAAAATCCAGGAGAAATATGAACACCAGATTTCTGAACTAAAAGATCAAGTAAAAGAGTTTACAAATACCCTGACTCTTCGGAACCAGGCCTTTGACAACCTCAAGCAGGAGTTGGAGATTAGTAAGACGGAACTAGAAACCAACAAATTAGTATATACCAACAAAATGGCGGAACATGAAAAGAAAATGGCCGACATTGAAAACAAGATGGCTACTGCTGACTCAGAAGTAAAGAAACTGAGGTTAGTTATCAGAAGTGACTCAAAACTTTTTGAGTCAAACATCATATTCTTCGTCTTTAAAGTTTGAAATTAATAAATAAATTGAATTGTCTAAATCTCTTATAATAATATCAGATATCAGAAAAATTTAAATAGTTTGGATTGACCAATTGATTGATTTTTTAATAAAAAGAGAGATTGACTGATACATGATCAATTATAATATAGTAAGAGTCGGGACAGGTTGAAGAGTTTGTTGGAGGAGAAGGAGAAGGCCTTGAAGGATCTTAATCAGCAAAAGGAGATGATATTCGGATCTCAGGTAAGCAAAATAGGAGGGTTAAGGAAGGGATTGATTGGCTTCTTTGTGGATTAATTGCTTGATTGACATGATTATTTGATATATAAAATATAAAAAATATAAAATCTCATGAGCTCGAGGTTCTGACAACAGATGTCTTCAATAGAGGTCAAATAAAGTTTTTTTCTTGAAGCTGATTGTGTTCAAGAAGACATCTTCCGGCTTTTGGACATTTGACATTCCGTAGCTTTTTGATTTGGTTTGATTTGGCTTTATTTAATTCATTTAATTTAATTGGGTTTGGTTTGTTTCAGGAGGAGCTGAACACCCAGACACAGGAACAAGTTCGAACTCTCTCTGCGGAGATTGACCGGCTTAACCAGAGGAATTCAGTTCTAGAATCTGAAATTCAAACATCTAGGTAGAAATAGATTTAACATTTTTCCCGTTATTCTCCATTTTTTTCAGGGGCATTTTTTGGGGTCGGTGGTAAGAAAATTTTGGTTTAACAACTGGGGGGGGGGAGGGGGGTTGACAAAGTGGACATGAACTGGCAAGTTTCCAACCTTATGGGTTTTTTTTTACCAACGAATCAATTTCCCCCCCCCCCCAGAAAGGGTAAAAAAATCGAACGAATTACTTGAAATCTGTGAGGAGTGACTTTATTTCTAGAGAAGGGCGGAGACTGGGGAAAAATACATTATATTTTAAGAACATATATTACTCATACATTCTGTTTTTTAAAGTTGTACATGTTTTTAGTGAAACTTCAGCCACCCTGAGGATTGAGAAGACCGACCTGAAAGATCAGCTGGAGAAGATGTCGGTGGAGATGAACAAGATGAAGAAGGAGTCCGAGAAGTTCTCTGAGAAGCAGAGTATGCTGGAGGAGGAGAGGGACGGGTTGAGGGAGGAGATAAACCAGCTGGAGATAAGTTTTGTCGAGGTTGAGATGGAGAGGAAAAGGTTGGAAGAATCTTCAACTAATTCCGCAGAACTTCAAACTATACTCAAGCAAACAGAAAGGTAGAGTTCTTTGAATTGGTCTTCTTTTAACTTGTATTAGGCAGAAGAAAATTAAAAATATTGTAAATATTGTAAACAGAAATCTCTGAATTTGATTTTTGCAACTTACAAGGTTTATGAGATCAATAACAGAAACTGCTCAGTTGTGAGGTACTTGTTACCTAGCAATATTAATAAATCTATTAATAAACGGATTGAGACTTTTCGTCTAAATAAGTAACTATTAACGATTTTGATTTTCGTGTAAACAAAATTTGTTATAAAAATAAGAAAACTTATTTTTGAGGTTGCACATTTTCGGTAGAAAGTCTAATGGGTCGGGTATTGAAATGAGAAAATAAGATCAGTTTAACTCTTATATAATAAATAAATTAACTTAATACATTTTCTAGTGAGCTGTTGAGTCGTAACGAAGAAATTTCGTTACTCCAGATAAAACTTGATCAGTTGGAGAACTTGAGCTATAACGAACTTAAGGAGGAGAATGCAATGCTCAGGAATATACTTCATACATTTCATACAATTAGACAAATATTATTTCATTTGGACTATGTTCTTTATAGGGGTTCAAGTGGATATTTATTTAAAAAGAGTGTTACAGCATTGTATGATCATTGATCAAGAAAAACTAAGATCTTAATTAAATTGTTGTTTCTTTATATAATATCTTCCACATCATTGTTCAAGCTAAACTAAGATGATATAAATTAAATTGTTGTTTCTCTGTAATATCTTCCATATCATTGGATAGACAAGGGTTAAATGAATTTCAGAATTAGTCCTGTTTTAAATCAGGCATATCCATTTTTAAATTAAGAATTACTGAAATATGTTGAAGGGTCATTCTTTTTAGGTTTTTTTAAATAATGAAGTGTTGTGCATAGTGAGAGATTAAGTCAGTTTGAGGAAGAACGATCAGAACTCGGACATTCGGGGAATAGTAATCATAATGATCAAATAGAGAAGCTTCAAGATAATCATGCAAAAGATATTGCAAGGTGATTATTTTCTTATAAATGTTTATAGGTTTAATTGATAAGATTTTTTTCTTCTTTTTTACCGAACTTTTCCAAGCAATAATTACGAGGTGCTCTTCTAGGAGACTACTTAGTAATAGCAAGTTTTAACAGCTAGCATGTAGGAGAACATTAAATCTTAATAAAATAGAATATTGGTGTATTGGAAAAGTTCGTTTTTCAAGTATCATTTTTTTGAAATAAATCTTCCCACAAGTAGCAACTTTCCAAATGGTACTAGCTTAACACAATAATCCTGTATCTGGTCCAGGTTACGGGAAGAGATCTCTAGCCTGGAGGTTGAACTGGAGGACTGGAGAAGAACTGGAGGATCTGATTTATCTGATGAAACTGAACTCCGGTTGAAGAACCTTATCAGGGAGTGGGAGAGGAAACTAGCGCTCAAAGATAACGAACATATCCAGGTATTCACACTTAATAAATTATTATTATTTTTTTCACTTCTTTCTCAAGTCTTAAAATATTTCGCTTAACATCATTCTGACCCACTCGCACTCGGATATTGCAGTATGTCGTAAAGTTAGAAGCTAGGTCAGAATTTCAGTAGAGGGGATGTTGCAGATAGACGATGTAACTTTACCCTTTTTTTTGAATTAAAAAATATTCCTCAAATTTTCAGAATTTTGGAAGCATTGCGCACCTTTATGTGCAAATACATCTTACCACTTTCATTATGCAGGAGCTTGAAAATATGAGGGAACAGCAGGAGCTGGAGATAAAACGGATCCAACAGGAACATAGATCAGCAATTAGCAGGTATAAGATCAAGATCATCAATTAGCAGGTCAGAGATCAAGATCATCAATTAGCAGTTAAAAAATCAAGATCATCAATTAGCAGGTATAAAATCAAGATCATCAATTAGGAGGTAAAAGATCAAGATCATCAATTAGCAGGTAAAAGATCAAGATCATCAATTAGCAGGTATACGATCAAGATCATCAATAAGCAGGTAAAAATTCAAGATCAGCAATTAACAGGTGAAGAAACACAGATTGCAAAATCTGGATTTTTAGATCAGCATTTAGTAGGTAAAGGAACATAGATCAGCATTTAGCAGGTAAAGAAACACAGATCAGCATTTAGCAGGTAAAGGAACACAGATCAGCATTTAGCAGGTAAAGAAACACAGATCAGCATTTAGCAGGTAAAGAAACACAGATCAGCATTTAGCAGGTAAAGGAATACAGATTAGCATTTAGCAGGTAAAGGAACACAGATCAGCATTTAGTAGGTAAAGAAACAGAGATCAGCATTTAGCAGGTAAAGGAACACATATCAGCATTTAGCAGGTAAAGGAACACAGATCAGCATTTAGCAGGTAAAGGAATACAGATCAGCATTTAGCAGGTTAAGGAACACAGATCATCATTTAGCAGGTAAAGGAAGAAAGATCAGCATTTAGGAGGTAAAGGAACACAGATCAGCATTTAGTAGGTAAAGGAACATAGATTAGCATTTAGCAGGTAAAGGAACATAGATCAGTATTTAGCAGGTAAAGGAACATAGATCAGTATTTAGCAGGTAAAGGAACATAGATCAGTATTTAGCAGGTAAAGGAACATAGATCAGTATTTAGCAGGTAAAGGAACATAGATCAGTATTTAGCAGGTAAAGAACATAGATCAGTATTTAGCAGGTAAAGGAACATAGATCAGTATTTAGCAGGTAAAAGATCGTGTTTTCCATTTTATTTCATTTATCATGATCTTGGACTTTTTAAACTTTGACTTTTGTATTTAAATTCAATTCCAGAAGCGGGATTGTTCAATAGCTCCTTGACCTAGCCGGGGTATGTCATTACAATCCCTTCCATAGTTCTCAAAGTCTACGAACTTAAGGGACAAGTTATCACTTTCTTTCTCCGAATCATTGAAAATACATTTTTGATTTATTTTAATTTTTAGGTTTACGGAGGAGATGAGGGAACATCAGAGGATAGTTGATATGCTGGAGGGGGAGAGGGATGAGTTGAAGAGGAGGGTGGGCGAGGGGGAGAAAGAAGAGGAGGGGAGTATGAGGGAGCTCGAGTTGAAGCAAAGGATCGAGGAGCTTGAGGATAGGATTGTCAGCTTGTCTAGGGATCAGAAAAAGGATTGGGGTTGGGATGATGGGGATGAGATGATGAGTATGACAGATGATTCTCCAGCTATATTTGGAGTTCCAAACCATCAACCTCATCCAGCTAACTCCAAACCAAACCATAATAATTCAGTCAAATATGCGGTAAGCTAAAACAATCGTAAAATCGTTAATCAATCAATCCGACTGTAATTTCTATGATCAATCAATTGACTAACCAATCCGTATTTAGTCTTTATAATCAAATCAGTCTGTAGTTCCTAAAATTAATCAATCAATTAACTAAGATTTGTCTTTAATTCCAATAATCAAGCGATCAATAAACATATTCGACTACAGCTACAATAATCAATCAAATAACAAATCCGTCTGAAGATCTTGTTATCAATCAATTTATCAATCCGTCTCGATGATCTGAAAATCAACAAATAAGTTTTAAGTTCCTGTAATTAATAAATACATCAATCAACCCGTCTCTTATTTTATGATCAATCAATAAACGGGTCTGCATAGTTAAAATTCTATAATTAATTAATCCATTAATCAATCCGTCTCTTAATCTTCTGATCAATCGATGAGTCTGCAGGTCCAATAAATAATCATTCCATCAATCAATTCGTTCTTTTGGTCTTATGATTAATCAATGAATGAGCATTATTGAACAATAAATGAATGAGTCTGTGGTAAAATTAATCCATTTTAATCAATCCTTCTCTTGATGTTATGATCAATCAATGAATTAGTCTTTAGGTCCTGTAATTTATCAATCCATCAATCAATTCGTCTCTTGTTTTTTATGATCAATCAATGAGTCTGTTGGTACAAAAATGAAATGAGCTACTGACAAAATGTATCAGAGTATGGATGAGAGTCCTGAGTTTGAGTACCTGAAGAATATCCTTTATGAATATATGCTCGGAAGACAACCTTTAATCCTGGTTAAGGTAAACACGTACTAGTCCCTGACAAGGAATATACAAAAGAGATTTATAGTCAAATAAATAGTTTTTATTTACTAGCTTCTAGGGCGCTGCTTTTTATTAAACATTTTAGCTTTTAACTGTTTCTCTTCCAGATGTCATTAAATAAAAATAAATTATTATTTACTAACAAATTTTAGCGGATTTTTCTGTTTAAATTTCTGCATTCAAAAATAATGTCAACCCTTTTTTTCCGGGCAATATTTTTCATTAAAGACCATCCATTAACCAATTTCCTGGGGTCATGTGGGTTCAGTCGTTTTGAAGGTTATTGGATACAAACAAACAAACAAACAAACAAACAAACAAGCAAACTATATTTATAGATTTACACAAGTTAACACTGGGGTTGAATCATCAATTCTGTTTTTCATTTATCGGAACTAATTAATTGTTAATTAATGATTGCATTTAGTTAATTCTGAAAATCTAGGTGTTGGCTGCAATTGTGAAATTCACGCCGGAACAGGTTTCTGAGATTATACGAGCAGAAGAGAGGAAACAGTCCTACCTTGCTCCACTAGGATTATCCTAGCTAGGTAGTTTACTACAATCCTTTATACCTTGCTTCCCTAGTATTATCCTAGCTAGGTAGCTTACTTAAATCCTTTATACCTTGCTTCCCTAGTATTATCCTAGCTAGGTAGTTTACTTCAATCCTTTATACCTTGCTTCCCTAGTATTATCCTAGCTAGGTAGTTTACTTCAATCCTTTATACCATGCTTTCCTAGTATTATCCTAGCTAGGTAGCTTACTTAAATCCTTTATACCTTGCTTCCCTAGTATTATCCTAGCTAGGTAATTTACTTGTGGAACTAACATCTACTTTTTTACTCTACAGAGGTTTGGTCCATCACCATCACTGAATTTTAAATCTTCAATTTGTACTCGGAGTACATACGCTGATGTAAAGTAAACTGAATTTACTTCTACACATTTTATTTACCATACGAGGGAAGGGGTGCAGGGCCGCCATGAACTAAATGGTCTCCAAGCCTCCGAATTCGCAGTTTAGTATTTAAAATGACTTGGCCCTACACCTAAACGTTAGAATAGATATTATAGAAGAAATAAATAACATTTTTTAAATAAAATATTTAATATTTAAATAGTTACAGTGTTTTCTTGAATATCGGAAAAAATATGGCATTACTTATAAACTACTAAATATTTTTTTTTAAATTTTATACATTACTTCAATATTATCTATTTTAAACGTCAGGTCAGGTAATTTTAAAACTTATCCGTGAATCCACACATTTTGCTGGGCTCATGGCGTCCCTGCACCCCTTCTTAACGATACAGAAGATAAGAAATAAATAAACTGAAAATACTATTTTTATTACGTAAACGATGCATTTCATGCATTTACTTTATCACCTGTATTTCATGCTTGTATATACGATGTAAGTGTAAACTGTTAATCTTCTAATTAATGGTATGTTCTAGGTTCTCTGTGATCTCTTCCAGTATCTGTGATTTAGAAACTATATAATTAATTTCATCTGTATCTAGCTCCACACTACATAATATACATAACTTTTCAATACATAGGTTCTAATTTAATATCTAATTGTAATCTTGACTCATAGGTATTGATCAGTGATGTACATGGAATTTTTTCTTTCAAGGGGGGACTCAGCGTCCGTTGGGGCCTGTAAACCACCTTGAAACTATAGATTTTTTATTGAACACGGTGGGCGAAGACCCCATCATCCCCCCCCCCCTCCCTGTGGACATCTCTATTATATTGATCATAATTTACCAATGTAATCAACTCCTTACCATCATAGTTTTGATTTCAGTTACCCAATTTCTCACGTATAGCTAGATTTTAATTATAAAATAAATGGTAATCTTTTTATCAAATTAAGTCGCTTTCACTTTATTACTATAGATTAATCAATTACTAGTTCTACTGATCACACAAGGGTGCTACTTCCTACATCTAGTTATTAAATAAAAAGGGTCCTCAGACCTTTTCAAGCCATATTTTTCCGAGACAAGAGTGATTAAATACTGAGATAGATGTTAACATATAAATGTAAAAAGTTCCTCTCTATATAACTTATTGTATTTATATCTTTAAGCAGGGGTATATATATTTTTTTGGATTTTCGTCTACCTTTTACATTGTTTTGCTAAATTGGGGGTAATAAATGTAAAAAATATAGGAAAAGGTAAAAAGATCAATTTTATATACCCCTGTTTTTAAGTTCAATGTGATTATTCTAAATTGTGCAATTGTTAGAATTTGGTTTTTGTCTCTGCTCATTCCATTTTAGTTTTTAATTTAAGAGCTTTATTTATTGTTAATTAATTTTAGTTTTTTAACACTTGTCAAAATTTTTTTTTATTATATAGCAAAGGTTGTAAATGCTATCATGGATGTTATTGTTAAATTTTTTTTTCTTCTTTTGAATGTCTTTTTTAATTGTCCCCCGGTACAAAAATTCCATTTTTTAAAAACATTTCCTCGCTCCATTCCAACACATTTATTAGTTTAGACCAGTTCAAAAGAATAAAGTTTTGGCAATTTTTTCACCTTTTTTACCATTTAGAAATAAAAGTTGATCTTATTTTAGAATTTAAAAAAAACCGAAATTAAGCTTGTTTCCATTTAAAAATGATATTTTATATCCATGTTTTGTTTTTAAAGATAGATAAACAAGTAAGTTTAAGAAATAAAGTGATTTCACACATTTTTATAATTCTTGATTTTATCATCACACTATCTTGACTTTAGAATACATGTTTTTTAATAAGATTTATTTCTTTTTGAATGCATTATTTTCCTTTATTTGTTGATTTTGAATTTTTTCAGTATTCATCACTAACTGACAATTACGCTATGTTTTATACTTGAATAAATGTATTTTATGTATTAATTTAATAATTTTTTGTATAAGATAGATTTGTATGTTTGTGAATTATGCGTTGGTTGTTAAATTTATAAATTTATGCGTATGTCGGTTTTAGCTGATGCTATTTTTTTAAGAATAATTAATTTTTCCCCAGATTATGCCTTCTTTTCTCTTTTAAAACCTTTTTATTTTACCCACTTTTAAATACTGAATAACGAAGACTTAGATGAAATGTTTAGAATATTTAATGTGTTAAAGCAAGCTAATAATTTTATTATAAAAATGGCGTCCTATGTACTTTACATTTATTATGTCTAGCCCCGGTTTTGAGTACACAAAAGTTCATTGTTAATATATTTATTGTTCTCAAAAATAACTTCTTAAGATTATGAGAATAATGATGCCCGCCATCTTTTTCTAAACTAACGTCATAGTATACTTTTAATAATTTCAGAGCTATTTCAAAGAATGGCTCTCTTTAATTTTGTTACTGGACTACTAACAGGTATAAACCAATATTACCTTCAAACTGTTATTTATTTTTTATTTATCTATTGATACTTTAGCTGATCAATTAGTCTATTGATACTTCAGCTGATCATTTAGTCTATTGATACTTCAGCTGATCAATTAGTCTATTGATACTTCATCTGATAAATTAGTTTATTGATACTTCAGCTGATCAATTATTCTATTGATACTTCAGCTGATCAATTAGTCTATTGATACTTCAGTTGATTAATTAGTCTATTGACACTTCAGCTGATCAATTAGTCTATTGAAACTTCAGCAGATCAATGAGTCTACTGATACTTCAGCTGATCAATTAGTCTATTGATACTTCAGCTGATCAATGAGTCTACTGATGCTTCAGCTGATCAATTAGTCTATTGATACTTCAGCTGATAAATTAGTCTATTGATACTTCAGCTGATCAATTATTCTATTGATACTGATCAATTAGTCTATTGATACTTCAGTTGATTAATTAGTCTATAGATACTTTAGCTGATCAATTATTCTATTGATACTTCAGCTGATCAATTATTCTATTGATACTTCTGCTGATCAATTAGTCTATTGATATTTCAGCTGATAAATTAGTCTATTGATACTTCAGCTGATCAATGCGTCTATTGATACTTCAGCTGATCAATTAGTCTATTGATACTTCAGTTGATTAATTAGTCTATTGATACTTTAGCTGATCAACTAGTTTATTGATACTTCAGCAGATCAATTAGTCTATTGATACTTCAGTTGATTAATTAGTCTATTGATACTTCAGCTGATCAATTAGTCTATTGATACTTCAGCTGACCATTTTCTCTTTTGTTACTTCACCGGATCAATTTATCTATTGATATTACAGCTGATCAATTTATCTATTGATACTTCAGCTGATCAATTTGTTTAATGATATTTCAGTTGATTAATTTCTTTAATGATGCTTCAGCTGATCAATTTATTTATTAATACTTCAGCAGATCAATTGATTTATTAATACTTCAGCTGATCAATTCAATTATTAATTCTTCAACAGATCAATTGATGATATTGATTCTTAAGCTAATCAATTGATTAATTGATACTTCACTTGATGAATTAATTTAATGATACTTCAGCTGATCAATTGATTTATTGATACTTATGCTGATCAATTGATTTATTAATTATTCAGCTGATCAATTTTTCTGTTGAGATTGACAGTTTGATATGTTAAAAGCTAGTATATCTCTTTTAGAGGTACAATTTGAACTAATCCTGGCTTCTGTTAACATTTTCTTAGTCTTCGAATTGACATAATTAAAATGCCGAATAAACGGAGAACACTCCTATATCTAAAGATAGTAAATAGTAGTTTTTAAAAAAAATGTTTTTGAAATAATTTTTGACTGGCCTAATTGTGTCTTGTTATTATTCTGTAACCAAACAATTATTGTTTTAACTTATAAGTTTTTTTTTTATTGAACTAGCAGTTCTTTATACGTTGAAAAGTAAATTTTTTCAACTTAATGATTTGACTTACTGTTAGTCTAGGCCTAGCAAACTCATTTTTAACAACGTAATTTTTTTTAAATAAAGAAAATTTGTAGGTATTTACGCTGGTATGTTTATTGCCCAAAATTACAAGGTGCCCCAAGTAAGGTAAGCCACTACTATGAATAGATTAAAATAACGATGTCTGAAGCTTCTGGGGAAAAGTATTTAAGCGTTTATTAAATTTGATTTTACCTTTAATAGATAATAATTCCCCTAAATAAATGCTTATATTCACAAGAAAACCTATTATTTTTGAAAATAAATGTTTCCTAGGGTCATGTTAGTTACCACAAAAAGTTTAATCCCGATCGTTTCAGCCGTTTTAACGTGTTTTGGTAACAAACAGACAGACAAGCCAAATGTAACTAGATTTCTTTTATATAGAAAATTTCACATTTGCCTTCATGGGTAATATAGGATAGGGGTAGACACGGCTTGTCGATTTGATAATACCACGGGCAACGCCGAGTATTTATGCTTATAAATATTATCATTTTGAATTTTTATTACAGTGATCCTGCCACTATGCTAGAGAAAGCTAAGAACTTTGCTGAAGATTACAAGAAGAAGAAAGATGATTAATTGATAGATATAAAACAAATTAGTTAAATATCCTTTGGATATTAGTTTTAGTGATATATTCAGCTTATTTAATCTTCACACCTAGTGGTAGTACATCATATTAACAAGACACTCAGAGATTTATAAAAGAAGTTAAAGGGACAGATTGAGAATAATAATAAGAATGGTGAGATACAAGCATAGATACTTTCTAGTGGAGGCAGAGAGATCAAGGTAGTCGTGTATCTATTCATTTATTCATTTATTCATTTATTCATTTATTCATTTATTCATTTATTCATTTATTCATTTATTCATTTATTCATTTATTCATTTATTCATTTATTCATTTATTCATTTATTCATTTATTCATTTATTCATTTATTCATTTATTCATTTATTCATTTATTTGTATATTCATTGATTCTTTAATTCATGAATTCATTGATTTATTGATTCATTGGTTCATTGGTTCATCTATTCATTATTGATTTATTCATTTATAAACTAATTATTTCATTAGGTTATCTATAATATCTATTCATCATTTTATGCATTCATCTAAGTCATCATATTCACGCGTTCATTTCTCCATTAAATCATATATTTAATAATTCATCAATATCTTAGACTTTTTCGTTCATTAATTGATAAATATCATAAAATAACCAGCGTAATTACTGAATTAGGAGCGTAGAGAATTTAACTATTGACATAAATCCTCTGGAGGCAACAGAAGATGATATTGCCAAGGTGAAAATAATTTTTTTGGAAGATTTTTTGCTTTAATAAATTTTGTAAAAAAGAAAGTTAAAGGGTCTCATTTGACTGTACAGGAAAATGGTATTTTTTTCACAATCTAGTCAGGTAATGTAATCGAATTTATTTATTTTATTTTTGTAGTATGTTGAAGAGTGACTGTTAGATATATTTATTTATTAAGAAAAAATTGTTTTCTTCATAGGTTATTGAAATATTAAATTTATAATAAATACTGTTACAAACACATTTTCTTAGGAAATCAAGAATATTGTTCAAGATCTGCATGGAGACTTTGGAAGAGCTTCAATTAGTTCAGGATTCAGGTATTTCATAGTTCAAAAAATTGAACACCTTGATGTAGCTTTTCACTTTTCAGGCTTAAAATCGTAGAATTCACATGTATGAGCCATTTTTTTATTTTTCTGCTCATCAAAAATCAATTAGTTTAAACAAATTTCTGTTAAGGTTCAAAAATTAATCTTAAAATGAAATTAATCTTGTAAATCAGAAGTGAATGTAAAACATTATCGGAAGAGACATTAAAATTTATGTTCAATGACTTTATCTCGAATTATTAAAAAATCATCTCAAGGGAATGAAAAAAAATAGCCCCTGAAAAATAACAAAATAATCCCAAAAGAAAAAACATTATCTAACGGGTCTAAAAGTAATCTCGAATCAAAAGTTTACACTGAATATGTATTTAGGGTTAAATATTTGAATATAGCAACCCGTGTATTCCTTATCCGTTCTCGGCATGGAGGTCCAGACAAGATTATATCTTCTTCTCTTCCTTTCATTCACAATATTAGGAAGGAGGTAGATAAATAATATTCAAGGCATAACCCATGGTGTATATTTTTAAGGGGGAGGGGGGCGGCGGTGATTTTTGAAGATCTGGGCACAGTGCGCCTGAACAAATCAATACTTTTAAAATGCCTCAAAAATGAGTTTGGTGGGGTTTGAAAATATAAGTAAAATCATGAAGAAAAATGCTATTTCATTGAGATCTTTTTCAGAAAACTCATGTTTTATAGATCATGTTTTATAGATCTACTCCCTATTGAAACCGCGTTTAAGGTCAGTTAGAACGTTGTGTTACCAGCAAAAATTGAAAGAAAATTTAATTTTGCGCCAAAAAGTATATTAACACTTTCATGTATCTTGTTTATGTCTAAAGATAATCATAATCAAAGTTTATATAAAGTTATTACTAAATTTGATATCTTAAATTCCTATGGATTATAAAGTAAGAGTTCGTGACAAAAACTCAATTCCTTAGTTCTACAATATCCTTCCTAACACCCCCCCCTTGTGCCTCTCCACTTACCCTCTCACTAGGGCCAGGTTTTAAGTTATATAATTCAGTAGTAACCTTACTTTGATTATTAATATCTTTGGTCATAAACCAGATGCATGAAATTAAGAATGCATTTTTGGGCGTAAAATTTTCTTTTAATTTGTACTGCTAACAAAATGTTCTATCTTACATTTAAAAAGAAACAAACTAACGCAATTGGAATTTATACATGTAGATCCTTAAAACATTAGTTTTCTCAAAAAGATCTCCATGAAAAAAGTTAGGATAATCATTTTTCTCAATGGTTTTACTTATATTTTTGAAGCTCACAAACCTTTTTCTGAGTTATTTCAAAAGTCTTGATTTTGTTCAGGCCCACTGCCTGGGGATTATTGAACATGAAAAGGCAAGTTTTTTATTCTTATTCGTATTTTTTGCCCAAAAATTTCTTTATTTTGACCCTGAAAATCATTATGTTCCTGAATTTAGTATGCTTAACAACTACTTGGGAAGAAAAATACATATATTTTTCTTTCTTGTAAATATAATGTTTTCTTTACAGAATAATATACAAGCAAGTCAAAAATAATCTATTATTTATTCATGTCACTGTTGAGAAATCCTAAACTAAAAAAAGAGAAGATGTGACGAGGTTTATATTTCAGAATGTTGTATGTCGGCTGCTGTATACCGGAGCTACTATGCGTAAATCCTTCATCTACCTGGAGAAGCGGCAGAAGCGTCGGCTAGGGGAGCTGGTCAACCTTCTACGAAACAAGGGGAAGTACAACAAGGAGGAACTCGAGAAATCTATTCTGGAAGTTAGAAAATTCGGGAATAAATATTAGAATTGTTTCTTGTATCAAGATTCAGGATGGATCATTGACCAAAGGTCAACGGTATTGGATCAATAATTAATGATCAACGGTCATAGATCAATGACCAAACATTAACGGTCTTGGATCAATGATTAATAATCAACGGTCATAGGTCAATGCCCAAAGATCAACGGTCTGGTATCAATGACCAAAGATCAACGGTCTGTGATCAGTGACAAAAGATCAACGGCCTGGGATCAAAGACGTATGATCAACGGTCATAGATCAATGACCTAATATCAACGGTCTTGAATTAATGACCAAAGATCAACGGTCTTGGATCAATGATTAATGATCAACGGTCATAAATCAATGACCTAATATCAACGGTCTTGGATCAATGACCAAAGATCAGCGGTAATAGATCCATTGCCGAGGATCATGGTTAATGGATCAATGACCAGGATCTAGATCTTTGATCCAGGATTCATTCAATAATTTCAACAATGATATCCATGATACTTGCAAAAGAAACTAACTTTTATGAAATAATCTTTTGTTTTAAACATTTTAGTTTTCAAATCAGCTGTAAAACTAATATTGTTACTTAGAAGATGTATGTTATAATATAATTACACTCACTAAGAAGCTTTGACAAGTTAATAAAACATGGTTATAAAGATATTCTGCTCATTATACAGTATGTACCAACTGTACCAATTTTCCAACTAGTTCTGCACTGAACACTGAACGTGTATGCAAGCACGACAAACTGTACAACGTATGATAAACACTTTAGAAAACTATGTTAATATCCCCATATTATTTTTTCAGATGCAGCGAGCGTGTACGCTTTGCGTATCCACGTTATGTGCGTCAAAAAATGTATTCCGACCAAAATGTAGCAGCTACCTCAGTACATCTTCAATCATATTTAATAATGGTGGGTCAAATTTATTTTTAGATGTGTAAATGGGAAATCTCAATCAAATGGTTCCATTTTTCAGTCGATAGAACCTTGTTTTTGATCCCTAGATTCTTTTTTAAATGTAGCGATAAAAAATTGTAATAGATGTCACCAAAACACATAACATCCCTGAAACTTAAAGCTAATCACCAGGAACTTCAAAAAAGAAATTTAAAGCCGAAAATATTACGAGAAATGTGATTTTATTCATTAAAAGTGAATTTCGAACAAATACATATATTTTTGAAGCTGAGCAAAGTGAATGGAAAAACGTTTTTAACGGTTTCCTTTTCATAAATATTTCTTCTTCAAACATTTATTTTAAAAAAAGATTATAAAAACGTAGCGGGACATCACTTTTGTCCCCATGGCATTGCATTTCCACTTCATAAGCTGCAAGAATTATCTCACTCGAGGGTTGGGAATTTACTGCGGGAGAAGGGTGTCGTTTAAACTCTAATTTGTTAAGAAAGCTGAACATTGTGAAACAAGGAACTAATAAACTTTATGCGCTGCAGGAAGTTCAATGCAAGTGTTTGACCGACAAGCTAAGCTACTGCAAACTGAACGTTCCGCTAGAAACCCAGAACTTGACTCATTTGATTTTCTTAAAGAAGAAATAGGATACAGGTATTTTCTATACAGGGTGTCTCAATAAATATGACAATTCAGTGACGACTTTTTTTTAGTCTTTTGTGACAAAAATCATAACAGTATTCCAACCTGAGCTTATGTCCTTTTTTGATAAATTATATAGTTCCCTATAGTCTGTACTGATGGATATCGCTATGAGGCCTGTTTATAAACATCTATAGTTGTTAGACTTCTAAGAGGCTCTCCAAGAATCTTTGATTTGGAACTTGATACAAAAAATGTTATAATTAATAAGCTTGCTTTTATCATTTTATGCAACATTTTTACTTTCGTCAAAACAATTAGTTAAATCGGTTTGAAAAATCGTTTTTGTCATTATCCAGATAAAGCAAACTTTTCAAACATGAAATTCTAAAACATGATGAAACATCTCAGATTTTTGTGGAGCGCTTTTAAAGCCAAATTACCTTAAATGTTAAAAAATGGACCTCAAAACTATGCCTATTCCTAGTTGCTTGTATACTCTCTAGGTTAGCAGACAGGGTGCTGGATGTATCCCGTAAGATGGAGGTTTGTGTTGATATAGGCTCGGGTAGAGGATGGGTTTCAAGGAATATACCAACATAAAAAAGCACTGTAGATTGAGAGACTAATAAAAATTTATAACACTCCCCGCCCCTCCCCCTCTCCATCATTGGACTCCCAACAAAACAATATCTATATTTTAAGGCAGTTTAGAAAATATTAATTTTGCACTACTTAAATATGATGGTACAATTTAAGAAATATATGTTCTTAGACCTCATGTAACAAATTTAAATGCCACTGTCAGTGTCTAAACCCATTAATTCTCATGTTTAGTCTTGAGTCTAGATTAAAAGTCTCGTCAACTCAAACGTTGAAATTTAGACCCGCCTTTGTTAGTTTTGTCCAAGTTATTTATTGGTTTTTAAACCACTCATAAGCCCCAATATATCTCAAAGTGCAACTATATTTTCATAATGGTGGCTTAGTATTGATATTTAATTTTCCCAAATTATTTAATTAGATGAAGTAGATTTATAAATTAATTAAAAATGTTGGTCTCCAGGCATCTCACAGAACATTCTATTGGTAGATTAACAGCAATAGATTTATCAGAAAGTAAGCAATTTTTAAGACCTTCAATGTGTTAGTCTTGCACACAAAAACATCTTACAATGTTCATAGTGCAATATGTAAGTGTAATGTATAATAAACACATGGTTAATATCATACTAAAACTTAAATGTTAATTTAATAAAAACTATGAAGTTTTATTCTGATTTTATAAATTCAAAGTTTAATAAAAAATGTTGTTAAGTTCTTTTGACATTATTTGTTAATATCTAGGTTTATTAAAGACTGCTCCGGACCCGCCTGATGTTCCTGTAGAAAAACTTGTTATGGATGTGGATGGAACAGATCTACCGTTCCAGGATAATTCAGTAGATATAGGTAGATTAACGGAACAGATCTACCGTTTAAGGATAATTCAGTAGATAAAGGTTGATAAACGCAACAGATCTACCGTTCCAGGATAATTCAGTTGACATAGGTAGTTAAACTTGCTATGGATGGAACAGATCTACCGTTCCATGATAATTCAGTAGATATAGGTAGATAAAATTATGGATGAAACAGATCTACCGTTTCAAGATAATTCAGTCAATATAATTAGTTAAACTTGTAATGTATGGAACAGATATACCGTTCCAGGATAATTCAGTAGATATATAGGTAGATAAACTTGTAATGTATGGAACAGATATACCGTTCCAGGATAATTTAGTAGATATAGGTAGATAAGTGCCGCCCTCTCGTTTAAAAGGATTTTTTGAAATTTTTATGGAATGTTTTGAGATTTTTTTGTTGTATTCGTTTTACTGTCCATTTGTTCTATATAGTTGTTATATTTACCTGCCATATTTGAAGTGATCATCTATTTAAAGACTTAGAGTCAAATACCTAATTTACGGGGTACTCTTTAAAACATTGGTCAGTGTAAAAATTGTTTCTCTTTAAAGTTTAAAGTGCATTATTATTGGCATGTGTCCCTTTAAATCGAGAATCATTCTTAAAGAATTAATTTGACAGTCCATTTAATTGTAACTGAACAATAATTTTTTTTTCTGATATTAAAATATAATATTTTAGTTACCTCATCTTTATCTCTACACTGGGTAAATGACTTACCGAAACTTTTCAAAGAAATTAACAGGTTTGTTTTTTAGATCTTCAAAAAATTTAAAATTTAATTTTTTTCTCACTTTTTTGACAATTAATAGTTTAAACTAAAATCATTTAACTTAAAGAAATAATTATATTTATTGTTGGCACAATATATGCTTTTATCTAAACTTTATATTTAGAATCTTGAAACCAGATGGAGTATTTATTGGTGGGATGTTTGGTGGTGATACCTTAGTTGAACTTAGGGTTGCTCTACAGCTTGCAGAGACAGAGAGAGAGGGAGGGTTTTCTCCTCATATAAGTCCGTTTGTTGAGGTAAATAGAGAAGGAGGGAGGGTTTTCTCCTCATATCAGTCTATTGTTAAGAGTAAATAGAGAAGGAGGGAGGGTTTTCTCCTCATATCAGTCTATTGTTAAGAGTAAATAGAGAAGGAGGGAGGGTTTTCTCCTCATATCAGTCTATTGTTAAGAGTAAATAGAGAGGGAGGGAGGATTTTCTTCTCATATCAGTCAATTTTTTTGGGGTTCATAGCGAGAGAGGAAAGGTTTTCTCCTCATATTAGTCCATTTGTTGTGAAAAATAGAGAGGGAGGGAGGGGTTTCTCCTCATATTATTCCATTTGTTGAGAAAAATAGAGAGGGAGGGAGGGTTTTCTCCTCATTTCAGTCCATTTGTTGAGAAAAATTGAGAGGGAGGGAGGGGTTTCTCCTCATATCAGTCCATTTGTGGAGATTAATAGAGAGGGAGGGTTTTCTCCTTATATAAGTCCATTTGTTGAGGTAAATAGAGAAGTGATGGATTTCTTCTTATACGGTGGTAGGCGATTATATCAATATAAAGAAGACGATTATTTTGATTATTTTTAAACCTATAATTCTTAGAAGCTTTTTAACAATAAAAATCAGATTAAGTCTTCGTTATAATGATATAATCCCTTTTTGTTGAGGTAAATAGAGAAGAAGTGAGAGCTTTCTCCTCATATCAGTCCATTTGTTGAAGTAAATAGAGAAAAAGGGAGGGTTTTCTTTTTTTCAGTCCATTCGTTAAGACTCGTGATTTATTTATCATGGTACTTTGTCTGTAGATTGATTGTTAATAATAACAATAATATATAGACGATAGCTGGAGGTTTCTCGTATAAAATCAGTCAACATGTCGGGGTATTTATATGTAATATATAAGTATAGAGGGAGGAAGGGCTGCCCTAATATCATTCCACTTGCTGAGTTATGTAATAATTAAAAGAGCGGGAGGGAGGGAGGGAGGTTCGGCTTAAAATATATTGTGGTAACCAAGCTATCTGAATAAGAAATTTGTGTTTCTTCTAGGTGCGAGATATTGGATCTATTCTTAATAAAAACAATTTTACAATGATAACTATCGATACAGATGATCTAAAGGTAATATATCAAACATGCTAATTTTATTTTGAAGAACAGGGTTACCCACAAATGATGAGACTGTAAAGACGGCCTAAAACTTTTGAAATATAAAGATTCGAAGCGTATATTAAGTCCTCCGCAATAAATATAGTATTTTGATGGCTCATTGTGGGTAACCCTTTATATAAGTTTCCTAACATTTTAAGGAACTGTTAACGGTTTACATCCTTATTATAATAAACGGTTTACATCCTTATTATAATAAAGTTGGTGTAACTGTCTTAAACCTTTTCTTCGGATCCAACATAAAATCAAATTTATGGCAAAGCTTAGTTACACGCTATACGCAAACTAGTCATGCATTTACCTTTTCAAAATTATATTTTTATAGTTTTTTAAAGGATATAAATTCCAGGTAAAATATGCCTCAATATTTCCGCTGATGCGGGATTTAAAAGGCATGGCAGAAAATAATGCCGCGTACAATAGAAAACTTCATTTACACAGGTAAACTATCAAACCATATTTTACTTGATTCATTCTTCTTTTTCTTCATTTTTTTTATTACTTTTTCTTCATTTTCTTCTCTTACTTTTCCTTCTTCTCTCATCTTTCATCTTCCTTCTAATTTCTTCTTCCTTCTTCCTTCTTCTGTCTTCTTCTTCCTTTTTCCATCTTCTTCCTTTTTCCATTTACTTCCTTCTTCTTCCTTCTTCTTTCTTCTTCCTCCTTACTTCTTTCTTCTTCTTTCTTCTTATTTCTTCTTTCTTCTTCCTCCTTCCTTCTTCTTTCTTCTTCTTCTTATTTCTTCTTTCTTCCTTCTTCATTCTCTCTTCTTCATTCTCTCTTCTTCCTTCGTCTTCTTCATTTTACTTTCTTCTTCCTTCTTCTTCCATCTTTTTCCTTCTTCCTTCTTCTCCTTTCTTATTTCTTCTTTTTTCTTCCATCTTCTTTCTCCTTCCTTCTTTTTCTTTTTCATTCTTCTTCCTTCTTCTTTCTTCTTCTTCATTCTTCTTCTTCTTTCTTCTTCCTCCTTCCTCCTTCCTATTTCTTTTTTCTTCCTTCTTCATTCTTTCTTCTTCCTTCTTCCTTTTTCTTTCTTCTTTCTTCTTTTTCCTTCTTTTTCCTTCTTCTTCTTTCTCTAGTTTTGCAAAAAGAAATCTTCTTTGATTTTTTTAAATCGATTTTGAATGATTTACTCATGGATGATAATTGATAATGCAAATAAAATATTGGCTGAATTATCATTTGACTTTGACAAATTACTGTTCCTATTGATTGATTTATTGATTGCTTGGTTTATTAATCGATTGAGTAATTGTTTGCTTGATTTGTTAATTGGTTACTTGATAAAAAATTTGATCATCGTCAATAACACATCTATGTTTAGAGAAACCCTGTTTGCTGCAAATGCAATATACACAGATCTGTACGCAAATCCAGATGGTAGCCTACCGGTAGATTCTAATAATATAAATAAAATTCTTTATCAATCACCATATTTGAAATCAACATTATCTAGTTTTTTTATTTATTTTAATTATATTTTTAAACTATTTTATATATTGAGTTTTACAAATTATTAAGAATTCTCAAGATTTACCTAATTTTCACTAGAGGTTTTCTAACTGGTAGCTGGCTCTGGGGATTTTTTAGTAAATTAATATTCCTTTTTAGCTTTGCCAAATTTGTAGGAAAAAATCACAGAATGTTGGAAAAATTGTAAACAACTACACTTTTTAAAAGTAATTTTAAAACGGAATGATTTTACCATCTCAATAATTTTTTTAACAACCATAATTTTTAATGATCATTATTGAACTAGGCTTCGTTTCAAGTCTACTATTGGATCGGATGGAAACCTGATCCTAGTCAGCCTAAACCCCTGAAACCTCAGAAATCTGATGTGTCACTGAAAGATCTTCATCGACTTGATGAAGTAGCTCAAGCATACGGAATTGTTGATTTGCCTAAAGAGGACAAATAAATATGAAAAATATTAAGTCTATGATAACATCATTTTACTGATTTGGATATAGTGTTTTGTCAAGTTAGATTTAATGGATTGAAAGAATTTAACATACTTAAAAAGACGGATAAAAACACAAATTATTGGCAATCCTTAAAATGTTAATAAATATGATCAAATATCGCTTCTTCAAATAGACCCAAATATAAATCGTTCCATGCAAATATCCAAGAAATATCAAAGAATTTCATATTCATCGAAAATACTGATATTTCTGGTTTGTTTTCAGATGTAGAAAATGAATATAGTGACTGACATCGATGCTGGGTCCGGTAATTTGCAACAAAATCCGAGTTTGGGAGACACAAATCAGGATGAGGAAGAAAAAGTTGAACCAAGTCTTGGACAGATAGATCAGGATGAGGAAGGGAACGTAGAACCGACTCTGGGAGAGATAAATCAGGATGAGAAAGAGAAAGCAGAAACAAACCCGCGAGGAGAGACAGAAACGCAGAAAAACAAACTCACTGAAAATGATCATCCAGTCAGAACAATAACAGATCTTACCCCGACAGAAGAAAGTGATGGAAGAAAATATTTAGAAACGGAGTCAAACGAGGTTGTTGAAGAGTTCTCAACTGGAAATAGAAAAAAAGAAACTAAAAACGCTGTCAATGAATATGATTCTACCAAAGACGAAACTGGTGATGTCGCAGCTCCGATAAAAAAATCAACACTGCCAATAATAACAGTTCGAAACGTGAACGTTATAAACGAAACTTGTGATAACCCCTCTCCTTTTAGTCAACAAAATATTAAAGAAATGCAGCATGAATCTTATATGCATATATTAGAATCTTCAAATCGTAGACCCAGTGAAACGGAAATCCTTGTTCCAGACGGAAATAATTTAAACGTTTCAAGCTCCAAGAAAGATATAATGCATGATCCGCTCAGTACAGCTACACAATCAATTGAACATCAAACTAGTAAACTATTACCATCTCCAAGCCAAATTAACCTAGTTCGGCCAAGATCCATTTCCCCAGACTCATTTTGGAATAACTCAGTCACCTGCGATGAGTTTTTTGCTGAAGATAAGAGCTATCCGGACATATTTGACCAGTCTGTTCATCTGGAAATTGTGGAACAAAGCTCAACCCATAGGAACAGTTTGTCGGTTCAAAAATATTCAAGTCGTTAAAAATTGTTAGTTTCATTGGGAGATTTACAATATGAGTTAAAACTACAGTAGGCCTTATTAATCTGTGAAATAGGAAAATGAATGTTGGATTCAAGTTTTAAATAGTTCATTAAACAATAAACAGAAATTGTGCAGGGTACACAGACCCATTTAACTAAATAAGTTGTTTTTAAGGCTAATGCTACATATTATTTTCTGTTTAACAACATCAAATACACTTCAAATTTCGTCATCTTATTCTACAGCCTTATTGGTTTAAATGTGGCTAATTGATTAGTGGAATGAAAAAAATTGCTGTAATAGTCTGTCATTGGGATTTAATGCTCAAAATAAAATTAAATTTTGGTTGTTTTTGTCCCATTTTCTTCATCGCGACGATTTCATTTATGTTAAACCATCATGAGAACCTTGTTTTGTCTGGAAACTAAGTTTTCCTTGTAAAATCGGTGAAGGGGTTCCTGAGTTATGATCGGAAAAACAAACAGAAATGACTACTTTATTCATAGAGAACCTCCAAATAAACTGTGTTTTGAATGTTCAGTGTTTTGGGAACTGAAAACTATTCTATTTTAAGAAACCAGCTTAGTAAATCTCCTTCAGCAGGTAAAATCTGAAAAATATAATTTTAAAAAGAATGTTTTACAATTATTTTGACAAAGCTTTGTCGTCCCACTCTTTGATACTTTTATCCTTGTTTGCAAAAATTAAACAGTAAATAATCTGAAACATGTCTGGCCTAATAGTAGTTTAATTACTAAGAGTGGAGGGGTGTTGTTGTTTTTTTAAGAATATATGGAGTGGGTACAAAACTTCGATTATCAAAACGTCGTTTAAAACGTCGAATAACCAAACTGCTACAAAACTTCGATTGATACAAAATGTCGAATTCTTCAAAACGTTGGCTACTACAAAATGTTAGATTATGATGGGATAGGTCGGGTTAAGACAATTTATGGACAGAGTGCAGCGGCTAGGATGTGACTAGGAGGCCGAGCGTTGCGGCCTTTTGAATGTTAAATAATGTGCGTCTCTCACATTATTTCGGGTTAGTTATGGTGAAGTCAATTTCTAGAACGAGCTCTGCGGCATCTTAATGAATAATGTGAAGTCTCACATTATTTTGGGTTAACGCTGCGGACCTTTGAATGTTAAATATTGTGCTGGCTCTCACATTATTACGTGGGTCAGTTATGGTGAAGACAATTTCTGGACCGAGCTCTGCGGCCTCTTAATGAATAATGTGCTGTCTCTCACATTATTTTTGGGATTAGGTTAGGTTAAGACAATATCTGGGCCGAGCGCTGCGGCTAGGGGGCGACCGTTGTAGCCTCTTATATGTTGAATAATGTGCTGTCTCTAAGATTATTTTGTGTTAGGTCAGGTTATGCTAATTTCTGGGCCGAGCGCTGTGAATAAAGCAAGCTATTGCAGTAACATTAATCATTACAGTATACTTTTACAGTATTACAATGCTGTGTTGACGTTGTGCGTCCTCCAAAATCCTCCCCTTCAATTGTGAGATGAGATCAAATTAGCTGCAACTGCTACGTTAATTCTCCTGACATGATCGTAAAATATTTCCGCGTTTTTTTTTATTTAAACATTGTGTTTTTAGAATTTTACAAATTTTGTTATTCGATGAATTGTAGCAGTCAACGTTTTTTAACAGTTGACGTTTTGAAGTAGTCGACGTTTGATTTTTTCTAGCAGTCCACGTTTTGTATCAGTCAACGCTGTGTAATATCGACATTTTGTAGCAGTAGACGTTTTAGATATAGACGTTTTGTTATCCGAGGTTTTGATATTCGGCGTTTTGTATCCACTCCATTTAAAGCACTGTACCTAAACCAGCAGGATTTATGATAGAATAATAAATTTTAGTTCCGGAGGTTTCTGCCAAAACACAAGTTTCAAAAGAGCTGTTGAAGTCAAGAAGTGGAGACTCTCCTCTTACACATCAGCCAGGGTCGTCCAACTTCTTTACAAGTGAAAATATGCCAGTGATATCTCTAGGTAGAATTGTAAAATTTCGTCCTATTTAACCCAATGCTTTAATGAGAGACTAGCTTGGATATATAAATTAGCTGAGAGTCATATGTTAACAAGTCAGACATTTTTAATGTGTACTGTACTATATACTATATAGTGCAGATTCTCACCCGACAGGACTTGTCAAGAATTGTTCATTGAAGAATCGGGTTTTTACAATTATTTAATAACCTGGACGAAAAACGTAACTAAAAAAATGATTTATTATTATCTTAGCTCGCTCGTCGCTTCACTTCCAGATCGATTTGAGCGTGCCGTTTTGTTTTTCCGCAGGTGTCTCTGCTTTCAATGCTCTTAATGATTCAACGTGGCAGAGACAACAAGCGGAAAAAATTGTTGTTTTAAGTGCATTGTATTTAAAACAAATAAAAAGTATATGAAATATCAACTTTATACGAATGCAACGAAAAATAATCGATGAATATAGGTTTTAATATCTAAATGATTTGTTTAAAAATTAAATTGATCTTTTAACGATCCGAGTTGTATGATGGAATTGTTCTCAATTTCTATGGGCGTTTCGTTATTTGGTACAAGTCGTATTTAACAATTTTCTCCTTATGGACTCAGCAGATAGAAGTAAGATAAGGAGAGATCAAAAGCGATTTTTTTGCCGTAATCCTGTACCCCTATTCATTTTTCGCGAACACAATCTTTAATGTTTGGATTTTTTTTAGCTCTTTAAAACACACTTGTACGTCTTTTAAATTGTTTCAAAAATTTATGTTTGGTGTGTTAAAAAAATGTTCCTAAATTAATTTTATTTTATAGAATGTGTTGATTTCCAAGAGTCCCAGGAAGCTATAAACCCGTCTGAAGTTGCTACTCCTAGTCCTAGAAAGCGGAAAGGGTTTCCGAGCATGCATTTTAGTACGGCCAAGTCCTTTGTTAAAATAGCTCCAAAGCCAACTCCAGGTGCTCCTATACCCCCGCCTCCCCCTTACTCAGAGGAAGTTCCCGGAGGTGCTCCTAAGCCCTCTCCCCCTTATTCAGAAGAAGTTCCTGTTTTGTATCCGCTCAAGCCTAATATGAAGGCGAAACTAAACATGATAGCCCAGTTCTCTGTGTTAGTCAAACTACAGGTTAGTTTCATTGGCAAACACGAGTTTTCAAGACATAATTTTAATTGACTCTTCAATCTCCATAAATGTCCTAAACACATTATTTTCACAAGAAGGAGATAATTTATTTGTTGGACCGTCCCGTCCCGTTTTACCTTCTATAGTCTGTATGTGGTGCTGTGAAAAACGCCTCACCAAGGAAACGTCTCACCAGAAAATGCCTAAAAAAAAACGGACTCTTAAAACTAATTTAATGTCGTCTTCTCTCAACTTAAATTTTAAAAAACTATATTCTAACAATTTTAACATCTATGGCCGCAGTGCTCGGCCCCCTAACATGTTCTAGCCGCAGCGCACGGCCCCCTAGACTGTCCTAGCGAAGCGCTTGGCCCCTAACCCGTCCTAGCCGAAGAACTCGGCGCAACAAAACCATATCATTAATGCTATAAATAATTATTTTTTGACGAGAGAAGACGACATCAAATTAGTTTTTAAAGTCCGTTTTTTTGAGTCATTACCATGGTGAGACGTTTCCGAGTAATTCCGTGCCGAGGTGTTTCCCACTACGCGGTTTTTACAAATTTTTATTGAAATCTTTATTTTCTGCGACTCCTGGGAAAAATTATATTTCTTAAACATAGAAACCTTGGATACAAAGTTCACCAACAATTACAATAGTTTGTTTGGGTAAAATTAAGGTTTATGTACGAATGTACTAAATCTAAATCGCTGAAACTAAGAATTAACATGTATAAATATAGTGAGAAAAAAAATCGATAAATAAATATCAGTCATTCTTTATGAACTCGGCCAGTTTCTAGAAGTCATGGACTTCAATGTGATGGATTTTCTTTATATTTTGCACACAGCTAACATGTTCAGATAAAACCTCAAAGCAATTTCCTGCCCGACCTCGCATTCAAGATTGGCAATAACTATTTTTTAATTAAGATTTCAAGTTTTTTTACTAGATCAAATTTTATTAGAAGATTTTTGCATATGCTGATAAATTTTTTTGACAAGGCCATCCTCCAATTTTCGCAAAACTTTTTTTTAGAGATTTTGCTATAAAGTATTTATTGTTTGAGCAAGTTTCATTTTTGGCAGTTACTCGCTGTCAGAGCTAGAGCTTTAAAACCTTAGTTTTTGGATGTTTCTTAAAAATGTTAAGCAAACTTTTCTAACAAGACATCCTTTTTTTCTTCAAAAAAAGACGACTGTAGTACGATATTCTTAAAAAATGTACTAAAGTTATGGTTGTAAAGGTCCAGCTCCCCCCAAAAAAGGTAAAAAAATTCACTATTTCAAAGAAGGCTGCAAATGCTGCAAAAAAAGATTAATGTTTTGACATCATCTTGGTCATTAATCTCGTTAACATTGTAGTTATGAAATACAGTTTGTATGAGAAAAATTATACATTTATCTCCTCAGTTTTTGCAGAAAACATTACAATCACATAAAATACGATCACAAACACTGACATAACTTCTGAACCAATCAGTTCTCAATCTCGAAATTTTAATAGTGTATTCCTAAACTTTAGGAACTTTATCTATGAAATAAATGAAAATCGAACAATACTATTTATTCTTATTTTGAATTGAGCAAGCTATTTATATCCACTGGTTTGGCAGAAATCACTAAAAACCAGCGAGTTAGGCTCACAAAATCGAGCATATAATATAAATATAAATAAAGCCTTATTCATTACCTATTTAATGACGTAAAAAACAGGTCGATATATCAAATAGCAAAAAAGTTTTCGTAATTTAAAAAGAGTAACCTTTATGCAGAGGTTAAAACTTCATGACGTCAATGCTCCGCATACGTAGGTCAACAGAGTCTAAAAATTACTGATTATGTAATGTCTCACATAGATATTTCCATGTTTAAAGTTAGAAAAAAATCGAAGATGGTACCTACTGACGTTTTGAAAAAGTGACTGATTTCATATGGACTGACTCGGTAGCTGGGTGCAAAGGGGGGGGGGGGGGTGCCTTCATTTTTGGTTCAAATCTTCCAATTTTTTGGGTGCACGGCTAATTAGGGTTCGAAATTTATATAATAAAATCAAATTGAACTTTAATGACCTCTAATGACCTCCACAAATAGAAAATATTTCAACTGTGGCTTAATGCATATCAAACGAAAGCTAGGAACCTAGGGAATACATTAGAAGCAACAGATCCAGTGTTTGACCATCTAATGACCTCTTACGACCTCTAATGACCTAAATGACCTCCAAAAATGAAAATGTTTTAACTATGGCTTTATGCATATCAAACGAAAGCTAGGAATCCTAGGAATACAGTTGCAGCAACGAATCCAGTGTTTGACGTTCTACTGACCTCTAACGACCTCTAATGACCTAAATGACCTCCAAAAATGAAAATGTTTTAACAATGGCTTTATGCATATCAAACGAAAGCTAGGAACCCAGGTAATACAGTAGTAGCAACAAATACAGTGTTTGACCTTCTAATGACCTCGAATGACCTAAATGACCTCCAAAAATGAAAATGTTTTAACTATGGCTTTATGCATATCAAACGAAAGCTAGGAATCCAGGGAATACAGTAGTAGCAACAAATCCAGTGTTTGACCTTCTAATGATCTCTAACGACCTCTAGTGACCTCTAATGATCTCTAATGACCTCCACAAATAGAATATATTTCAACTATGGCTTTTATACATATCAAATGAAAGCTAGGAACCCAGGGAATACAGTAGCAGCAATAATTCCAGTGTTTGACCATCTTATGACCTCTAACGACCTCTAATGACCTAAATGACCTCAAAAAATGCAATTGTTTTAACTATGGTATTCCCTGGGTTCCTAGCTTTCGTTTGATATGCATAAAGACATAATTGAAACATTTTCTATTTGTGGAGGTCATTAGAGGTCATTAGAGGTCATTAAAGTTCAATTTGAATTTATTATAGGAATTTCGAACCCTAATTAGGTGTGCACCCAAATTGTAAAATTTGAACAAAAAATGAAGGCAGGCCCCCCCCCCCCCTACATGAAATGTGCCAACACCACCATCCCCTTTAAAAAAAATGCATGACCTTGACTTCCATAGGGTAGCTGACTTGATAAAGAATGACCCATTAAAGTATTTTTTTCAGAGCACTGAAGGATGTTACATGGCACGGATTGCTTTCTTCAAGGAAGGAACTTTCATATGGGGGGATAAATCTAAACACCATGAGGAACATAATAATCATAAAAACAATAAACAATAAACATGGATAGAATTAGTTGATTATCTTAAAAAAATATCTGCAATTTTTATAATGAAGAAAAAAATTTTATTTTCTCCAGATTAGTTCTTGTTGGCTTAATGTGTTTAAATACTTATTTTTAAATTTTATTTGGATACTTTCATATGGGAATATGACCTCTGTTTCAAAAGATGGCCTACATTTAGATTATACGGAGGAAAATGACAGTGCCTGTTAATGCACAATACACATTCATTTTGTTTCTCTTTTAGTTGTGTATAAAATTAACGCTAACTTGATATTATTGACTGAACAGACATTGGGCAAGCTTTTCTCTGATTCTAATGCTTGGGGAAACATTGAAGCTCATTACTCTCATCAGAATCCTAAAAGGAAGTCCTATGATGCAGTTTTCATTAATATCAACAACAGGATGGTCTCTGCCTTGAAGCATGGAACGGCAATGGAAGTTATTTCCTCTATTGAAGCCGGCCAATCAGTGTTCTGTACGACAACTGCTCTATCCAAAACTGACAGCTACTTTTTGAATTTAAAAAAAGAAAGATGGTTGGTTTACTCTTGTTTGATCAGCGGGATTCAGTCGGAATTACTAAAAGAATCTAAGAATGTTGATCTTAAACTTCTAATCAGTATTGTCAAGCGAAACATCACCCCAAGTGCATTAAATTCGGAAGAAATGCGCCAGAATCTTGCTGAATCTCCAAGTGAAGCAGAAGACAGTAATGATATTGTGATAGTTAAAGAACTTAACTTGGCTCAAGAGATCATCGTCTTGGAGGAGATGTGCGCAAAATATCCAACTCTAAAGGTATTTTACAAATTAAAACTGTTAATTAACTATTTCTTATATGAAATGTTGCCTTTGGGCAATGGTCTTTGGGAAACTCCATTAAAACAATTAAAAGTGACCTTTCCATTTACACTTCCGACGCACAGTAGTACCCTTAACACCTGTATCTGGGAAAAATTTTGAAATATACACGTTTTTATTGATTGATTGATTGATTTTATTAATTTATTATTTAGTTTTGCTGTTTCCTTAAATTTTTACTAAAAGTGCAATTTCTTTTACATAACAATTTTTCCAAAACATTATAATTTTGATGTCAAAATTGTCATTCTTTTTGTATGAAGAGTTTTTATCGTATTCAAGAAATTTTTATTCAATACAACCTCAGTCTTATATTTTATCTGTCTGATCTCTAGGTCAAAGAAGCAGTGGCTCTCACAACCTGTTTTATTTGTGGCAAAGATTGTAATCATGCCATAGCATTGCTCTACCATCTTTCAACATCAAACAAGTGCAAGCAGATGAAACCACTCAAAGTTGTTTTTCAGGGATGATATCTTTAGTTCAAATTTGAAATTTCATTTGTCAAGAATATTTAATGTATCATTTTTTATAAATAGGATTTGTGCATATTTAAATAAGCAAGAAATTATATTTGTATACACATCAAGAATTTAGGAAAAAGTCAATTATGACAAAATACATCATTGGGAATGTGTAATATTATCTTTTATCCTCTTCAATTTATAAGATATGAAATAATTAGTTAAAACCACAATATACAGCATAAACCTGATTTAGATATAAAAGACATTCCTGCTTAAATAATAATAAAAACTTATCAATTAATTAGGATACAGAAAAGAAGATTGATGCCAAGATTTCTTGTAAGCTGCATGTTTGTAACTTCAAACACACGCAGGATCTATGTTCGAAGAAGTTCCGAACAGCTTTGACCTACGGTATTCACAGGGACTCTCACATCAACCTCAACTGTAAGATGAGTTGCTGGAAGTGTAGCCATTTGTTCTTTGCCCCATATCCTTTCTATCGTCATCCATGTGTTGCAAATTTCTATAGTTTGAAAATGGTTATTCTACAACAGAAGATATTTAAGGAAACAACAGCATACCTCAACTTTATTTATTTTTACCGCCTTTTGACTAACATTTCCGACCTATGATTCCCCCAACAGAGGGAGGTTAAGTTACTTATTGTCCCTTGGGACACTTATAAAAAATAATCACCCGTTTTGCTAAATTTTTAAGAACAAATTCGCGCATTTTCATCATCTTAAAAGACGATCCAATTGTCTGGAACTACTCTTTCGGGAAATTGAAAATGTTACTTAACCAATAAATTTCAAATATTTCTTTTGGCGGATTCCAAATTGGCATATTATTATGGATTACGTTTAGTTGTGGTTGCACTTTTACCCCCCCCCCCCCCTCTTCTGCTTTAAGGAACTGTTGACAAACTTCATATGGCCGTCTACTTGCTCATTTAACAATAGTAACCTCTAACCCCTTCAATCTTCATCTTTGTAATTAAGAAAGGTATCATCATGAAATCAATTAATTTCCCACCTTTTCTCTCCTGCATTAATCCGCACTTTTCTATGGACCCTGGAAATGCAATGTTTAATTTTCAAATTGAAAAACAAGGATAACTTTTACTCAGACAAGGTTGTAAAGGGTACCGTTGCATATCAGCTTTTCAACTTTTTAAATGGAGTTAAGTTGACAGTCCCTTTATTACCACGTAAATGTTGAATTTGAAATAGCTTAAAACAGATTAAAAAAAATAAAGATAAAGTATTTGAGATAACAGTTGAATAACAGGTTCAGTACCCTGGCTTGGCAGCTCAAGAAGTTTCCACTATAATCACTTGTCCTGCTTGTGGTAAATCATATCGATATTTGTCTGCACTAGCTGGGCATATATCATTTAATGTGAATTGTGCATTAAAATTGATCAGAAATTCTGGAAGAGTCTCCTTAGATTTGAGCAAGTGTTTATTAGCGGATAGATGTATTCCAATAATTAGTAGGAACTGTGAGATCTGTTCCCTTTCATGCAAATCCCAGGTGTCCTATCTCGCCCACATGGATCACCATTTTACTGGAATTAACTACGAGTGCTCAGTTTGCAATTTTACATTTATCAGGGTTTGTGCTTTTTACAAGCACACTTGCCATCAACCTATCCCATTCTGTATATTTTGTGAAGCTGATAAAGATGCTATTGCAGAGAGAGACTCTCATTCCATCAAAACAGCTGAGAATTCTAACGTTTTAAAAGTACTACAAGAATCCAGCAGCCAAAAGCAGTCCTTTGATGTGGATTCACCCTCAAAGAAATCCGACCAACAGATGAAAATATCTAAAAAACATCAAAATTCCGTAAAAGATGTTGCATTAGCTACTAATGAAATTGTTCATTCCTCGCTTCAAAATTCACAAACAATTGTATCCAATGCCAATACTATAAACCATTATGGCCCAAGTAAACTTTCTTTCACTACGGCAGGCATAGAAACATATTCTAAATATACTTCTACAAGTACACACATAACATCCTGTGGCCAAGCCACATATCTTCCCTTAGTGAATTCAACCCCTATACCAGCTCTGCCACAATCCTTCCCTTTGAACACCAGCTCAACACTTCTAACTGCAAGGATCCAACCTGGGCTAAAACGAGCTGGAGAATCTCTTGATACTAATCCATCCAAGGTTTCTAGAATTGATATTGACAAGTTGTTTGAAGAAAGTGATTCAGATGATGATGAAGATTCTCTTGTGCAACTAGTGATCCCAACTATCAACCAGATACCTGCTAGTAATCCTAAGTCTTGTAACAAAAATAGTTTGGCAGAATTTCTTTCAGAATCTGAAGATTCGTCAAATCCTGAGTCAAAGTCTTCTCAAGATCCAGAATTAAGAATATTTGACGATTCAGGGACCATGCCTAAAGAGGATTCAGGGACCATGCCTAAAGAGGATTCAGGGACCATGTCTGAAGAGGATTCAGGGACCATGCCTGAAGAGGATTCCAGGACCATGCCTGAAGAGGATTCAGGGACCATGCCTGAAGAGGATTCAGGGACCATGCCTGATGAGGATTCAGGGACCATGCCTGAAGAGGATTCAGGGATAATGCCTGAAGAGGATTTAGGGACCATGCCTGAAGAGGATTCAGGGACCATGCCTGAAGAGGATTCAGGGACCATGCCTGAAGAGGATTCAGGGACCATGCCTGAAGATGATTCAGGGACCATGCCCGAAGAGGATTTAGGGACCATGCCTGAAGAGGATTCAGGGACCATGCCTGAAGAGGATTCAGGGACCATGCCTGAAGAAGATTCAGAGACCAGTTCCATTGAGATAGGACCTGAAGCTGGGAATTATGGTTCTAATGATATTACTGACAACGATGAGATCCTGGAGAACTTGTCAGACTGCTATATCTGTCACAACTGTGACCCAATACAGCTGCTTAGGAAAAAATATTTATTGAATTGAAAAAGTAGTAATTCACTTCCATATGATTTGATTTGGTAGATAATGGCTGATTAGTGATAAAGCATCTTGATTAGACTTTTAAAAAAATGAATGGAAAATGCCTCAAATTACAGGGCCTTCTGATATTATTTAATTTAACTTCATTCACAAGATGTGATCAATATGTTTCGCTAAATAGAATTAGGGGTACTAATAGAAGTATAAGCCCTGTAATATTTTCTGAAAGTTCACTTTATCTGTACTGGATTATTTTCAGACCAGATCTTGTAATGCAAGAAGCGTCCTCCCGAAAGTAAATTAACTTTGTCGTCACAGCAAGAAAATATTCAGAATGGTCTCAAACTTGATCCATCAGAGTGTGTTTTATATCCTGTAATCTAATGGTACTTTAGAAATTGGAAAGAAGGCACACCTTAACTTGGTTCTAAAGTTTGCTGCATGGCAAAATTGCAAGGATGTCCAAAAAATGTCTTGTTTTTAAATTAGCCAAAATATGATTGAAAAATGTACGAACAAGAAGAATACGAAGCACAAGAAATATAGAAAAGTCAAAACATGTGAAAACGTAAAAATGTATAAACGATCCTTTAAGGGCAATCAAAAGAAAAAGGAGATTAAATATTGAATGTTTACAAGGCTTTTGAGGATTTTTCTGGTCTGATTTACATTTGAGAACCAAAATCAATGTCCAGGTACCCCTAAAAAAATTAGCGAACATTATTGATCACAAGTGTATAAAAGAATCAAACTTACAAAATTCTAGTGGTTCAATATCATTGTGTTTTTTTTTTTCAAAAAAGTGTTTTGTTGTTGTTCAGTGTTCATCTATTCAGATATTTTTATAAATCAGGGGAGTGGACGGATTAGCAGATCACTGCTCTAGCTGTCCTGATCATGAAAATATACAACCTGTCTGGCTTTTTGATCAGGTAAAATATAGTTTCCCAGGATATTTACTCATGATTTTTGTTACAGTTTTGTTTATACATTGTAATATTATTGCTCCTGAGAAGTATTTTTGTGACATTTTTAAGATATACTATCGTAAATTTGTCCCTGATTATTTTTGATTACTATCGTCTACCAACTCATATTGCTTCTGATTTGTAATTTTGTGGAATTTTTAAAATATACTATCGTAATTTTGTCCCTGATTATTTTTAACTACTATCATCTACCAACTCATATTGCTTCTGATTAGTAATTTTGTGAAATTTTTAAAATATACTATCGTATTTTTGTCCCTGCTTGTTTTTAATTACTATCGTCTACCAACTCATATTGCTTCTGATTAGTATTTTTGTGAAATTTTTAAAATATACTATCGTAATTTGTCCTTGCTTATCTTTTAATTACTATCGTCTACCAACTCAAATTGCTTCTGTCTGATTAGTAATTTTTTGAAATATATTATCGTAATTTGTCCCTGCTTGTTTTTAATTACTATCGTCTACCAACTCATATTGCTTCTGATTAGTAATTTTGTGAAATTTTTTAAATATACTATCGTAATTTTGTCCCTGCTTGTTTTTAATTACTATCGTCTACCAACTCATAATGCTTCTGATTAGTAATTTTATGAAATTTTTTAAATATACTATCGTAATTTTGTCCCTGATTATTTTTAATTACTATCGTTGCATCTCGTCTTTTTGTTAATCTGAAGATTATTTTAATCTTTAGTTTGTATCCAGGAAAATGTCTACATTCAACCAATCAGAGTTGCGTATGCAGAATCAAGAACAGTCAATCAGAAGCCGGAAAAGTTGAAATTTTTGGCGCCATGAAATGAGAGAACTCCTAAGAATTATTTGATCATTGAATTAGCATATCATCATATTATTTTGTCAATAATTTTCTTGATTTAGTGATTGAGTGAGTCGATTTTTTTTAATGGCGCCTTGATTGAATTATTGAATGATTGATTGATCATTGTTTTTGCAGGTAAAAGTAATGGTTACTGATCTTGTTCATCAAGCTAGACACAAGGAGAAAATTAGGAATCTCACGAAAAGAAGGTTATTCTAAACACAGCAGTGCNTCCCTCACTTTTGTATGTTCGTATAGTGCGTTCTAAATGCGTCTACCCTTAAGCTCACAAACATTGCATCAGATCATTCATTATGAGAGCAGCCTTTATTTCCTTCTCCTTAATGACTTTATCCAATTGAAGAAAGCAAAACCCCGAAGGAAAATCCCAAAACAGGGTTGTTACAGCTCTTTATTCATTATTTAGTATTTATTTATGCTTAATTGTTATTTTTTACAGGAAAATGGAGAATTAGAGAGATACAAAAGTGTCTGGTTCTGTGATATCTGTCTGTGGCTAAATCAGTCAACTATAATTTTTCTGAATTTATATTAAATGTTTAGGAATTAAAAAATTGAGCTTTGAAAACGTAATCTGTACTTTTTTATTTATAACATGTTTTCATACGTTTCTATTTGTTGTTCAGGTTTCATTTTTGAATTAATTTTGTGATGTTTAATGTTCATGTGTGATATTAAGTTTTTCTATAAAGTTGGACAATCAAGAAAATTTTATTTTCACAACATTTCCATTAATTTCTTTGTATTTCAACCTATAGGTGCCACTTTTTCTGTAAGTTGATTGTTAATAATAATAATAATTGTTCTGAGGCCGAATTTAAAGAATTTGAGACGCGGCTCAAATATGTCTGGTTCCACTTAAAATTGTATTCAATGTTTCAAGATTTAATCCGGCGCTCAATTGAAACTAATTTTTGGTGGATTTGAGAAGCGGCTCAAATTCATTAAGTTCGGCCTTAATAAAAAAGTCCCAACTAAATTTATCTATTTAAAATCAGTTAGCAGAAAAAATTTGAAAGAAACATAGTCATCTATCTAGTTCAACGATCAGTAATTTTATATTTTATGTAACCTTATAAAATATTTCAGAAGAATGGCATTGTCAGATGAAAGAGGGAATGTAGTGACGCAGGAAACACTTATTCTCGTCTGTGATAAAAAAACTGGATTTAAGTAATTCATATTTTTTTAAATCACGATTGTTTGTGACTTGTTATAAAGAGGAAGTAATAAAAAAGTATAATTAGTTATGGTTTTTGGTTTTTATGTCTCATAAACGTCAAGATGGATGAACATTTTTTTTGGAAATAGTATAATCTGCAAAAAAAAAATAGTTTAAAAAAACCATATCAGACAAAAGCAACATCCCACATAAAAATCGGACACAAAGCACTAAGCGTTTTTTAATAAACTAGGCTTTTAAGGCGCTTCTCGCCCATCTTCTATTTAAATTGTGAACATGTTCTTTTTCTTTACATTTTAAAACAAAGAAAAAAATTTTGCGGATTTTCAAGAATTAAAATTTTTTTACAAAATTAAAAACCTTTAAAACACATTGTTTTTTAATTTTTATCATTCATAAACCTTCCCTGTGGTCACGTGATGTCCCACAAAAATGTTTGGCCCGATCGGTTCAGCCGTTTTGACGTTTATTGGATACAAACAAACAGACAGACAAGCCAAATTTATATATAAATTTGCTTATTTAGATTTGCTTGTGATGCGGCAGGATGTGAGAAAGCGTTTACTCGGAAGTATACTCTGGACCAGCACATGAACATTCACAGAGGGATCAAAAACTTCCGGTGTTCACAATGTCCTGAAACATTTAATTCATCTTTCCAGAGATTAAAACATTTTGAGTCCTGCCATAGAAGTAAATCCTTTTCATGTGACATATGTGATAACGAATACACAACTCAGTATAATTTAAATGCACACATGAAAACACACAATAGTGCCGGTAACATTTACCATTGTGACACCTGCTGCTCGAATTTTAAACATAAATCAGATTTGAAGAAGCACCAATCAATACATTCAGAAGAAACTCCATTTTCTTGCCAAAAATGTTTTATGTCCTTTAAATACAAGAATTCGTTAAGAAGACATGAGAAAACTCATTCTAAAGAAAGAAACCATCATTGTGATCATTGTAAGAAATCTTTTAACCAGAAATGTGATTTTGACAAACACATGCAGACTCATGAGCGGAAGAGTTTTGAGTGTAAAGAGTGTAGGAAGGTTTTCTCCCGGAAGGATATAATGGTCCGTCACTATAGAACCCATCTGCAGCCTTTAACCTGCCCCATCGGAGAATGCAGGGAAACCTATATCTCAAGGTTTAATCTGCTCAAGCATTTTAGAACACAGCACTCCAGGTATCGTGGGTCACTTTTCAACCGGTTTTTCGGGGTTTACATCGTTTTTTTTAGTAAAAATTTTGTTTTCTTAAAAAATTGTTAACATAAAGCTTCTTATTTTCTTTTCTGTGGTCAAAAGTGCCTAAATCAAAAAATAGATAATTTAAGATTATTTCTACTTCAAGGTTAAGGCACCCTTTTACACTTTTATATCCCATTGTTTTAGTTGAACTGCACCGCATTAAGGCACCCTTTTACACTTCTATATCCCATTGTTTTAGTTGAACTGCACCGCATTAAGGCACCCTTTTGCACTTCTATATCCCATTGTTTTAGTTGAACTGCACCGCATTAAGGCACCCTTTTGCACTTCTATATCCCATTGTTTTAGTTGAACTGCATTTCAGAGGTTCCATTTCGGATTCTCTTTCAGATCTTAAGTTATTATTTTTATTCTTATTTTAATTTTTATTATGTTCTTTTTCTTGTTCTGGTTCTTACTCTTGTCCTTTTTCTTGTTCTCGTTCTTTTTCTCGTTCTTGTTCTTGTCCTTGTTCTTGTTCTTGTTCTGGTTCTTGTTCTTGTCCTTGTTCTTGTTCTGGTTCTTGTTCTTGTTCTTGTTCTATTTCTTTTTATTTAGAATGGAGGTAGAATCTATCAGTTCTTCCTCCTTCTCTCTACTAGATATGTCAGGTATGGTAATAAACACAATGATAAAAATAATCATCAAAATTGGTAAATCAGGCTGTAACTCCCTTGTACGTATAATGTAATTTGATTTTATTTGATTTGTAATATTAATTAATACTAGCTAAAGTTCCCGGCGTTGCCCATGGATTTTTATAAAAATCGATATTTGAAAAAAATAGAATTTTGAAGAAAACAAATTCCGATTATTAAAGAAATTTTTTTTTAAATGTATAAAAATTCAGCTAATTCGGTCCAGCCGTTTTGCCAGCCCTTGCTGACATATAAATATCTATATATAAATAAATATATACTTACATACATACATACATACATACATACATACATACATACATACATACATACATACATACATACATACATACATACATACATACATACATACATACATACAGCGAAGACTGTTATATATAGATTGATAAGTAAATTACGGAAGATGTCGTTGCATCGAGTAAAGCCATTCCCCTTCTTCTTAGATGCTCCTATCCATCCGAGGAAATGATTTGAAATACTTCCTATTGTGTGGGAGGGGGGGGGAGACTCCCACACAATTGGAAGTATTTCAAATCATTTCTATTTTTCAGGAGATGAAAATTCCGAGGAACCAGACAACCCTGGAGTTGGGTTCCTTGATATTCCAGGAGTCGGGTTCCATAATAATCCTGGATTAGGATTCCAGGATATCACGGGATTAGGATTCCCGAATAACCCTGGAGTAGGGTTACTTGATATAAATAATCAAGGGGAATATGATATTCCAGTAGAAGAGAAGCATGACAGACCTAAAGAAGGAATCCATGATAAACCTAGAGAAGGGATCTATGCTCTTGCTAAACCTAGAGAAGGGATTAATGACACACCTACAGAAGGTATCCTCCATGATAAACCTAGAGAAGGAATCAATGATAAACATAGAGAAGGGATATATGATAAACTTTGAGAATGGATCAATGACACACCTAGAGAGGGTATCCTCCATGATAAACCTAGAGAAGGGCGTCCATAATAAACCTAGAGAAGGAATCAATGATACACCTAGAGAATGGATCAATGATAAACCTAGAGAATGGATCAATGATAAACCTAGAGAATGGATCAATGATAAACCTAGAGAATGGATCAATGATAAACCTAGAGAAGGGATCCATGATACACCTAGAGAAGGGATCAATGATTAATTTAGAGAAAGGATCAATGACACACCTAGAGAAGGTATCCTCCATGATAAACCTAAAGAAGGAATCAATGATACATCTAGAGAAGGGATCAATGATAGACCTAGAGAAGGGATCCCAAAAGGAAATCAAGGTAGGGATCCGTGGGGTAGATGTTCTTCAGCTCCCTCAAGAGTTAATAGACAGTTTCCGCCTAGAACTTGAAGATAACACAGACTTGGACGAAAACAAGTTTATTATTGCCGATCATACTTGGAGTAGTTTCCGTGTTTTCAAACTTTTGATCATAAGTCAGCAAGATCTCCTGTAATCTTCTTTACTTTTATTGATTGATTGATAAATGATTGATTGATTGATTAACTAGTTGTTTGTTTCTGGTTCCAGATAAAAATGTCCCGGTCTAGCGAGGATGTTCTACTTCAAGTACCTCATGTAAAATACAAGAAGTTGGAAGGAATTCTCTTCGTTATGTCGGAAAGGTATTTGTCAAAATGTAAGGTTGTGTCCCGATTTATCTATTGATACTTTTAGAATTGGTTGGATGCCGGGGAACAAGAGTGGGTTCTCAGTTACTCACAAATATACAGAGATCAAGCTTCAGAAAATCAGGAAAAACGATTTTAAATCACTATATTCACGAGAATTAATTTTTTATATTTTTTTCAAGTTCTATTATTTTTACAAGTATATTTTACCTTTTTTTGCCCTTTTTTACTTTTTATAATTACAAGTAACTTAATTTTTTTCTCTTTTTTATTAATACGTTTTACAATTTCTTTAGTTCTATTTACGTATACCGACTTTTTTGAGGAGGGGGGACTGTTTTATTTTTTTATTTTTATATAAGCAAACAATATTAAAATTGAAAATAAACCTAGTCCGGAAGGAAAAGCAAAGATACAGCTTCAGATAGTTTTACATGATGGTAGCAGCACAACTTTTCATTTTGTAAATTCAGCAGGTAACATTATTATTATTATTGTCATTATTATGATTATTATGATTATGATTATGATTATGATTATGATTATGATTATGATTATGATTATGATTATGATTATGATTATGATTATGATTATGATTATGATTATGATTATGATTATGATTATTATTGATATTGTTATTATTGTAGAACTGGGCCCCAGGCGGAAAGGATGTTTGCTTTTGTTGAACTTCGTCTTCCTAAACAACTGCTTGAAATTATTGGTAAAACAAAACTGGAAATGTTTTTTTGTAATTGGCATTCTACCCGACGTGAAAGAGTTGGGTAGGTATTGGCAGGACTAATGGTAGATTCTAAAACTTCTCCTATAAATCATCGTGCTAAGACAATCTCCGGGTCTGCTCGAATATTCTTCTATAAATCATCGTGCTAAGACAATCTCCGGGTCTGCTCGAATATTCTTCTATAAATCATCGTGCTAAGACAATCTCAGGGTCTGCTCGAATATTGCTGAACTTCAGAGTTAAAAGTTCTACCCAGCATACTCCTTGAAGAAAGAAATGAATATCACTTTTAACGGTTTTCTACTGACAACAACAAAAATTTCATAAGTTCTTTCTTATATAAATATTCCAGGAATCAAGTTCAAATATTAACTTTTTTTGGAAAATTGAACACCAAAACTTTACCCACAATAAATCAAATATGCCTTTTTTCTTTGCAACCTGATGTGTTAGACCTATTACATATATAATATATGAATTCTGTTAGATCAAATATTCAAAGTTTAAAATATCTAGAATTGCAATCACGTAGAGGAATAGAAAACTAGAGTAACCCTTGGACCAAATAATTTTTCGTCTTCAAAATATCAACACGCGTCGAAAAATTGTTCATTGTACAAAACTAAGTTATTAATTTTTTCTTGATTTGTTAAAAAATGGGTGAGGGTAAGCAAGTTATAAGAAACGTTAGTAATATAATTTTTTTTTCAGGAAGTGAAGGAGGGCGCAATGTGCTGTGTACTCTGATGGAGGAAATAGACAAATTTATCGTTTATAATCTATATAATAAAACAAGATATTCATAATGTTGCGTATAGCCGGATCTGGAACTTTTGCTAAACAAATTTACAAAAATCTCTTTGTTGCTATTTTTATGAAAAACATGATTTACAATTAAATAAATAGGAAGGTTTTATTTTGTGTTTTTAGAGCAAATAAAGCATGTTTTCCAGTGTTTTGATTGAAATTTTGACTACTAGATTTTGATCCGTGAATCCGCATATCTCTGCGAAACCGGGTGACCGGTTTGAAATTCTTGTAGATATCAAATTTGATGTCGTTGTTGAGCAAGTCCTAAAGTTGTCTATTCATGCAGGTGGATACTGTACGACGAGTTGAACTACTCAGGCATATCAAGAATCAGCTCAGGTAAACAATCATACTACGCTTCAGTTCATTTCATGTACCGGGCCGAATTTTAAGTAGGTAGGGTAATCTAAACAGTACAAATACAGACTAAATGAGGCAAAATGGGACAGTACGCCAAATGAATTATCCCTTCGAGGCAATTAATAAACGATTTAGGCAATAGACAAAAAACTTTTGACAATGGACATACTACAGTAAACATTATACATTAAGAAACATACGTAATAGACAAAAGACTTTTAAGACAGTTGACAATTAGACAAGAGACTTTAGACAATAGACAATTGACAATTTAAACAATAGACAATTAAACAATAGAAAATTAAACCATAGATAATTAAACAATAGACAATTAAACAATAGACAATTCAAACCATAGACAATTAAAACAATAGACAATTAAACAATAGACAAATAAAAAATAGACAGTTTAGACAATAAATTGACAAATTAAACAGTTGATAATTAAACAATAGACAATTTAGGCAACAGACAATAAACCATTGACAATGTACATACTACAGTAAACATTATACATTAAGAAACATGCGTAATAGACAAAAGACTTTAAGACAGTTGACAATTAGACAATAGGCAATTTAGACAAGAGACTTTAGACAATAGACAATTGACAATTTATACAATAGACAATTAAACAATAGACAATTAAACAATAGACAATTAAACAATAGACAATTTAGGCAATAGACAATAAACCATTGACAATGTACATACTACAGTAAACATTATACAATTGAACATTAGACAATAAGTAATGTAATAGGCAACAGACTTAAGACAATTGAAGAAAAGAAAGTTCAAGCCATAAACAATTAAACAATAGGTGATGGCCAATTGACGATATACTTGACTCGACAAATAGACAGTTGAACAATACACATAAAGAAAAATATATAATAGACAGGAGACTGTTAAATAACAGAGAATTTAGTCATTAGATAATCAAACAATAGACAAAAGACCGCTGAAGATAGACAAGTAAACTGTAAACATTAGACAATTAAACAATAAGCATATAGATTATAGAAAGTAAAAATTTTGACAATTGAACAATATTTCAAATATTGCCCGGTTCCCCCCCCCCCCCTGGAAAACTATACCATTAATATACAAATATAGACAAAGATAATAAAAATTAGACAATTTAACAATTTCATGAAGGTATAATACTCATTAAGACTATTTATTTAAGAGTTCTGATTGACAATCCTAAGTTCCGTAGTTTTCTTAGTAACTTTATCACCAACTTCAAGCCAGCACAGAAACAGGTTATTTCATTTTTAAACCCTTTTCCACTTTTTTTGGCTGAAATATTGGTACTGCCTTTTAAAGGGACTGTGAGCGTAATTATTTTAAAGATCACAATGCCCGATTCACAATGGTACCCTTTAAACATTTGACTGCTCAACGAGTAAAGAGAGCTCTTTGTTTAAAGGGAGTGTTCGGGAAAAATGAAAGGGTGATTTATACTAATTAACCAGTAAAATTTGGAAATAGGAAAACGACATTAAAGCAATTTAAATAAGTTTATTTGATAATGTTTGCACAGCAAATAGTTTTTTTGTAACTTAAATTCTTATTCAGTGAAATGGGTCTGTTTAAATAACTTGTGTGAATCTTCTGGATATTTATGTATTTAAAATTATTAACTACAAAGTTGAAATTTTCAAAAAGTTGACATTTTCCAAAAGTTTTTATCTTTCCTCAAAAAATTTCTGTTATTTAATTATTCTATGATGAAAACTAAAGATTTTGCACTTTTCTCAACACACTAACATAATATGAGGATGCGGGAACAATTTTTGAAGAAAGGGGGAAATAATGTTTTAATAAAATTCTAGAAAAAAAAGACGGCTTATGTAATGTTCCTAGGACCGTCACCTGTCTGTATTGAAAGTTGTGAACACTGAAGGTCGGGTTCTAGACACAGATATTCAGATTGTTGACAGGTTTGAATACTAGTAATATCAGGGGTGTGTACTGTGTATTATCCTAAAACATCATTTCCAACCAATCCCCCCCCCCCTTTACTTTCCTTTACTTTCCCCAGAAGTTATTTATAAATAAGTTTTAGTGGTTTCACGCAGAATTAAGGAAAATAAATGGTTTTTTGATTTCCTATTTTTCATATTTTCTCCACAATGCATCAAAAATCATCCCGGGGGGGGGTGTAATTTTGAAAAATGTACACCCATCGTAATATTCCATTCAATGACCAAGCTATTGTCCTTCTTCCAGAGGGTTAGAATATTCCATTATTCTAATACTAAGTGTTTATATTATTCTATTTCCAGCTATTAACATTTTCCATCAGAGGATGTTCATGACATTCCATTTTTCCTTTTTTGTTTTGTCTCAGTTTAACTTTTAAATTGTGTGAAACCATATTTAACGAATGTGAACTGCCTACTGCCGGTCAAATTAGAATTATCGGTTTAAATCCTTCCATAATCTTGAACTTTAAATCGGTGGTTGGTAGTAAAGCGACGGTATAATGAACTGAAATATATTCTAATAAGATTAAATTAACATTATTTTTTAACGATCTCATATCTTTTAAAATTAAAGGTTAATCTTAGAAAATTTGTTATACTACAATATATTTATCGAAATAATAAGTTCATAAGTTTCAGTCTAAGTCATTTAACTATAGAATTGAGTTTTTGCCACGAACTCTGATTTTCTTAATCGTCTATTTTTGCTGTCCAAGTTCTTAGACACCGTGGAAATATTTCAAACTATGACAAAGACTTTTTATTTCTTTGTAAAATGGAAAGTATAAGTTTAACTTATCTTTTACTGTGAGTTTAATCCGCCTATTCAAAAGTTTCCAGCTATGTTTGCTTTATAATAAAAACAACACTTTCTAGGTTTCTCGAGGAATTGATTTCCAGGGAGAAAAACTAATTCCTAGAGCTCCAGGACTCATTCTCCGGAGAGAAGGAGAAATTCAACCCGAATTCAGTCATCCTTTTCCGAAGGAGTAATCCAACCCAGACTTATTCATCCTTCTCCGGATAGAAGTAGTAATCCAACCTGGACTAAGTCATTCTTCTCCGGAGAGAAGGAGTAATCCAACCTGGACTAATTCATTCTTCTCCGGAGAGAAGGAGTAATCCAACCTGGACTAATTCATCCTTCTCCGGAGAGTACGAGTAATCCAACCTGGACTCATTCATTCTTCTCCGGAGAGAAGGAGTAATCCAACCTGGACTAATTTATTCTTCTCCGAAGGGAAGAAGTATTCCAACCTGGATTCATTCTTACTTTACCGGAGAAAAGTAATAATCTAACTTGAAGATTATAATTGCGAAAATACTGCCCAGTGAAAACTATTTTTTTAATCCTATGGCCCTCAATGTTCGTTTGATTTTTTGTAATATGTTATGTTCATGTTTAGAAAATTTATTATGTTGACTTAAAGCATGTTACAAATATTTGCCTGCATGCCATTTTTGGTTCGATTCTGGAAAAAATTACCAAATAAAAAAGCCAAAAAGCTAAAAAAAATCATTGTATAGAACAGTAAATATTTAAATTGGAAGTAATTTCAAAGAATTGTTTTTTTACAGTGTACCAACCATTTATATTATTTTTAAATCGAAAACTAAAATTGTTTGTAAAAATGTGCATCGTTTTGGAAAATTAAAATAATGTGCAAGACTAAATTATATTTGATGCTTTGTAAATATGTTAAAATAAAAAAGTAATTATTTATTTACGATTGAAACTGATCAAGTTTACAGAAAAATACTAGATGGAGGGAGGGAGAGGTCTTTACAGGCTTGGTAAGGGGGGGGCAGGTCGCGTGGACGACGGACATTTTGACGATTTGTATCTTGTAGTTTTCACCGAATCACGAAACCCTAATTGATCATTAAAAGAATCGTGGACATAGTTTATAAAGTTTAATGCAACACGATGGACTAGGCTCAATTTAATTTGAATTCGAACCGGAACGACGAATTCTCCTACCGACCTTAGTGACGAGCGGCAAGTTTCAACTTTGATGGTGCGGCCAGACTTTTACCTTAAGTACCCGGCCTATCGTAGGCCTATTGACATATCCCATCAGATTAGATTGTTTTGTTGTGACAATATATTTAGCAGTAAAGAAACTGATTTCTTGCTATGTAACTTCTAATTATAATCTATGAATTCTGCTAAATAAAGAGGGAATGCCAGCAATTAATAAAATGGCAAAAATAGGAACTTTCCCAAATGCCAGGGAATTGGGGCAAACCTTAATCTAGATTTTCTCCTTAGTTGATGGACCAGATTAAATAAACAGCGATGCATAGTTGAACCGGGTAGACCTTGTTGAACCAACTAGAGTTATGTGTTTCTCGCTATTCATTAAATCTGGTGTCAGAAGAAATCATTTGATATATATCCAACATGGGCTCATACATGGTTGTTCACCACAACCTTTAGTTTAGTTTAGTTTAGTTTAGTTTAGTTTAGTTTAGTTTAGTTTAGTTTAGTTTAGTTTAGTTTAGTTTAGTTTAGTTTAGTTTAGTTTAATGTTAAATGTCGTCATTTAAGTGTCAACCTTTTTGAGTAACCCTTATCAATGAAAAGTTTAAGATGAATGATGAAATGTTTGTTATTAAATGAAGGCTGATTAAACCCGTCGGCACTAAATACCTTAGGTTCAGAGAATCAACAAGATAATTGCTGGTCAACGTTATAATTTTAAGGAAGGGGGGGGGGGGTTAACAACTTGGAGATACATGGGTTATTTGAAATCATTTAGATCATTACATTCGTGGTTTTCTTTAACCGTAAATTTGTTTCTTAGTGAAATAATTTGTTATAATTTCAACCTTTAGCTCCTTAAACATGAAGAGTTCAAGGTAATCATTAAAATCTCATCCTTATCGGAAACGTTATATTATTTTAAATACAGGGGTTATCCACAACGGATGAAACTTCAGATACGTCGACTACGAATTCTATCGTTTTTCTTGAATCCTTACAGCTTTAAACTTGTTGGTTTCTTTTTTAAATCATTTTCTTCAGTAGTTGAAATTTAATCAAAATTTCGCGAAAAAAAATTTAGGTCGTCATTAAAGCAACCCTATATTTGAAAAATAATTCTAATAAATTTTGGGAAATTTTAGCGTGATTAGAAGAGACTAAATTCCTGTCGATAAATTATTTTAATTTGGTGATAGATTTGGCGCATTTAGTTAGCTCACGAATTAAGTTTCTTGTAATCAAATTTTTGAAAACAAAATGTCGGTAAAAACAGAATACCTTTCTAGTTTTAGATCCAAAACTGAATAAGCATATATTGTGATATTAACAACAAGGTTAATCGATAAAATAAACGTAAATTTGATGATCTTTCTTGAATTTGAAAATAAAAAATAAAGAAACTGAAGCTAACTAAACTGTTGCAGAATTAGTTTCTCCGATAATATCTCTTAATAGAACCTCTTTCTGAAAGATATAATGTATTTTATAAACTAGAATAATGAATGACAAAAATGTAAATGAAATAGGGTTACCTAGTTATTATACAAACTATATAATAGATAATTTTAACTAATTATATTCTCTCACCAGGGAGTAAGATTGAAACATAAATACAAATAAGTTCTGACAAAAACTATGATTTAATCTAATGTTTGCACTAAGATAGAAATGAAGGCACAATCAATATAGAGAAATATAAAGAAATAGACATTGCAAACTAGGTAAGATATCAATACTGAGTAGTCAAAATATTAATTTGTAACTAGGAGTAACACCTAAAACAGTGGAGTTCTTGAATGGAGTATTTAAATAACTGAGTTAACTGTCCCAAGAGGATTTTAAGAATTGACCCAAGTAAGAGTCATCAAGAGTTTTTAAAGGATATTCCATTCAAGATTATGTATTTTAACTATATTCTAATTTAATGAATTTGAATCCCCCAAAAACCGGTTTCAATTGAGCGCCGACTTAAATCTTGACACATAGAATACGATTTTAAGTGGAGCAACCCATATTTGAGCCGCGGCTAAAATTTTTAAAATTCGGTCTCAGGAGAGTCTTCTCTGATTGGTTCAATGTACATTGTGTTCCTTCAAAATCCATGGATGGAGCGAAAGCTCCAATCCTATTAAACTTTAAACCTTGCAAGGTTGGAGTACCAAGGACAGAGGATGGAGACCAGAGGTTGGAGTCTCGAGGACAGAGAATGGAGGCCGGAGGTTGGAGTCTCGAGGACAGAGGATGGAGACCAGAGGTTGGAGTCTCAAGGACAGAGGATGGAGGCCGGAAGTTGGAGTCTCGAGGACAGAGGATGGAGGCCGGAGGTTGGAGTCTCGAGGATAGAGGATGGAGGCCAGAGGTTGGAGTCTCGGGGACAGAGGATGGAGACCAGAAGTTTGGAGTCTCGAGGACAGGATGGAGACCAGAGGTTGGAGTCTCGAGGATAGAGGATGGAGGCCAGAGGTTTGGAGTCTCGAGGACAGAAGATGGAGACCAGAGTTTGGAGTCTCGGGGACAGAGAATGTAGGCCGGTGGTTGGAGTCTCGAGGAGAGAGGATGGAGGCCGGAGGTTGGAGTCTCGAGGACAGAGGATGGAGACCAGAGGTTGGAGTCTCGAGGACAGGGGATGGAGACCAGAGGTTGGAGTCTCAAGGACAGAGGATGGAGACCAGAGGTTGGAGTCTCAAGGACAGAGGAATGGAGACCAGAAGTTTGGAGTCTCGAGGACAGGATGGAGACCAGAGGTTGGAGTCTCGAGGATAGAGGATGGAGGCCAGAGGTTTGGAGTCTCGAGGACAGAAGATGGAGACCAGAGTTTGGAGTCTCGGGGACAGAGAATGTAGGCCGGTGGTTGGAGTCTCGAGGAGAGAGGATGGAGGCCGGAGGTTGGAGTCTCGAGGACAGAGGATGGAGACCAGAGGTTGGAGTTTCAAGAACAGAGGATGGAGGCCGGAGGTTGGAGTCTCGAGGACAGAGGATGGAGACCAGAGGTTGGAGTTTCAAGAACAGAGGATGGAGACCAGAGGTTGGAGTCTCGAGGACAGGGGATGGAGACCAGAGGTTGGAGTCTCAAGGACAGAGGATGGAGACCAGAGGTTGGAGTCTCAAGAACAGAGGTTGGAGTCTCGAGGGCAGAGGATGGAGACCAGAGGTTGGAGTCTCGAGGACAGAGGATGGAGACCAGAGGTTGGAGTCTCGAGGACAGAGGATGGAGACCAGAGGTTGGAGTCTCGAGGACAGAGGATGGAGACCAGAGAATGAATGGAGGCTGGAGTCTAAGGTTTTCTTACAGGAAGGATCATTTGATTGGTTTAGGGGGTTATTCACATTTCTCTATTTGCAGTCTCGGTCTTTTTCTAACTTTTATCTCTGTGCCTAAAATTTGATAAAAGTTAGAAACAATTTTGCATTGGTTTCATATACAACACCACCTTAACTATTTCAATAACAATATAAATTTATTTTTAAAGTTAAGAAGACACAGAGATAATCTTAAAAAAGAATTATCATTTTTTAGTGCCCTTTTTGTCATTTTGAAAAATTAATAAATTTGATAATCTCAGTTTTATCATTTGATACAGTTTATCAAGCTTAGCGTTGGAAAACTAGAGAACAGAAATTTAAATGAAAATAATAAATAATTTATTAAGTAATAATGATTTAATTCACAGGGTTACCAACAAAGGAGGAAACGTTAAGGATTACCTGAAACTCGTAAATAAACCGATTCAGATGTTCAAAACAGGGTTTTTCATTATAATTTAGTCTCTTACTGTCAAAATATATGATTTAGCAAAATTAGAAATAGATCTCATTCTTTGTTTGAAAACCTATTAGATGCATGAAAAATATTGACGATATAAACTCTAGGCACTGCATGCAGTACATGCATGTCTACAGAAATCACTAAAATCCCATTTTCGGGACGATAAATTTCATAATATTAACCAGTTTTGTATTTAGTGATAAAATGATGCATTTATATCTTCAATGCTTCTGAATAGTAAATTAGAAACAATTTTATCATCATTTTTCACAGTTTTTAGCCAATTTAAGATAGAAAAAGAAATATTTGTTAAAATTTTTGTTTAAATTAAACATTTTCAACCTTTGAACGATAGAAGTGTTTAAATCCCACTTACACCACTAAACCTAAATGTAACTAAAAGAAAACAATTTATAAGATTTATACTATTTATAATTTATATCATACTTTTAATGAATTTTTTTAAAAAGAATTATATTAAAGCTTTTATATTTCAAAGCTAAAGAAAATTATTTATCAACAATAATTGTATATATATATGAATAAGCTCGATAAAACAGTAAATATTAACATCTAGAGATTAAAGATAAAACTGTACTTTTAACATCATTAAATGTCAAGTGTACAAATAACAAATGAAAAATTTTAGTAATAAACATAGTTTATCTTTAAACAGTTTATACAGAGCAAGGTTTAAATATGTAGATATTAATAAGACGTATACATTCAAGGTTAGCTTTAAGTTGAAACCATCACATATTTCAATCATTTATCATGAAAGGATAAATTCATGTATCAAATCAGCATGAAAGTATAAATAAACTCATGTATTAAACCTTCATGAAAGAATAAAGTTGTGTATTAAACAATCATGAAATGAAAAAAGCATGCATTTAACCATCATGAAAGGATAAATCCTGTATTAAAGAAAGGATAAAACATTTAAATATCATGTAATCAGCCATCAAGAGAGGATAAATCATGTATTAAACCTTCATGATAGGATAAATCATGTATTAAACCTTCATGATAGGATAAATCATGTATTAAACCTTCATGAAAGGATAAACTCCTGTAATACACCATCATAAAAGGAAACAAGAATGTATTGAACCATCATGAAAGGATAAAACATATATCCAATCATTAAGAAAGGATAAAACATGTACTAAACCATCATGAAAGGATAGAACATATATCCAATCATTAAGAAAGGATAAAACATGTATTAAACCATCAAGAAAGGATAGAACATATATCCAATCATTAAGAAAGGATAAAACATGTATCCAGCTATCAAGGAAAGATTAAAAAATGTATTTATTTATCACGAAAGAATAAACATGTATCAAACCATAATTTAATTCTCATTATTTCAATATTTATGGAATTTCTGAACTATAACCCAAGTTTCATAGAATTCTCTCTAATAATGTAGATTTGTAGGATTTTGTTTTAGGCAGGCTATATTACATTATGGCTTAATCTATAAAGAAAAATTTATCTTTGAAAGAAAAGATCTAGAACCCCGAGATTGATGTTAAATTTAGACGAGTCCGGTCTCTTATAAAAAGTCGAGATCAGGTTTTGAGGGTATCCAGGTCCAGGTTCAGGTTCCTGAATCCTGATATCCGGCATCAAATGATATCCTGGGATATATCTTCTATTACTGTGTAGTCCTCTGCGATTGAATTATGTCGTGGTTTCTACTCATTCTCAGCCATGCTTCTTCCCTTTTGTTGAGAAACCATCTTAATCTAGAGAGAAATCAAATTTAGAAAAAAAACTTTAGCAGGATGTAAATATTTCATGGAGTTTCATGTTCATCTGAAAATTACAACAAATATGTAAACTCTTCCTTTATAGCTTGCTTTACCCTGAATAAAAATTTCAGGGTGATCTACTTTGTTTAATGCTTTTCTTGCCTGATTTTCTTAGACTGGAAAATAACTCAATGTTGTTTAATTTTTTATTAGAATGGACTTTTAATGATATTTGGATGTTCCTCTAAATAAAAATATTATGATTGGAATCTCAATAAAGATCCCCGCTTGAAGTTTCCATGCAGAGTATTATTTATAAAACATGCTCCACGGAAGTGTTTAAACATCTTCTTTTGTCAATTGAATTGGAAAAGGACCTATATTAAAAAAGGAATGTTTTTACAAATATTTCACCTTTTCCTGTCCTGCATTGTACTGCAACATTTCTGTGATGAATGTTTTGGAAGCAGATTGTTTACTTTGCCCACTCGCTTGGCTCGCGCCAGGTCTTGACACTGGTTGGTCGACACGCTGGTAAACACAGAGCAACTACAATAATTTAGTTTGGTAAATGTTGATAAAAATCATAAAAATATCAGAATTTAAATGGAACAATGTACAGTAACGTAATCAAATATTAACAAAAATCTAAATTTTTAGATCAAATATAAGTAAAAGTAAAAAGATACCTTTTTAAACGCTTGCTTATACTGCCTGTTCTTGAAAGCGTAGATAAACGGATTAATCACAGACGACATCCAAGCCAGAACAGATGCAACCACGTGGAGAGTTGGGACAGCCATCTTAATTTTATAGACAATTTTTAATACTTTGAAAAACTAATCTAGAGAAAATTGGGACACCCCCGTCCCCCACCCACAAGACATGAAAAGCAAAATATGTTCTGCTCTTTATTGGGTACTCAATGCTGGCAGGTTGTGAATTGTTATATAAATGTTGATGCATATTGAAAAATTACTGTGTAATTAAACCTACTACCTCATCATCAATAACGTTGACCAGCATGAGAGGGAGAAAGCAAATCAGGAAGGAGAGGAATATAATCAGCATCATCTAGAATATAAGGAATATAATCAGCATCATCTAGAATATAAGGAATATAATTCAGCATCATCTACAATACAAGGAATATAATCATCATCATCTAGAATACAAGGAATATAATCAGCATCATCTAGAATATACAAAGACTATAATCAGCATCATCTAGAAAACAAGGAATATAATCAGCATCATCTAGAATACAAGGAATATAATCAGCATCATCTAGAATACAAGGGATATAATCAGCATTATCTAGAATACAAGAAATATAATCAGCATCATCTAGAAAACAAGAAATAAAAGCAGCTTATTTTAGAATACAAGGAATATAATCAGCATCATCTAGAAACAAGGAATATAATCAGCTTATTTTATAATACAAGGAATATAATCAGCAGCATCCAGAATATAAGTAATATAATCAGCATCATCTAGTAAACAAGGAATATAATCAGCTTATTTTAGAATACAAGGAATATAATCAGCATCACCTCAATTACAAGGAATATAATTAGCATCTTTTAGAATACAAGGAATATAATCAGCATCATCGAGAATACAAGGAATATAATCAGCATCATCTAGAATACATGGAATATAATCAGCATCATCTAGAATACATGGAATATAATTAGCATCTTTTAGAATACAAGGAATATATTCAGCATCATCGAGAATACAAGGAATATAATCAGCATCATTTAGAATACAAGGAATATAATCAGTATCATCTAGAATATAAGGAATATAATCAGCTTATTTTAGAATACAAGGAATATAATCAGCATCATCCAGAATATAAGGAATATAATCAGCATCACCTAAATTACAAGGAATATAATTAGCATCTTCTAGAATACAAGGAATATAATCAGCATCATTTAGAATACAGAGAATATAATCAGCTTATTTTAGAATACAAGGAATTTAATCAGCATATTTTAGAATACAAAGAATATAATCAGCATCATCTAGAATGCAAGGAATATAATCAGTATATTTTAGAATACAAGGAATATAATCAGCATCATCGAGAATACAAGGAATATAATCAGCATCATCTAGAATACATGGAATATAATCAGCTAGAACACAAGGAATATAATCAGCATCACCTAGATCAGCCAATACCTTTGTCATCCTAAGATCTTCCTTCTTCTGTGAGGATTGAAGAGCAGATTCTTTATTTCTTCTTCCCTCGAGTCCAATATGTTTCTGGACATTCAACCTACAACCAATTAACAAGTTTCAGGAGAACAAGAAATAGATAAAGAATAGGCGAAGAAAAAAGAAAAGAGGCGTAATAGGAAAGAAAATTGAGAAAGGGAGGATATAAATGAGAATGTAAGAACGTGATATTAAAGAAATTCAGAAAAAAGGAGGACGGTAAAGAAAGGAGGACGGTAAAGAAATGAGGACGGTAAAGAAAGGAGGACGGTAAAGAAAGGAGGACGGTAAAGAAAGGAGGACGATAAAGAAAGGAGGACGGTAAAGAAAGAAAAGAGTAAAAGGAAATGACAAAGATATATGATGCAACAAGAAAAATACAAAGAAAAGAATTAAAGGATGAGAAATCGAAACGGTTGTAACTTGTAATGAAGGTATGAAATTCATTAAATGGAGAATAATAATTATGTTTATTTAATTGAACATATACCTTCTCTGCTACGTGACCTAAGGTTGACCTTATACCTGCTCTGCTACGTGACTTAAGGTTGACCAACACCTGCTCTGCTACGTGACCTTAGGTTGACTGAATACCTGCTCCGCTACGTGGCCTAAGGTTGACTGAATACCTGATCTGCTACGTAACCTAAGGTTGACCATATACCTGCTCTGCTACGTGACCTAAGGTTGACTGTATACCTGCTCTGCTACGTGACCTAAGGTTGACCATATACCTGCTCTGCTACGTGACCTAAAGTTGATCATATACCTGCTCTGCTCCGTGACCTAAGGTTGACCATATACCTGCTCTGCTACGTGACCTAAGTTTGACCATATACCTGCTCTGCTACGTTACCTAAGGTTGACCAACACCTGCACTGCTACGTGACCCAAGGTTGACCAACACCTGCTCTGCTACCTGACCTACGGTTGACCATATACCTGTTCTGCTACTGACCTAAGGTTGACTGTTTACCTGCTCTGCTACCTGACCTAAGGTTGAACATATACCTGTTCTGCTACGTGACCTAAGGTTGACCTTATACCTGCTCTGCTACGTGACCTAAGGTTGACCGTATACCTGCTCTGTCTGACCCTGTAGAAGATTGCCGAGTAGCAGACAATGATCGCTACACAAGGAAGAAGGAACCCAAAAAGAAAAAGGAACTTTTTCGGAGATCTTCCCTCAGAATCCCTGTCGAAAAATTTTTTTTAGAGTTGATCAAGAGGAATAAAGAATTAAAATTGAATATTTTATGAACAACAGTTACAAAATTAAACAATGTTCATATCATCAGAGTTAAATTTCACATGAATATGCTAAATCATTATCTACCAGTACAAGGGGTGGAGGAGGGGAGGGGGGCGGATAATTAACACCTCGGTATTTACAGAAAACATTAATTTTAAGGAAATAGATAAATTTATACAAAAATTTCAATAGACCTAGCAAATTCCTAATAGACTTTTTTAATTTCACTTCATATTAAGTATTTTCTCTCAGTTTTAAATTAGACACTAAAAAGACAGATGTTATTACAATCAATGTGATTAGAAGTATATCTTCAAACCATCAATCAGATTCTATCCGTCCTCACGCTGGAAATGTTTAATCAATCAAGGTTATGAGATAATTTATGCCAAGTTTAACATAGTTTTATTAAAACAGTTTAAGGTTGCCGAAGATTTTATTTAGTAGAGTTGAAAAAATCCTGCATTTTATTTTCTCAATGAAAATCAGTTAAAAACCAGAGATAAGGAATTGATTGCCAATTTACTTAAAAGAATTTTATGCAATTTCTAGAATATCATTTAAATCATAAAGATTTGGTTATTTAAAATGAATTAATGACTTAGGACAAGTGAACCGTTCCAATTTATAAAAAGGTTTCAACCCTACTTGAGTATAGCTAGTAAAAATGTTTCAAATCTACTAGAGTATAGTTCATGAAAAGATTTCAAATCTACTAGAGTATAGTTCATAAAAAGGTTTAAAATCTACTAGAGTATAGTTCATGAAAAGGTTTCAAATCTACTAGAGTATAGTTCATGAAAAGGTTTCAAATCTACTAGAGTATAGTTCATAAAAAGGTTTCAAATCTACTAGAGTATAGTTCATAAAAAGGTTTAAAATCTACTAGAGGATAGTTCATAAAAAGGTTTCAAATATACCTGAGTATAGTTCATTAAAAGGTTTCAAAACTACTAGAGTACAGTTAATGAAAGGGTTTCAAATCTACTAGTGCATATTTAATGAAAAGGTTTCAATCTACTGAAGTACAGTGTTAATGAAAAGGTTTTAAAGATTTTAATCTACTGCGTATACAGTTAATAATGAAAATTTCAAATCTAATAGAGTACAGTGTAGTTTATGAACCTTTATGAGAACTTCAAAATACACATGAGAAGGTTTAAATCTAATAGAATACATTAAAGGAGACATTTAGAATACTTACTTGAGTACGGTACATGAGAAGGTTGGAGGATCAAGACCAAGAGTTCCCCAAATCTCAAGAAGGGGAGGGAGAAGGAGACCGAAGGAGAATATCCAGACTCCAGCAACCATCAGGAGAATATTCATCCTATACAAATATTATCAGGAGAATATTCATCCTATACAAATATTATCAGGAGAATATTCATCCTACACAAATATTATCAGGAGAATATTCACCCTATACAAATATTATTAGGAGAATATTTATCCTACACAAATATTATCAGGAGAATATTCATCCTATACATATATTATCAGGAGAATATTCATCCTATACAAATATTATTAGGAGAATATTCATCCTACACAAATATTATCAGGAGAATATTCATCCTATACAAATATTATCCGGAGAATATTCATCCTATACAAATATTATTAGGAGAATATTCATCCTATACAAATATTATTAGGAGAATATTCATCCTATACAAATATTGTTAGGAGAATATTCATCCTACACAAATATTATCAGGAAAATATTCATCCTACACAAATATTATCAGGAGAATATTCATCCTACACAAATATTATCAGGAGAATATTCACCCTATACAAATATTATTAGGAGAATATTCATCCTATACAAATATTATTAGGAGAATATTCATCCTACACAAATATTATCAGGAGAATATTCATCCTACACAAATATCATCGGGAGTTCATCTAACACAAATATTATTGGAAGAATATTCATCCTACACAAATACTTGCATATAAGTAATTATGAAAATAATGTTGTGATCATGTTTGAAAAATTATTAATATAATAAAATAATAAAAATCTTATCCTTATTTCAGATTATCTACCTCGAGTATATTTTAGGATAAGTACCAGGACAGGAGATCAGAACATATCTAAACAATGATCATATTTGTAAAAACTTTTGAACCATAAACCTGTGACTTTAGCGCTTGAACGATATATTTTCCCTGATTCAAAGAGTTAAAGCTCAATTTAATTTATTTTAATTTTATTTAATTTATATAGAAGATATCGAGTTGAATCACTGAAGCTAAGCGCTTTGCTCTTTAAAAAAAATTACTTCTCTGCAGTTCTGATCAGTTTTTATAGATTATTATCAAGTTTGTCTCACTTAGAAACAAGATCAAATTCGTATCAAATATGATCCAGGATATCTAATTCTAAAAATTGAGGAAAATTTGTTCAAAATTTGCTGAGCTAGAGATGCACTGTACAATGTGTGTAATTTAATATTCTGTCTAGTTTTACCTGATTAGTATCCGAATATGGGTCCAAATGTTGATTACTCTAGGTGTGCAAGAAATATGAAATATGAATCAGAACTTGGATGAGATCGGTGGATCCTTTCTTCTATCCTTGACGAACATATCATTTGTCACGAACAGAATATTCAGAAAACTTCTTTCTTGGTTGCAGTACAAGGATGAAGAAAACTGAAAGGGGTTTATCCAGAACTTATTCTAAAATACTTATCAAGGATATTGAGAGTTGCAATATTTCAGTAAAATAGTTCAAAACTCTAAAAAAAATCTGAAGTTCAGTCAAATCTATGATTTTGATAACAAATAGAAATTATGTAAAAATCCATTTATAAAATTCTGGTTCGGTTGAAGATAAAACTTTTGATAATGAATAATCAGTCCGATATTAGAGTTATACCTATTCAGGGTGATGGCAACCATATTCATGAGACTAACTCCAACATTTCCGTAGAACAGGACAGGATATAGTCGACATAATGTATCTCCGAGTAACCATTCCTCATGTATATATCTACAAAATATCATTTATCAACTCTCTATCTATTAAACTATTAGAATATATTCTTTTATCCCACTTCCCCTTGAACCTAATGTTGCCACCAAGTGATTATTACTTTACAGTGACCCATGAGTTACATAAAATCCTTTTATCACTTCATCTAATAAATTTTAACTAAAGGTACCTGAGCTGAAAACTTTAGAATGGTGGATATCGAGATTAATACTTGATCCCCTTTTTTTCTTAATCTCCAGATTAAATAATGCTTGTTCTAAGCTGTGAGTGGAAGATTGATGCTTGAGAATAGAAGATCTGATGCTGCCAAACTAAATATTATTTTTGATGAAAAATATGATATAATAAATAACATCTAATTTTAGTTCACAATATCACATTATTCACAAAACCAAGATAAAACGATTATTGAACAATGAGCAATAGCATACCTACGGATTATAAGTTAGCTCATTAAATATAATATTCTAAATATTAACCTGATTACAAATGTAGTAGTAGCATGGGTTCGAAGTTTGGCGCACTTTATCAGAGCAACCACAGTAAATAAGTTTCCTAACAACAAACAGAAATAAAGATATAGATCATCATAATTATCATAAAATGATATTAGAAGATACAGTACAAGAATTGACAAGCTGAATCAGACAATTTTAATCAAAGAATTATCAGGACGGATTTTATATCGGAAAGTTTTCACTCTGTTTCTATTATTTACCTACAACTCCAACAACGGTAAAGATACAGGCTGCTACAGCTGCAAGCACCGTTACTGGTCTGGAGAACTGGGTTGGATTCTCCAAGCTCAGGGTGGGGGTAGAGCTTAATAGATTAACCGTGGAGCTCTCCATTCTCATTCAAAGGTTAAATCACTAAATTTAGAGCTTTATCACTTTCCCATCTTTTATTATTTTCACTTCTTTTCTCTTGATTTGACTTTTTCTTGGATCTTAAATCTATAGTTTAAGTGTACACACACATTAGATGAAAGTAAACAAACTTGTTTGTTTGTTTTGTCGCCTGATGTTCACAAACATATCCCTTTACAGTACACTAGTTCAACAGACTTTAGTAAACAAACAAGTCCAGGATAAAATCTGAAATAAGGTCATTATACANTTGATTTTTCTCAGCCTCAAAAAATATATATAGGGTTTACATTTTATGTTTTATTTTCTAATGGCATAACATGTGGTTTTGGAAATAAAGAAATAAGTTCAAAGTTATAAACCATGAATGTAAGTTTTTAAGACGGAATGAATCACATCCAAGTTGTAGTCCTATCCTTTGTATAGGTAGCAGCCATGTATAAACTGAAGTGGATCCGTTATAGTACAGCCGTCATCGTATATATCAATACAATGAAGACAACTTTCAATTTCAATTTTTAATTTCTACAGCATGGATAAACATATAACTTGGAAACAAGGAAAAATCTAAAAAAACTAGTTAGAAATAAAAATGAAATAAAAAATTCGTCTTCAATGTATTGATATAAACGCTGACCAGTGTAGGATGACTAAAACTGTTCTTCTAGACAATACTATTATACTGTTTAAGCCCCCCCCTTTCCTTCAAAGTCAAAAATTTCAATTTCCCCCATCTCTCTTGTCAGGGGGGATACTGATAGTTAAACATATATCATGTTACGTGGATCTTCTATCTTCATTCTCAAGAAATAAGATATTTAGAATGTTCAGTGGGCCCCCAAAACGGTGGAATATTAAGACGACATTCAAGCAATCCTATGTGTATTTAATGTTGTTAAAAAGCGTGTTACCAGTAGATTGGAAACCAACTTATTAAATGAAAAGGGTTTTAATATATAGGACAATTGCTGTGTTTCTTGTTCATTGGATTATTAGAATTCATAATTTCTCGCCTAGCTTCATATTCGACAAACTAGATATATTTATATTGAAGATTCTATAGAACAATAATGAATATGAAGAATGAAGAATCGAATAAGATTATGAAATAATACTAGAACTTAATTACAACTATTATCTAGTTTTCTCATAGAAATTTCTTTAACCCTAGCTTGTATTGTAACTCCATCCTCCCCTTACCAACACCAGAACCCCGCTCCCTCCCCTTTCTGCTCAAATATCTTCTCCTGTCAGGCGAGTCAGGCTGTCACAAAATAGGGTTTTTAATCATATTTAATTTAAGAATTTTTCAGGAGAATATTTCCGTAAATTGACATTGATTTCAAATATTTTTATGACATAAATATGTTTTCTAATTTGATTATAATAATACTCGACATTTTGAGTTAGGATATACTATTACTGATAAAACACCCGTTCCTATCTTTCTCCTTCCCTTCCCCCTCTTGACCTTTTCCAATTTTCCAATTTCTATCAAACCCTTTTATTTCTTGGCCTTTCCCATCCACGTCCTTCCTTTTCCTTTTCCATCCACGTCCTTCCTTTTCCTTTTCCATCCACGTCCTTCCTTTTCCTTTTCCATCCACGTCCTTCCTTTTCCTTTTCCATCCACGTCCTTCCTTTTCCTTTTCCATCCACGTCCTTCCTTTTCCTTTTCCATCCACGTCCTTCCTTTTCCTTTTCCATTTTCTTTCTTCTTTTCTACTCCACCTTTCCCCCTTTATTTTCCTTTCTTTCCCTTTTTACTCTTTCCACTCACTTATTTTTCCCCCCTTTCCCTTCCTTTCCTCTTTCCAAATCTTTCATTAATTACTCTTTCCACCCTCTTCTTTTCTCTCCCCTCTCCACCCCTTCTTTCCTTTCCCTTTCCAATCACTTCTTTGTTTTTCCCTTGATCCAACTTCTTCCGTTCTTTTCTTTTTTCATCCCTGTATTCTTTCCCCATTCTATAAACCTCTTCCTTTCCTTACTTTTCTTTTCCCTTTCCAAACCCCTAATTTTTTACCTTTTCTTATCTTTACCCTCCCAACTTCTCTTCTAATCCCCCTCATCTTTCTTATGTTTTGTCTTTCTTCCGTTTCTTCCTTATTGAACCTGAATCCTTACGCTGTAAAACTAGGAAAAGGAATTGAGTCTTTGCTACAAACTCAGAATCCCTATATCTTTGCATTCAAATGTCACGGACCTTAGATATTTCAAACTTTGAATTCTGTTAGATGAAATAATCTAAGTTTGAAATAAGAAGGATTTACATCATCAGGTTCCAAAGATATAGAGATTAGAACATTTGAGTTTGTGGAAAAGCTCAATTCCTTTTATATTTAGAATGAGGAGGAAGGTGGGGGGGGGGGGGCAGTTGAGGTTTCTTTAAGATTTTGAGTTTCCGGGGGACGGAGTCTTGGGACGGGAGGGAAGGGAAGGTGGGTTGACCGTCTAGACTATTTATCAGAGTTGATTCTAAATACAGGAAATATGGATTAGCTCGGTCAGAAAATATCTGTGGGAAAAAAATTTATATATGTATATACATACTATACATAAACACTACATATATATATACACTATAAAGCAATAAACCCAAACCGTACCCCATTGTAATGTCGTCTTTGCACATCAAACCCAACATTTTCTCCGGGATTGCCGGCAAACAAAGCAACTCGTGAAAAGTGAAACACGTTCAATACAGTAAATACTTAATATCCGTAATTTCGCAGTAAAACAACAAATTTTTGTAACCAAACGGATATTTATTTCAGAAGTTTAAATGTTGTTTAATTCTTGATAACCAGTCGCCCCATTATCCTCAACTAGTAAGCATATTTATAATATAAAACATTGCTAACATTTAAACATTCGATCGATCCATATCAATGCATTATTGCTAACCGTACTTATTTACAGGATTGAAATATACCTAATTCATATATACCCTTCTTTGGATTTGTAGCGAATTTGAGAAGACCTCTGGAAACATGAAAACTTGAAAACTTGAGAAAATAAATCTCTCATCTCTCTAGGGAAACCTACCTTGATCAAATGTTCCATTTAACTCAACATCTATACATAATCACTAGATATATATACACACTTTACATAAACACTAGATATATATACACACTTTACATAAACACTAGATATATATATACACTATACATAAACACTACATATACAGGGTTACCCACAAAGGATGAGACTTTAATGACGACCTGAAAATCTAGAAATAAAACAATTTGGATTAAATTAAAATTGGTCTGTATCACGTGACCAGTATACTGCACTCTCATTGGTGGGAGTTCTTGTGATGTAATACGGACTTATAAATAATATTTTCAATTATATCTATTAAAAATAAAAATAAAAATCATAAAATAATAATTGGAGAAAACCTAAGTTACGATTAGGTTTCTCTACAGGGATATCTTCGTTTGCAGATTGGTTGTATATTTGCTGAATATGATCTGATTAAATCAATTTCAATATGACCATGTTTATTTCAATTTCTCGAGACTGGAACATCTGATATAACTTTCACGGGTTGCGATCAAGAGATAAAGTGATTAGCTTTCAGCCTTATACCCCCTTTCATTTTTCCTTTACAGTTCCATTAATGATTTACAAAGAAGGAAACAAGTTTACAGCGCCAGGAAACCAAGAATATAAGAATTGAGACTGAATAAAGTCTCTGACGTCTCATCCTTTGTGGATAACTCTGAATCAATGTTGTATATACAACATTGTCCTGAATACACATGGGTAAACAAACAGAATTTGAATCTTAGTAAGGTATCATGCTAAAAATTGAAGCTAATTTTAGCATGGTGCCCCATGCTTTTTTCTGTAATATTGCAGGGTTACCCACAGCATATGAGACTTTGATTACAACCTGAAAATAAAAAATCATAATCTAACTCTATATACAGGTAGAGTTTAAATTTTGGCCCAGGAAGAAACAAAAGATTTGAGTCTTGATTTTTAAATTCCTAAATCTTCACAACCCAATGTCGCAGACCTTATATGGGTTAAACTATGAATTCTGTTAGATCAAATAATCTAGGTTCAAAATATCAAAGGTTTATACCATCAGTTTACAAAGATATAGGAGATAGAAAATTTGAGTTTTGGGCAAAATCTCAATTCGTCATTGAAGTCTCATGTTTTATGGGTAGCCTGTATCAGACCTGCAACTATTTCTTTGTATTTGACTTTATATCCTTTTTTCTCATAGATAGTCTTACTCTCAACCTCTCTTTATCTTTCGTTTTTAAGTTTATAATTTAAATATTTACAGTTTTAACTTCACAGCTGTAAAAATACTTGATTAAAATTAACAAGGGAACGGTTGCCCCCTCCCCCCTCCCCTTTCCTCGACGCCATAATTGAAACCTAAACCATTGTTTTGAACTTCGTAAACATGTAATATAATCCTGTACTAAGGAGAACTACTTAAATATGTTATATATAGATTATAGATATATATTTACATACATTATTAGGTTAATTGGCAAATTTTACATCATTTTTTTAAAAATCTACAAGATTTCTTAACCCGCCCCAAACCCAACAATTCTAAATTGATTTGGCCAAAATTAAACTAATTGATTTAAGATAAGTTTTAATGGAAAATAATGTAATGTAATATTGCATTAGTTGAGTTCATATGTTTTGATTGAGAATTTTCTTAAAGAATGATTTAGTTCTAGTTATTAAAGGGTTGCTTAAGATTATGCCATTCTCTTTAATCATGTAAAAATTGTATGTATGTTGTCTGTTTCCAACGCAATGATGTTAAAGAATGGATAAAAAAGTAACACGATTATATTTCATGAATAAACATTTTAAATATCATCAATTTTTGATCGAGTGGTGGAGTAATCATTCTTCAAATTGAAAAATCTAAAATCTCTAAAATTGTAAAAATATTGTCTCTATGTCGGGGACATGGATACCTATATGCTTTAAGATCGGATCCTGTTGGTTAGTATTCTCCGGGTTGTGGGTATACTGGATTCTGGAGAACTGATAAGGGTTTAGAGTTTAGACCCAACCCTGGAGAAACTGGCGGAGGGAGAACTGATATCTGCCCCGTGAACAGATCTTGAACCGCTCTCCTCCGTCTTTCGTCCTGGGCCGGGGTCTATCTCCCGTCCCACCCGGCCCAATCCATCCATTCAATCGTAAAAGAGTGAACTGGGGTTGGAGGGGGGGGGGGTCTTAAAATCTGGAAAATATAAGCTTTTAAGGAAGGAAAGGTGAATGGGGGGTACAATTGTCTATGAATTTTATCCCTAAGACCTTTAAGGATGACAGGGAATAAAAATTCATGACTTTCTTTTCTTCAAAATAGTTTGCAGTACAATTCCTTTTCTAAATGGTTATTTTAGAAAAATGTACCATAATCGAAATAAATGCAACCCAGAAATCAGTTATGATATAAAAATGTATTCACCAAAATGCTCTCAAAATGTAAAATGTATATTTGGTAGAAATTCTTCCATATCTAGATTTGGATGATAAATGCTGATTGATAAAAGGAAAATATTTCTGTCAAGAGAGGTTTTGAAAAATGAAAACTTGTCAAAAGTATTTTTAAACACTTTGTTCTTCCTTGGGTCGCAATTGTATTTTTAAATTCTTTTTTAAAGACTTGAAACCAAGTCGGAGGTAAATTTTTCAGTATTGAGCAATAAACAAATTAATCGGTAGAGATCAGTCGCAAAAACAAAATCAATAAACAAAAAGAAAATTAAAGGGGCCGTAGGGGGAATTTCAAATGACCCTCGAGGAATAGATGGCAATGCCAGATTCCCTTTTTTGATCAATAATCAGGAAGATTTTGTCGTTTTTTAGGCTTAAAAGTGTTTAATTATGATGATTCCTATATGTTTCTCCGCAGAATTGGAATGACCAAGTTACTTTTTATGGAGTAACCACAGTTTAATTAGTTTTTAAAATTAAAAGCATTGATAACTAATTCATACTTGGTCAAACAAAGCTTTTAAGGGTACTGTTGTAAGTCAGGCATTGCCATCTTTGCATGAAGGACTACTTGAAATTATAATAACAGTCTCTTTAATCTTCTGTTTAGCAAAAGTAAAAGTTATGAATATAATTGACGAAAATGTTTTGAATGTTAATAGTTAATATTCACACAGTAGAAAAAAGTGATGGTAAAATCTTTAGCACTGTATTTTAAATTTATGGTTTTAGAGCTGATAGTTAAACTGATCAGAGCTGGGAACTTTTGAATGGTGGGTATCGGGATTAATGCTTGATCTACTCTTTTTCTCAATCTCCAGATTAAATAATGCTGGTTCTCCTCTTGTTATTAATCTCCAGATTAATTAACTGATCAGAATTAAGGATATTCCATTCTAAAGTTTTCAGCTCAGGATGTTCTAATAAAACTCATCCATCGAAAAATAATCGACGACTATAGGTTGTAATATCTGAATAATTTGTTTGAAACTAAATTGATTTTTTTTTACAATTAGAGTCGTATATTGCAACTTTCTAAATTTGTATGGACGTTATGTTCTTCAGTATAGGTCGTTTTTAACAAGTTTCTCCTTATAGACGTATAGATAGAAGTAAGATTAGCAGCGATTACTTTTCGCCGTAAGCCTATACCCCCTTCCATTTTTCGCTAACACTCCCTTTAAACTCCCGGTAAACTCCCGTTTAGCAAAAGTAAAAGTTCTGAATATAATTGACAAAAATGTTTTGAATGTAAATATTTAATATTCACACAGTAAAAAAAAGTGATGGTAAAGTCCCTAGCACTGTGTTTTAAATTTATGGTTTTAGAGCTGATAGTTAAACTGATCAGGATGTTCTAATAAAACTCATCCATTAAAAATTGTCCCTTTCAAGGAAAATACGCAAGGAAACTTTACTGAAATCAAGGGTTACTGCGTAATTGTGTATATTCCTCCGAGGAACTATAGTACTTTTATTTTTAAATGATTCTGGTGCAAATTCCTTGACCCTTACGACCATATTACCCTTAAATCTCAGCAATCCTATGAGTCGAGTATCATGTTTATATTACCAACATCTGGGGGGAGGGAAGAGGTTAAAGAAATATATTTTAATTCAAACCTAGAGAACGTGCAATTTTTCATGCAAAGCTGCCAATAGAAAGTCTTTGCCACGAACCTAAGAACTTATAATCCCAATATCTTTGCAACCCTTTGATATTTCAAACTTTGATTATTTGATCTGAAAGAAATCATAGTTTGAAATAGGTCTACGACATCGGGTTGGGCTAAGACTTAATTCCTTGCGCAATTCTACTGCAGGACACAATATAAGAATTATCACCAGATAAAGGTTTCAAGGGTAACGTTGTGAATCAGGTGTTGCCATCTTTGCATCTTGAAATTACGCTTACAGTCCCCTTTAAGAGAGACCTAGCACCGTTAATTCATATATTATATATTATTTAAAATCATTTATAGTAACTGCCTGGATTGATAAGATTTGATTGACACTGTATAGCTCCGGGATACAGGATGATATATTCAATCAATCCGTCCAAAACATCAGAATTTGATAATCATACCATCAACCCTTCCTCCTGGTTCTACTACTGGTTAGGATTGAAAACAAGCAAGATTTGTATCCAACCTACTTTTACAGAGATGTAACTGTAATCTTTACGCCTTTTAAAGTGACTTTAATCTTTACGTTTCTTATAGGGACTGTAATCTTTACGTTTCTTAACGGGACTGTAATCTTTACGTTTTTTAAAGGGACTGTAATCTTTACGTTTCTTAACGGGACTGTAATCTTTACGTTTTTTAAAGGGACTGTAATCTTTACGTTTCTTAACGGGACTGTAATCTTTACGTTCCTTAAAGGGACTGTAATCTTTACGTTCTTAAAGGGACTGTAATCTTTACGTCTCTTAAAGGGACTGTAATCTTTACATCTCTTAAAGTGACTGTAGACGTAATTTCAAGTGGCGTATCTGATTTACAACATATTCTTCAAACCTTTAAATGATCAAGGACGACGTACTTATCCTCATTTCTTAACTGTTGAAAACGTTATTTGCAAGCTGATCTGTATACAAGAAATATTATTATTTACTTTCCAACATGCAGAAAATAAATATTTTCATTTGAATTTATAAAAACCGCATTGGACATCGAATTTTCGAGAGTTCACACTGTAGGCTAGCGTATACTCCAGTTTTTCGCAAGTTAAACACCATTTTAGAGATAAACAAAAGGAGTCCTCTACACTTGATGATCAGTCCAAGTCAAACTAGCTGATCAGAAACTAAAAGGATTTTAATTAAAATATACACAGTGCAAACAACTTGTCACAATCAAGATTTGATTTCCATTGTTTTGATAATTTGTTCTATTATAAAACTAATAGAACTTTTTCCCTCGACACTGTTTATTCAGTTTATCTTAGAACCGTTGATAAACTTCAGACAAAAGAAGATTTATTTTCTTTCATTAAGTTTTATTTCCAGAAGAAAAAGAACAAAGCACTTTATCATTTGAAACATTAGAAAATTATTCAAATATTAAAATAGAAATTTAAATTTTAGGAGAAACTATCAAGTCCCTAGTTTAGGGAAATAGTTCATAAACATTGGATTCAAATTCAGAAGTTAATTAGTTACAGAATATATACGCAATAAAGGAAAGGCAGGTTTTTTATTCAAATTCAATAGAGATAAGTTGGGTTAAGGAGTACTGACTTCTGAGTAGTTTCAAGCCGGAAATAGATTGTTTCTGTTCTGAGTAGTTTCAAGCCGGAAATAGATTGTTTCTGTTCTGAGTAGTTTCAAGCCGGAAATAGATTGTTTCTGTTCTGAGTAGTTTCAAGCCGGAAATAGATTGTTTCTGTTCTGAGTAGTTTCAAGCCGGAAATAGATTGTTTCTGTTCTGAGTAGTTTCAAGCCGGAAATAGATTGTTTCTATAGGGTTGATTGAGAAAAAGAAAAGGATGGTCCAGGAAGAAAAATTTGCGAGAAGTCCATGAATTAGTTTTGAGGATCAATATGTCAAGGAAAATAATTGATGATAGCTTAAGTCGGGTTGAGGATCAATATGTCAAAAAGAATTGATCATGAATTAAGTCGGGTTAAGGAGCAATATGTCAAGGAGAAGGGTTGATCATGAATTAAGTCGGGTTAAGGAGCAATATGTCAAGGAGAAGGGTTGATCATGAATTAAGTCGGGTTAAGGAGCAATATGTCAAGGAGAAGGGTTGATCATGAATTAAGTCGGGTTAAGGAGCAATATGTCAAGGAGAAGGGTTGATCATGAATTAAGTCGGGTTAAGGAGCAATATGTCAAGGAGAAGGGTTGATCATGAATTAAGTCGGGTTAAGGAGCAATATGTCAAGGAGAAGGGTTGATCATGAATTAAGTCGGGTTAAGGAGCAATATGTCAAGGAGAAGGGTTGATCATGAATTAAGTCGGGTTAAGGAGCAATATGTCAAGGTGAAGGGTTGATCATGAATTAAGTCGGGTTAAGGAGCAATATGTCAAGGAGAAGGGTTGATCATGAATTAAGTCAGGTTAAGGAGCAATATGTCAATGAGAAGGGTTGATCATGAATTAAGTCGGGTTGTGGAGCAATATGCAAAGGAAAAGGATTGATCATGGATTAAATCATGTTAAGGAGCAATATGTCAAGAAGAATTGATCATGAATTAAGTGGGGTTGAGGATCAATAAGTCAAAAGAATTGATCATGAATTAAGTCGGGTTGAAGAGAAATATGTCAAAAAGAATTGATCATAAATTAGGTCGGGTTGAAGAGAAATATGTAAAAAAGAATTGATCATAAATTAGGTCGGGTTGAGGAGCAATAGGTCAAGGTTGATCATGAATTAAGTCGGGTTGAGGAGCAATAGGTCAAGGTTGATTATGAATTAAGTCGGGTTGAGGAGCAATAGGTCAAGGTTGATTATGAATTAAGTCGGGTTGAGGATCAAAATGTCAGGGACTAACCATTGATGAATGATTAAGAATTAGGATGGGTTGATAAGAAAGAATATGTGTTGATATGAAGTAGAATTGGTTTATGATAAGTAGGATGGGTTGATGAGAAGGAATATATGTTGATATGAAGTAGAACTGGTTTATGATAAGTAGGATGGGTTGATGAGAAGGAGTATGTGTTGATATGAAGTAGAATTGGTTTATGATAAGTAGGATGGGTTAATGAGAAGGAGTATGTGTTGATATGAAGTAGAATTGGTTTATGATAAGTAGGATGGGTTGATGAGGAGGAGTATGATAAAAGGAATAATAAAGAAAGATTTAGAGAAAACTAAAGAAGAGGACGAATATTGTTAAAGCCTATAATTTGAATTGAATTACATGAGTATCTCTCATCAAATGATGAATAAATTGCCCCAAGATCTCAGCTCTAGGATCAAACAAACCTGAAGGCAGTATATTGAAAACATTGTGTGAATGCGAAATTCGAATTTCTATAGGAGAAGGGTGCAGATAACAAAGATCCCTAAGATCAAGAAAGATAGTAGTTTAATAAAAATAACTTAATTTTGGTAAAAAACCCCATGGTAGCAGAAATTTCGTTCTATATTAATCGATTTATATATTTTGAATAGAAATATCGACATGATATTAACATCTGTGCTAATCCCAGGCGAAAATCTAACATCAACCACTGCATTCATTTTTTAAAGAATGCACAATATTCACAATATTGAAGTTACAAATGTTAAATTTATTTTTGTTCATATACGATTACATAACAATAAAATAATACCATTAATAACATAGTTATTATTTAGTCGATTAAAAGAGAACATCTGGGATAACGTGAGATCGGGTTACAATAGAAGTTTGGATTTCTCAATCTAATAGATTAGGGTTTGGATTCCTCAGTATAATAGATCCGGGTTTGGATTCCTCAGTCTAATAGATCCGGGTTTGGATACCTCAGTTTAATAGATTAGGGTTTGGATTCCTCAGTATAATAGATTAGGGTTCGGATTCCTCAGCTAATAGATTAGGGGTTGGATTCCTCGGGTAATAGATTAGGGTTTGGATTCCTCAGGTAATAGATTAGGGTTTGGATTCCTCAGGTAATAGATTAGGGTTTGGATTCCTCAGTCTAATAGATCCAGGGTTGAATTCCTCAGTCTAATAGATTAGGGTTTGGATTCCTCAGCTAATAGATTAGGGTTTGGATTCCTCAATCTAATAGATTAGAGTTTGGATTCCTCAGTCTAATAGATTTGGGTTTGGATACCTCAGTCTAATAGATTAGGGTTTGGATTCCTCAGTCTAATAGATTAGGGGTTGGATGCCTCAGTCTAAAAGACCACAATTATAGGATGGACTTAAATAGAAAACAGGATACGGAAAACTTGGGAGATGAAATGAAGAATAATAAAATTGGAGGAAGAAAAATTAGAATAGGATAAAAATAGAATGGAGATTATCAGAAAAAAAGATGAAGAGAACACAAAGGAAAACAGGATGGAGAGGAGTGGGAGTAGAAAAAGTTGGAGATGAGTGAGAGAAGAATAGGATGGAGAGGGAGAAAAGGTTTAACGGAAAATCATACTTCGTTCTTGGTGACATAACTAACCCAGGAAGAGGACTCCGAAATTCTAAACAAAAATATTTATTATACTTGTGATGTTTCCCAGTTTAACCTGTAATATATACTGTGACAAACCCCGGGTTGACCGGGTTTACCTGTGATTTATCCCGGGTTGACCAGGGTTACCTGTGTTATATCCCGGCTTGACGTGGGTTACCTGTGATATATCTATGAATTGACTGGGTTTATCTGTCAGGGTTGACCGAGTTACCTATGATATATCCAGGGTTGACCGGGGTTACCTGTAATATATCCAGGGTTGACCAGGGTTACCTGTGATATATACCGGGTTGACCAGGTTTACCTGTGATATATTCAGGGTTGACCGGGTTCACCTGTAATATATCCATATTACCTGTGATATTTACCGGGTTGACCAGGTTTACCTCTGATATATCCGGGGTTGACCGGTGTAATATATCCATATTACCTGTGATATTTACCGGGTTGACCAGGTTTACCTCTGATATATCCGGGGTTGACCGGGTTTACCTGTGATATATATCCATCGATTGACCGGGTTTACCTCTGATATAACCGGGTTTAGGTGTGATATATACCGGGTTGATAAGGTTTACCTGTGATAAATCCCGGGTTGACCGGGTTTAGCGCAGCTGTATCCAGCAGACACTACACCAACAAGATTCCATTTTCCCGTCTCATCCTAAAGAAACAAAGCCTTTTCAAGCAATTATATAAAACTGCGTGACAAGGGCTTGGCACTCTCCCTTGTTTACCTTGTTGTCCATCCCCCCCCCCTTTACAAAAACTTCCAGTTACGGGTCTGTATTACACTACAATAAGAAGGTTTTAGGACTAATGTAATGCCTTGCTATGTACTTCAGAGATTTCAGGGCTGCCTCAATCTAAAGAGGATTTGCCTACGAAGGTACTTCCTAACTACCTTTAAGATAAGTAGACTAATATAATCAAGTTTTAAGAGGATAACAGCATAGAATTTTAAGAGCATAATAGCACCATGAGCATATGAGGACTTAGATTCGATTAAGGCGGTTTAAAGATACTTTGAGCAAATAAGGATCACAACTACAGAGGTTTAAGGACTACCTTGACACAAAGAGAACCCCACAACGGAGTTTAGGGACTACCTTGAATGAAAGAGAACAACGACTACGAAGTTAAAGGACTACCTTGAGCATAAGAGGACCACCACTATCTCCCTGACATGCATCCTTTCCACCCTCCTGGTGTCCAGCACACATCATCTCAGGGTAGATGTTTACTCTAGATTCAAATATTTCATTAATGAGAAGATATAATTTTAGATTGTAAAAATCAACTCTCATGGAATATAGGACTTTAGTGGTGTGATTAGACTTCAAAAAAGGGAGTGACCGAATAAAATTACCAATTTACGATTTAAGAGTTATTTTTTTTCTCACCTGTTCCTAAACAAACAAAAAAACATAGAATTTTGCCACTTTTTACGTTCGGGTTATTTAATCATTTAAAATGTCGAGTTGAGAGAAAAATGATAATCCTTCCTCGCGAAGTTTTAGTCTATTATACTACACCTCAGTTCAAATACAGTTAAACCCTAAATTTTAAATACATCGAAAGAATTTCTGAAATGTCGTCTTGACAATTTTTCATTGAGTTTTACACTATTTAACGTAAATCTCAGTAATTGCGAATATAAATAGCCATAAATTTACGGGAACAGTTTCATAGAGTTCCATATAATCATTTAATTAAAAAACTAAAAATATACAACATTCCATTATCAGAAAGTGAAGAATACGACATTTGATAAATTCTTTCGATGTATTAAATATTTAGGGTTTAATTGTACCTTGTCAGTCACTCCAATATTTGAAGAATAAAATTGATTTTAATAATGAAGAGAAACATTTTGTTATTTTAATTTTACTAAGGTAAAAACATGTTAAACCTGATTCCTGCCGCTAGATGCCAGGATTCACAATCTGTATTATTTAACGTATATACATCCACAGCCTGGAGAACCTTAGGTCTAGAACCCTGATCAGGTTGGGTAGCTCCCCAACCTGCAACTATAGTTCTCTCTCCAGTCTCTAGTTCTACAGGATCAGGTAAACAGATCGGAGATATATGCGGCATAAGAGTAGCGGGCCGGTCAAGTTTTAATAATGCCACGTCGTAGCGGTCAGCCTGGGGTGTGAACTGGTAGTTAGGGTGCAGAACTATTTCACTAAATAATACTATTATTAAAATTGAATTTTTGAAACTTTTGTCATCTTCCTTAATCATTCTTTATATGATTAAAAGACATCCTTGAAACCTGAAGGTTCAAGCTAGTTCAGCCAAATTCAAATTGGATATTTACCAGGCTGATTAGAAGTTCACCAAAAATTCAGTTCACTAATGATAAATATCCCAAACCTGACATAGAACTTCTGTCTCGGCATAGGCTCGCTGTTCTGGTAAAGATTGTACTCCCCTAGATAAACCCTAAAATGAATATTATTTAATATAAAACCGTTTTTTTTGGCCGGTGTCGGGCATCAGTTCATCTAACCTAATGTTTTAACCGATTCAACACAATGTTAAGACATTTTAAGTAATATTATTACACTTGCTAAGGTATTTTGAATTAAAAAAACACATTGGATATTATCTATATAGCTCGAATAATTATTAATAGTTTGAAAATTTGAAAGGAAGATACTTATTGTGTTTTCCCCTTCTTGTAATACGTTTAAAACCTAAATGCGTATCTAATTATATAATTTAATAATTTAATGTTTTAACATTGCTTTTTGGTGTCTAACATTGTGTTGAATAAGTTAAAGTATAAAGGATGTAAACACACGACACCGGACTCGGTTTAAATGAAAAAAAAATAAAAACTTGAATTTAAACCTCCAACAATAATTAAAATAAAAATAAAATTATCAAATAATACTAAAAGCTCAGTAGAATATATTAAAATCAAGGAAGATGAAAAAACCTATGATTACTTTTAAGATTCTTGGAAAACATAAAACTTCATGAAAATGTACAAATAATGTTTTTTTTTATAAATATTTGCAATCTAAGATTAAAAAAGTGCGGAAAATGCTTAAACGTAATCCACCCCCAAGTAGGAGTATTTAACGTCGAATTTGCGCTCAAACTCGGGATTTACAGATCTTTAAAAAGTTTAATACGTCTCAAATAAATCCGAAAGAAGTTTTCCACAACACTGCATACTCAGTTCAACTACCTTACATAGCCGGTCACTCCCTTTAAGAAACTCCAAGAAATACAAGAATACCATGAAATCGCGAATAGATGCGGATACCTGTATCTTGAGGGCCACTGAGCTGTCTTAACACAATGTCCGGCTGTGATAACCCAAGATGGTCGTATCAGGGCCCCTCCACATCTGAGAACAATAATTTGTAACAATACATTTCAGAAGTAAAATTTCTTTCAGTTTAAAATAAAGAAATATTGAAAAAATTAAAATAATAATTTTTGAGATGACTCGTCAAATATCATTCCATACATTGGTAAAGGGGAAAGAAAAAAATGCAAGCCCCTCCCCCCCACCCCGGCCGACTTCCTGTATACGCCCCTGGTGATTAATCTTTTACTCATTAACCATTAGTTAATCTTAGAGATTTCTTAACATATTCTGCAAAGAATTCAATAAATTGTAGAAAAATTTGACCAAATTTAATTAACAAAACATGTTTGTACGATAAGATTTGAAAAACTATCTTTTAGGAATATTCAAAAATTGCAGTAAAACATGGCACAATGATGCGCAACAATTATGTTGAAAATAATTTGTTGTCAAACCAATTCGATTTTCCGTTGTGACATGCAACATGAAAAGTTATAGATTTGTGCGAACAAGTTATCCAGCTACATCTATTGTTATTTTTGCGAATATTGCAAATGGAAACTTTAATTGTGCATCTCTGTCTACCTATGCTAAACTATACCTGGAGTTTCCTCCTCTAATGAGAGCAATCCAAGGGAAGGATCCGAACCCTGCCTCAGTTCCTCCGACAACTCTTCTAAAGAAATATACAGAGTTAAATATATTATACACAGCAGCTCATACATTAAAAAAGGAAAAAATGGAATTATGTTGCACGTGAAATTAACAAAAAAAATTTTTTTTAGTAAAAACAATTTTGAATTTGATTTTTTTAGCCTATTTGGTAGATCAACCATTAAATGCTAGCTGAGCTTATGGTACTAGGGTACTGCAGTGATTAAAAGTACAAGGACCAAAGATATAGTAGGTTTAAGTTCAAAATAAAGATAAAAAATATTTGACGGGATCAAAAATGATCTCTAAGCTTTATTTTAACCCCGGATAAGGTGGGCAATAAACCTGGACCTAGAGGAAACTCCGGATCTGCCGCAACCTCGTTCATTCTCAACAGGTCCAAAATCCTTAAAGGAATTGCGCAATTATTTTAATACTAACTTGGACTAGGGTAACATTTTGCCTATGTTCAAGAAAAATTTATTATTTTGCGAAAAGTGCCTTCTAATGTTACCTAGACGGAATGTTATCTGGACAGACTGTGTAGTGTGTCTAGGAAAACAATATTTAGGCAAAAAGTTACTAGGCGAAATGTATTAGGCGAAATGTATTAGGCGAAAGTGTACCAGGCGAAAGTGTACCAGGCGAAAGTGTACCAGGCGAAAGTGTACCAGGCGAAAGTTACTAGGCGAAAGTGTACCAGGCGAACTTCTAAGAAGTGAAATTTTACTGAGCCATAACTTTTAAGCCCAGCTTAGCCTGGAAAACAAGTTTTCCTATAAAAATCAATCTGATCAACTTACAGCTTTAAACTTGAGCTAAGAACATTTCCGTGGTTCTGACGAGTTCCCAAATCAAAACTTGATGAAAATATGATATAATATGATTAAGTTTAAAAGACTACAGTCGTTGTAGTCGTATATATCAATACAAGGAAGACGTCTTCCAATTTAAATTTTGGATTTTTAACTTTCAAACAGTATGGAAACAAAGAGAAGGGGTTAATTAATATCTTAATAGAAAATAAAAAAAAATTAGCAGAACTTGTGAAACATCTGCTACAAAGAACTCTACATAAGAATATGCTGACTATGTGAAGACTACCCGAATATCCAACCTGTAGATTGAGCTGGCGATCCTGCCTGATGTTACTCCCACCTAGAGCTCTACCGAACCCATCAAAGGTACAACAAACCTAACCATAGGGGACAGTCAGAACAAAACATGTTTAAAAGGATCTGCATCTAGAGAAAATGAATAAAATTTATAAGTATGGGCCTCTGTACAGTGATTTAAAAAAAATTTTAACACTTTAAATCAAAACAATGTTTTAAGAAATCTTCTTAGAATTATATTTTACGTGAGCTAGGCTTTCTAGTAACCAAAATCGTATAAGTCTATACTTTCCCCAAGCAAAACTTTTCAATTCTAACCGTATATAAACCTTCATATCAGTTGCCCAGTTGGTTCAGCCGTTTATCTACATATACTGCAGTGTCTGTTTGTTTGTGTCCAATAAACGGCAAAGCGGCTGAACCGATTGGGCCCAAATTTTTTGAGGGACCTCATGTGACCCAAGGTAAGGTTTATCGAATCGATCGAATGTTCACAATTAAAGATGGGCGCAAAAAGCATAGTTGAATACAAACAAGCTAAATAGGTTTAGATGTGAAATGATACCGAAAATGTCGGTCTGTGCTTTATAAAACATAATTCAAGATTCTAATAGAATTATGTGTTAGACTAGTCAGATTAAATAGTAACAATATATTTACAAATTAGAAAACCATAAAAAAGCCATAATACTTTTAGAATTTGGGCTTGCGAAGAAATTTATATTTTTGAGATAAATAAAGGAACTGATTGAAGGGATTGGCATCGTAATTTTAAGTTAAACCTTAATTTGAAGAGATGTCTATTGTCTACTTTACATACGTTATCCTTTAAACCTCCATTTAATCAATAATGTGAGAGATATCGTGGTTTCTGTACGAGAAATGCGCAATCAACTTTTGTAGAGAAACCACAATTGAAAATAATAAACTTTAAAGAGAGGGATATGTATTATGTATATTGTAAAACTCATTCATTTTTTGACCCCTTTAGGGTACTGTTGTGAACCGGACACTAGAAATTATAACTTACGTTTATCTTCTAATCTTTGCAACCTGAAACTGACTATTTGACCAAGTATTTAATTTCAATTTGTGTGACTGAAATATCAAAAGTCTACGAGACCATGTTGCATTGCAAAGATGTAAGAATGTTAAAATTAGAGCATGAGGCAAGTAAAAGTAATTATCTTGTTTCTTTGAATTGAAAAAAGGAGACCTGATAAAATCCTCCACATTCTCCAGCTTTCTGTCCATATTTTAGTCGGCAGGAGAGGTCAAACATACACTGACCCGTACAGCTCGCCTGAATTTACAGAGATTAGTAAATATTTCAGTAAATAAGATACAGTGTAGGATTGAAAATTTATTCCTAAATTTAACTTAATGATCGGGGGAAAATATCTGGTATACCTGGAGTGTAGGATCTGGCATACTTGGTCTGTAGGATCTGGTATACCTGGAGTGTAGAATCTGGTACTACAGGAGTGTAGGATCTGGTATACCTGCAGTTTAGGATCTGGTATACCTGCAGTCTAGGATCTGGTACACCTGGAGTGTAGGATCTGGTATACCTGGAGTGTAGGATCTGGTATACCTGGAGTGTAGGATCTGGTATACCTGGAGTGAAGGATCTGGTATATCTGCAGTCTAGGATCTGGTATACCTGGAGTGTAGGATCTGGTATACCTGGAGTCTAGGATCTGGTATACCTAGAGTCTAGGATCTGGTATACCTTAAGTGTAGGATCTGGTATACCTGGAGACTAGGATCTGGTTTACCTGGTGTCTAGGATCTGGTATACCTGGAGTGTAGAATTTGGTTTACTTGGAGTGTAGGATTTGGTTTACCTGGAGTGTAGGATCTGGTATACCTGGAGTGAAGGATCTGGTATACCTTGAGTGTAGGATCTGGTATACCTTGAGTGTAGGATCTGGTATACCTGGAGACTAGGATCTGGTATACCTGGAGTGTAGGATCTGGTATTCCGGAGTGTAGGATCTGGTATTCCTGGAGTGTAGGATCTGGTATACCTGGAGTGTAGGATCTGGTATACCTGGAGTGTAGGATCAGGTTTAACTGGAGACTAGGATCTGGTATACCTGGAGTCTAGGATCTGGTATATCTGGAGTGTATGATCTGGTATACCTGGAGTGTAGGATTTGGTTTACCTGGAGTGTATGATCTGGTATACCTGGAGTGTAGAATCTGGTTTACCTGGAGTGTAGGATCTGGTTTACCTGGAGTCCTGGATCTTGTATACCTAGAGTGTAGGATCTGGTTTACCTGGAGTCCTGGATCTTGTATACCTAGAGTGTAGGATCTGGTATACCTGGAGACTAGGATCTGGTATACCTAAAGTGTAGGATCTGGTATTCCGGAGTGTAGGATCTGGTATTCCTGGAGTGTAGGATCTGGTATACCTGGAGTGTAGGATCTGGTATACCTGGAGTGTAGGATCTGGTATTCCGGAGTGTAGGATCTGGTATTCCTGGAGTGTAGGATCTGGTTTAACTGGAGACTAGGATCTGGTATACCTGGAGTGTAGGATCTGGTATACCTGGAGTGTAGGATCTGGTATACCTGGAGTCTAGGATCTGGTCCAAACAATGAGAAAAATCTGCCGAAGAAAAGAGCAGAGATATACCGAGGTAAAATGAAGAGAAGAAAAACTAACCGTGGCAACATCATGAGTCCTAAATCATTAGCAAACTAAGTGAAGTTTTAACAATAACAAAAGATAATACTGGGAAAGGAAAGTAAAGCCCCAACTGGTAATTTCTTAGGGAAGGGTTTTTGGAGTACAAAAACCTTTCTATTGGATTGAGCCTGCAGCCACATAAGAAATACGACTAGTCCACATCATTAAACAAATGATGACTTAAAGGGCTCAGTAACAGAAGTAATATCTAGTCATATTCACCATATAACAACTCGCCTAAGTAACATTTCGCCATATAACAACAATTCGCTTATATATAAATTTTCAAATTAAATTGTAGTGTAAATGAAATTATACCAGAAAATCCACGAATCAAAAACCAAAATTCCCCAAATACATTTCTTCCAACAATGTTCAGTGTACAGAGCTGAAAACTTTAGAATAGTGGATATCAGGATTAAGGCTTAATCCACATTTTTTCTAAATCTCGAGATTAAATATTGCTTGGAAAACTCATGACTTTAATCTTCAGATTAATTAATCGACGGGATATCTGGATATTTCATTCTTTAAAGTTTTCAGCTCTGAGCTGGTAACTTTTGAATGGTGGATATAGGGATTAATGCTTGATCCACTCTTTTTCTTAATCTCCAGATTAAATAAGGCTTGTTCTCCCCTCTTGTTATAAATCGGGATTAAGGATATCTATCCCATTCTAAAGTTTTCAGCTCTGCACGCATCTACAACTCAGCGAGGGAAACCATCTTTGGTTGACATAAACAACTTCTCCTACATTAAATTTAAATCTACTATTATATATATCTATGAATTCATCAATATACAGGGTGTCCCACGAAACATGACAGTATGTAGGACGACTTGAATGTCGTCTTGATTTTTGATATAATTTGCTGCGTTTATTTGTCAACCTAATTTTAGAAGTAAATTTCTAGAGATAATAATCACAAAATTTCCCTTGTCCTGCCATTTCCAAAATGTAACTATACTACATGCCACTAAATAAAATTAATTATTTTGTTTTTTGTTTTTCTATGGCGAGCTGTTATATAGGCGAGTTGTTATTATATGTAAAAATGCTATATGACAAGTTGTTATATGGCAAAATGTTACTTAGGCGAGTTGTTATGAAAATTGTTCAAGCATATGAGTCATGGAAACTAGGTAATTCTTGGTTTCTAGGAATTACTCCTGATCGATTAGAATCACTATATCCTGCATCCAACTTCGACTGAAAGGGTTTAGAAAAGGATTCACCTGTACTCAACCTTCTCCGGTATATTACGTAAACACAGAGATCTTTTTCTCAGGAGAGAACCCAACCCGGAGATAAAGGGGGGGGGGAGTACAGACTTTGAGAGTTTCAAATACAAAAAAACAGTTAAAAGATTTCTTTTCTTTTCAAGTTTACAACAAAAACATTAATTAATTTGTGTAGACCTATCTCCCTTTTAGTTTCCATTGGTATTGTTTAGCCCCTGATATCCTGTGGGGCAGACATGCCCCCCCACCACCTCTCTAGCAACAAACAACACCATCAGGGGTAGATAGTGTTCCCTGGAACCAGGTTTTATGAATATCAAGAAGTAGTTGAACCAGGTACCGACGGTTCAACCAGTTCTAAATTGTGTACCGGGACAAGCGGTAAAAAGTAGCTCAATTTAATCTACGTAGTTTAACAACTTCTCCTATTCATTAAATCCGATCCCTGGATTAGTACAGGGTGTCCCACGAAACATGACAGTTGCTAATTAGTTATGAATTGTCGTCTTCCCTATACTGTATTAGATATTAAAGACTTTTTGCGGTTTATTTCGTTAGAAAAATCTTTGGTTTAAAATATATTTTACTTTTAAATCAATTTAACTATAACATGAATACTAAACAATATTTTTATCATTGTCTTTGGTATCAAACAACTTAACAAATCATGGAAGAAGACATTTTAAACTTTTCACCGACTGTCATGTTTAGTGGGACACCCTGTAATTGTATTTTTAAGATTATAGCCTTAGAGGATTTAACATGTAAATATTAGAACAATAAGTAAAGTTATCAGTTCCTCTTCATTAATATGAAAAATATGATCAAAGATGACTGGGAGTAATGAAATTGTAAAGAATCAATAAAAATGCAAAACATGCAGCCCACATTAAACAACATATTGTCAATGTTTAAAATCCATTGAAGGATCACATCTTGATCATATGATGGGCGGATTATTGGTAACTAATAATTTGGTAACTTGACAATTTGGTAACTAACAATTTGATAACTTAACAATTTGGTAACTAATAATTTGATAACTTCACAATTTGGTAACCTGACAATTTGGTTTACAATAAAATTCTAAAATGAAATAAGCAGGACTATTTAAAGATTTATGATTCACAAGGTTTATTAAACTTTCATATATCATTTACTTCGTTTACATATGATTACATTTAAACTACAGGCTTATGAGGAATATTAAATAAATATGCAAACAATGATTGTGAAACATTAGTTTCAATTATACAAATTGTTAGTTAACAAATTGTCAAGTTACCAAATTGTCAGGTTACCAAATTGTTGGTTACCAAATTGTTAGTTCCCAAAATGTTAGTTACCAACCAACATGTTAGTTACCAAATTATTAGTTACCAATAATCCGCCCATCGAGCAAATGTCCGATTCAAAACGGAACCTTTATCCTTTTATGATCCAAGAATAAATGATTTATCCTAAAAAATATATTTGAAACAAATGCTGCAGCAAAAACCTGATTTAACCTTCAGATCGTCACAATAAGATAGTTTCAGACCGTCATTAAATATATAAAACCACCCCGAGCGGAGGAATTCAGGCAGCCATAAGCCACAACATTTTCCCCTTCCATCCAACATATCATTTTTTCGTCTTCCGGGAGCCATGATCCACAACTGATTTTCCATGCCACAGCATTTGAGTCTTCCGACAGTTATTACGTTTTTTAATGATAAATTTAGGGCATTGAAATTGTGATTTTCAAAAATTCAGCGACGTCATGCTTTGGCAGTGTTCCTAAATGAAGTTGGAATCTTCTCCTAGATTATATTTCGTTTTACGAGTTTTAAAAATTTAAAGATGGATGAAAGAGTGTGTCCAAATATACATGGGACACTTTTGTACATGGTGTCCCAATTAACATTGGAATTAATTAAGTGAAGACTTCTATAATGTCTTTCTTCCACGCAGCATTATTTTGATAACACAATTTGGGTAATATCCCAGTTAAAGAGTGTAACACCAGAAATTTTTTGAAAACAAAGAAGATTTTTAAGTCGTCTCTTGATTGAGTTGATTCCAATGATTATTGGGACACCCTGCATTATGTTTAATCCATTTAAGGTTTCACGATATCCTGTTCAACCAATTCAAACGTAAAAACCCTAGTCTCAGGGTTTCAAAAGTGTGGTCTGCCATTTTGATACCTTCAAAATTAAAGGAGATCGCATGAAACTTTACTGTGCAGTATCAAATTATGAACGCTTGGTCTTGATACCCAACGTAAACACTTTAAATTTAAGGATAACCGCTTATAATCCCTTTATTAAAATTATCCTTGAAGGGTATGACCACTATGAGATATCGAAGAGGAATTTAATTAACCCGTAGGTCTGCAGAGTCTGCACAAGATGGAGATAAATGCAAGGGTTACCAACAAAGGATGAGACTGCAAAGACGACATAAAACTCTTCATATCCAAGTTCGAATTAAGTCTTCTTTTTAAATGACTTTTTTATGATTCAGCAAAAATAGAAAGAAGTTTAATTATGCACGGAAACATACATTTGAGGAAATGGACAGTATGGATTCCGTGCAGCCGTCTATGAAGACTTATCCTTTGTGGGCAGCCCTGTAATCAACCATAAAACTCTGCAATAGTAAAGCTATTTGCTAGCTCTAGTGTCGTCTCCCGTTTCTACAGTTTCCTGGTTCTCACTGATACAGGTTAACTAGCCTATAGCTGGACTAAATTAATTGGATGAAACCCTTGGGTACTTTGAAGGAGGTGACATAAGCTAAAAAATTCGAAATTTAAATTTTATTGTTTTCACATTGACCCGTATTTTATTAAATCGATGCCCTTCGACAGGAGCACGAGGAACACTGTAAAAGGTGTGGTCGGAAGAAAAAATGGTAAGCGCAATACCAATAAGTTGATTTTGTGGTCGGACGAAAATAAGGAGTAGTGCCTTCCCTCCCTCGGAGCACCGTCTGCGATACTTGACTTAAAACTTTTAACTATAAAAAAATTTGTTCGACATTAAAATAATATGGACTTTAGACTTGGCATTTATACATAAGAAATACAGAAACCAATATCCAAGTACGGAAGAATAACATAAATCTCCAGCACTATGATTGATTAACCCTTCTTTTTAATATATTTTTATTATGCAGTGGTATGCGATTGTATATATATAATGAAGACGAATTTTTTCTTAAACGTTTGATTGTTAACAAGCTTTTTTCGAATTAAAAGTTTACAAGAAATCAAAGAAAGCTTTTTTTAATAGACAGAGTCTCTTGATTTCTATATGCTCATGATTATCTGTGCTTTTTAACACCTTGATATGAATCAAAATTGAAATAAGTCTTCTTTGTAATGACACAATCGCCTACCCCTGAACAGCTCACCATTTTAAAACTATTTATTAGTGTTCCACTGAAAATATATACTTATATAATTGGGATACATGATCTTCCTTGGCTCTTTCTTGAAGGAGTGTCGACGAAAAATTGTTTCGCCACTAAAATCGTTCCCTTCAAAGTCTTCTACTTTCTCAGTAACTTCAATAAATTATCAATTCTAAGTATCTTTTCAACTCCATTAAATTTGTTTCAAAAAGCGTAAAATAGCAGACCACATTTTAGAAAAGACGAGTTACATTTCAAGTACTATGAAGTTGAGTGGGGCACTCAGTAAACTGTACTTTCTCCTTCAATCTTAAAGAATCGTCATTGTAAATTTAAAGAACTATCAACTCAATAGAGATTAATTGTGATACCCAAAATCTAAATTTAACTGTTTTAAATTTCTGCCCGAATGACCGGCTCAAAGTTGATAATCGACAAAAAACAAGAATATCATTTTATCCAAAAACATTATAAATAAAGACAGCTTGATTACTCTTAGTATGATTAGTTTCTTGCTTCTTGAGCGAAAAGAATTGTTACAAATAATCCTTAACCCCTTTTATACACAGGATTACCCACAAAGGACAAGACTTCAGATTTGAGAGGTTGTTCTTACGTTTATTATTCTTTGAAACTCATTTAATTAGAACATCAGAACACTAAAGTTAGTACAAAATTCTAGTTCAACCTTCACTTGCAGTATTGTTTTATAGGTTGTCTATTAAAGCCTGACCCTTTGCGGGTAACCCTGTAGGGTATATTTGGGTCATTAATTTACGTTATAATTTATGGTAAAACTTGCCAAAATTTACTTAGTGTGTATATTGCTTTAAATAGAAGAAATTAATCGGCACCGATATTTTTATGTTCACTGTATATTTACACTTTACATAGAAATTTACAACAAAAGCAAAAAAAAATTCCGAATAGATTGTAGAAAAAATGGCCGGATTTCACAAAAAAATGTTACATGTATTTGACCAAAACTTAACACTGCTCGGTTTCTAGCTCCTTCCTCACAGCCACACTGAGCGAGCTATGGACTCTCTCTAACTCCTCCTCGGAGTACTGACCCGGCAGACCCAACATATACTGATAAACTCCGATCTTCGACTTGAGGAAGTAAACCTCGTCCGGGGGTAAGAACTTGTACTTCTTGGACACGGGATTGAAAGAAATCTTCCAACCTTCCGGGAGATTAGGATCCACCATGTTATAAAGAGCACGGTGCTCTTCCTTGAAAAAACCAAACATGTTGGTTCTTCTAGCAAAATATGTTGGATTCGGAATATGGTCCAGCTTGTGTCCCCGAACAGTTGACTCGTCCTTCTCCACACTGGCAGGAAGAGAGGATTTTGAGCGGGATCTTCTTCTGTCAACCGAGATATCTTGAGCCTTTGGGAGTACTGTTTTTGATCTGGGTCGACTAGCGGTTGGTTGTGCAATCTGGGGTAATGTTGTCTTAGAGCGCTGCCGGATGGGGGAGGACGAGTATCCATGATCCCGGCGTTGATGACGAACTAGATTTCCTTTCCTAGTGTACATCTGATCACAAATCTGACAAACCCAGTCATTCCTAGCATATAGGTGAGTTTGAACTTAAAATTATTTAATTCCAAAAATTCAGAAAATAATTTTGAAATGGAAGTATGTAATCAAAATGGTTGTAGCTGTTTCTTATATAATGACGATAAAAACTTTACATGCCATCTCGTTTTTATTCGTTGATTTCCAAATTTTTGTTTTTTTTTTCACCCAAACCTGTTACCTTTCAGATTTAGTAGAATCCTCCCATGGAAATGGAACATTATCGAACCATTCCTGCAAAACTGATTTTTCCTCATCTACATCTGGCGGGTTCGCATCCTCTTCAGGGCTAAGGTGGTCATCATCGTCATTCAGGTTTTCAGCTCCTTCCTCCGACTTATTGTCTTCATTTTGCTGAACATCTGAGCGGGAGCGCCTTCCACTGCTTTCATCATCGGAGCTTTCATCGCATTCAGTGTCCTCAGATCTACGTTCTGCAGAATCTACTTTACCTTCTTCATCACAGACGAACCCTGACACATCTGGATCGTCCTCAGCAGCTTTGTCATCATCTTCTCTAGGATTCACGTTTTCCTTCTCTGCGTCTTCATTCTCCTGTATATTTTCACTCATCTCCACTGCTGGATTATCTGGTTGGACTTCTATGTTTCCCTCGCACTCGTCTTCACTGACAACCAACTGATCCCGAGGTACTGTTATTTCATGTAGATCATAGTCCTTATTTGGAGAACTAGACCGGAGAGGCGACACCTTGCACGACTTGACATGACTCAGCATCTCGTTAAAGGTGTTCAGCGGAGTCTTGCACTTCTTACAGGGGGGGTAAGCGCGAGGATGTTTCTTAGCGTGTTGCTTGAGCCTGCTTATGTTGGGGAACACTAGGTTACACGGGGAACACCGCATAGAGCTAACCTTTTTCGTTGGCTTGAGGAACTCTTGAATTTTCGGCCTCCCTTTCCTGCTCGAGACAGGAACTACAAGTTTCTTGTCCCCGGCATTATCTCTAGAAACAACCTTTCGTCTTTTAGCAGATTGATCTTGAATATCAGAGGACTCGGACCTGGAACGCCGAACTGCAGGGGTTGGTTTGGTAGGTTTCCTCGGAGTAACAAGATCCTAAACAACGATTATTAATATTATGCTTCATGTGTGAAAGGGAAGTTTCTCTAGTTTTAGTAGACTACGGTAAAATGTATTTTTACCTAGTGAAGCCCACCCCCCTCGATTTAAGATTACAGATACTTTTCTTCATTGAAATTAGAAATTAGATTAGGATCCCTATAATTTTGATGCGGATTCTGGATCCATCCAAAATAATTGGAATTCAGATCTTCATTTTTTATTTAGACACATCAAAAAACTCTCAAATCTTGGAAACTTTTAATTATCTTTTCTTTATGAACAGCTCAGATTTGTTTCAAAAGCAATTTTTTTTCTAAAACAATGTTTTTTTCTCTCTTTCGATTTTTATACCCTAATTATTTTTTGTTATGCTCTCAACATACATATTTAAAGTGTAAAAAAGGAGACATAATTAAATCCGTCCTAATGATAAATGGTAAATTAAAACCAACGTTACAGCACCTTTGTTTTAAGGGACGTTTTTCTTCTTAAGGTCAAAATTGAGATACAGTAAGAACAGAAAATGTTTCAAACATTATTAAAAAAACTTTTGCTTTTCTGACAAAAATACCCTGGAGTTGGCATGTTTGATGTAGGGGGAGGGGGAGGGGGGGGATGCCTTCATTTTTGGTTCAAATCTTCCAATTTTTTGGCTGCACGCCTAATTAGTGTTCGATATTCCTAAGATAAAATAAAATTGAATTTTAATGACCTCTGAATGACCTCCACAAATAGAAAATATTTAAAAAAACACTAAATGCATATCAAATGAAAGCTAGGAACCCAGGGAATAGAGTAGCAGCAACAAATTCAGTGTTTGACCTTCTAATGACCTCTTACGACCTCAAATGACCTAAAATGACCTACAAAAATGAAAATATTTTAACTTTGGCTTTATGCATATCAAACGAAAGCTAGGAACCCAGGGAATACATTAGAAGCAACAAATACAATGTTTGACCTTATTATGACGTCATACGACCTCGACTGACCTAAATGACCTCCAAAATTGAAAAAGTTTTAACTATGGCTTTATGCATGTCAAACGAAAGCTAGGAATCTAGGGAATACAGTAGTAGCAACAAATACAGTGTTGACCTTCTTATGACCTCGAATGACCTATATGACCTCCAAAAATGAAAATGTTTTAACTATGGCTTTGTGCATATCAATTAAAATCTAGGAACCCCAGGAATACAGTAGCAGCAACAAATCCAGTGTTTGACCTTCTAATGACCACAAATAAAATATATTACAACTATGGCTTTTAAGCATAACAAACGAAAGCTAGGAACCCAGGGACTACAGTAGCAGCAACAAACCCAGTGTTTGACCTTCAAATGACCTAAATGACATCCAAAAATGAAAATGGTTCAACTATGGCTTTATGCATAACAATTAAAAGCTAGGAACCCCAGGAATACAGTAGCAGCAACGAATCCAGTGGTTGACCTTCTAATGACCTAAAATGACCTCCAAAATAAAAATGTTTTAACTATGGCTTTCAGCATATCAAGCGAAAGATAGGAACCCAGGAAATACCATAGCAGCAATGAATCCAGTGTGTGACCATCTAATGACCTAAAATGACCTCCAAAAATAAAAATGTTTTAACCATGGCTTTAAGCAAATCAAAAGAGAACTTGGACCCAGGATATACAGTAGCAGCAACGCATCCAGTGTTTGACTTTCTAACAACCTTTAATGACCTCCAAAATGAAAATGTTTCAACCATAGTTAAAACATTTTCATTTTTGGAGGACATTTAGGTCATAAGAAGGTCAAACACTGGATTTGTTGCTGCTACTATATTCCCTGGGCTCCTAGCTTTCGTTTGATATGCATTAAGCCATAGTTAAAATATATTCTATTTGTGGAGGTCATTAGAGGTAATTAAAATTAAATTTTATTTTATTTTAGGAATTTCGAACACTAATTAGGGGTGCAGTAGAAAAGGCAAGGTTAGAACCAAAAATGAAGGCAGGCCCCCCCACCCCCTACATCTAACATGCCAACTCCACCATCCCCTTTGATCAGGTTTCAGAGGTACCTTTGTAAATCGGACATAGCCAGCATTCCATGGAGGGTCAATTAAAATAACGTCTATATTTTTCTTAAAAGGCCTCCCCCCCCCCAATTTGTTGTTGCACCCCTCTTTCAGAAGAAATGGAGATGAACCTGCCCCCCCCCCCCTCCTAAAAATGAAAGATTCCTATTTTCTGGACAATGTCAGTTGATAGTTCGTCCAAGATATGTCATCTCACAAATTGATGTCGTATACCTAACCTTTACTGATTAAGTTTAATGTAATAATATGTTATAATTGTAGTCGTCAACAAAAAGCGAATCCCAAGGGCCTACGTAAATTAAACAATCTCTAGGTAAAATTAGGATTCGAGTTTGATAGTTAAATAAGGGGTTGGGGCCGGGTGATTATAATATTTCTACCTTCTGATTCTTTACAGTCTCGAACAACATCTTCTTCTGTTCTTCAGTAGCAGCACAGATGGTGCAGATGTCCAAGATAAACTTGTGCGAGATTGTTACTCCGTGAAGCTTCACTAGATGTTGTCGGAGTAGATCATCAGGCACATAAGCACCACAGAGTATACAGCGAGAGTTTACGTTCTCGTCCTCATTCTCTGACGAGTATCCAACTGCCGGGCCTGGTTCCATGTTAACTTTTGTCTGAAAATAATAAGAAATTAAAAAATAATTGGCGACTTTATCAATAGTCACTGACATTATCAACGCTGAAACACTTGTTTTGACAGTTTTGTAAACTGCGCGACATCTGTGGCCGAATTTAAAGAATTTGAGCGGCGGTTTAAATTTAAGCCACGGCTTTAATATGGTTGGTTCCACTCCCTCATTTCAGTTTGTACATGACCAATTCAACAAAAAAAATGAACAATACATAATTTGAATTACTTCAGGGTTGAGTTGACAATTTCTTGGCCTAGCGCCACATGTCCAAAGGTCTTTTTTAAAAACTGAAAAATCGTTCTAAAGGAATAAGCGAATAATGTTAATTTTTTTGAAAAATATTAGTCATGTACAAAAATAATAAGAGGGGCGTTCAAAAGGCGTTCTCTAGGTCTTGGCCGCAAACTCAAATTTTCTAATCCCTATCATAGCAGCCTGATAATTAATTAGACTAACAGAATTCATAGTAAAAAGTCTAGAATAAAGGGTTGCAAAGATATATTTGCTACAATTGAGGGCCGGCCAGGGGGAAGGGTCCGTAACTTAGAAATGACAAAAAAACGAAGGAAGTTCACCTAAAAGACAAAAATATATCAATTACGTACACTAAACTTATCGATATCATTTTCCTTTAAACCTACAGGTTAAAAACGTTAGCTTCACAATTATTCGATGAACGCTTCACTAAATACCTAACCCTGCATGTGTTTCACTCTTTCTGGCCACAAATCAAGTTCTAAGATCGTTGCGACATAGACTGGCTCCTCTCCGTTCAGGTTGAAAACCAGTTTTGGAACAATCATGAAAAAATAATGAGTAATCAAAACGAAGAAAGCCCGCGAATTCAAAATTTAAACACTTTTTGAAAAACCGGTTTAAAATAATGTAATTCGAAAAGACAATGAATTATAAGGGAAATCTTAATATTTAAACATGAATCCAAAAACAAACTTGGTAATTAATCCTTTAAACATGCTCCCTTCATAAAAAGCAATTAACTCCCATAACACACGGGATCCAAACCTTCTCCTTCGATTGGAACTTAAACCTTGGAAAATAAATTCAAACCTTCTCCCCATTGAAACATGATCCTCCTTTAATTGAGAACCTTTCCACAATGATCCAAATTAACTGTCTCCCTTGATTAACAAAGCCTTAATCCATCCAAACCATCTCCTATAATTCTAAAACGTAACATGCATGGATTCAACTTTCTCCCCCTACTTAAGAACCTTGGGACAAGAATCTCGACCTTCTCCCTTGATTCAGAACCTTAAGACAAGGATCCCAACCTTCTCCCTTGATTCAGAACATTAGGACATGGACCTTTTCCTTGATTCAGAACCTTAGGACAAGGATCCCAACTTTCTCCCCTAATTCAGAACCTTAGGGCAGGGATCCCAACCTTCTCCCTTGATTCAGAACCTTAGGACAAGGATCCCAACCTTCTCCTCCATGGGTCCCAACTTTCTCCCCTAATTCAGAACCTTAGGACAAGAATCTTGACCTTCTCCCTTGATTCAGAACCTTAGGACAAGGATCCCAACCTTCTCCTCAATGAGTCCCAACCTTCTCCCCTAATTCAGAACCTTAGGACAAGGATCCCAACCTTCTCCCCTAATTCAGAACCTTAGGACAAGGATCCCGACCTTCTCCCTTGATTCAGAACCTTAGGACAAGGATCCCAACCTTCTCCTAAATGGGTCCCAACCTTCTCCCCTAATTCAGAACCTTAGGACAAGGATCCCAACCTTCTCCCTTGATTAAGAACTTTAGGACAAGAATCCTGACCTTCTCTCTTGATTCAGAACCTTAGGACAAGGATCCCAACCTTCTCTTCCATGGGTCCCAACCTTCTCCCCTAATTCAGAACCTTAGGACAAGGATCCCAACCTTCTCCCTTGATTAAGAACTTTAGGACAAGAATCCTGACCTTCTCTCTTGATTCAGAACCTTAGGACAAGGATCCCAACCTTCTCTTCCATGGGTCCCAACCTTCTCCCCTAATTCAGAACCTTAGGACAAGGATCCCAACCTTCTCCTCCATGGGTCCCAACCTTCTCCTCTAATTAAGAACCTTAGGACAAGAATCCCAACCTTCTCCCTGGATTAAGAACTTGAGGACAAGGATCCCATCCTTCTCCCTTGATTCAGAACATTAGAACAAGGATCTCAACCTTCTCCCTTGATTCAGAACATTAGAACATAGATCCAAACCTTCTCCCTTGATTCTGAACTTTAGAACAAGGATCCCAACCTTCTCCCTTGATTCAGAACATTAGAAAAAGGGTCCCAACCTTCTTGCTTTATTCAGAACCTTGGGACAAGAATCCCAACCTTTCCCTTGATTCAAACCTTAGGACAAGGATACCAATTTTCTCTCTGACTCTGTACATAAGGACAATGATCCTTACATTCTCACTTGATCATGGAACCTTATGACAAGAATCCCAACCCTCTACCTTGATTCAAAGCCTTCGCCCATGGATCTAAACTTTCTCCTTTGATCTTAAAACGTAACACATTATCCTATACCATAGTGCAGAACCTTAGGACAAGGATCTCCACCTTCTCCTTTGATTCAGAACCTTAGAACAAGGATCCCGACCTTTTCACTTGATTCAGAACCTTAGGACAAGAATTCCAGCCTTCTCCCTTGATTCAGAACCTCATAACAAGGATCCCAACCGTCTCAATTAATTCAGAACCTAAAGAAAAAGATCCAAACCAAGGATCCCAAAACTCTTCCTTGATTCCAAACCTTAGGATAAGGAGCCCGACCTTCTCTCTTATTCCTTCCTTTATATCATCCTTGGTTCTCTCTGATCCCTTCCTTTTCTTAATCCTGGATCCTCTCTTATTCCTTCCTATATTATATTATCTTTGATTTTCTAACCTCCCTTCCTTCGTATTATCCTTCATGCTGCATGATGATCTTACACAGAATACATTGCTTCATGTATTAGAGAGTGGCTACACGATTTTACATAATTTAGGCTACATGCTAATCTTACACAGAAAACATTGCTTCATGTATTAGAGAGTGGCTAATTGATTTTACATAAATTGGGCTACATGATAATCTTACACAGAAAACATTGCTTAATGTATTAGAGAGTGGCTACACGATTTTACATAATTTAGGCTACATGCTAATCTTACACAGAAAACATTGCTTCATGTATTAGAGAGTGGCTACACGATTTTACATAATTTTGGCGGAGACATTTTAACCACAGGAAACATCACTTAATACCGGAGATCTGATTGACATTTTTTATTAATCTTTTTATCTAAAACAGGAATTATTTTTACATATTACAGAGTACTTAGATATGCTTTAACATTTATAGAACAGGAATACTTAACTTCTTATTAAAGAATACATAGATATGATTTGAAATTATTGGTTTGTGGTAATATTGAAAAAGAAATACTTTGCTACATATTATGTGTTGAACAGATAGATTTTCAATTTATGGGTTTGCATAAATCTATGCTTTTAAGCTATATTATACACTAATAATAGAATATTAGGATTAAGAAACTATGAACTGACTCTAGGTGGAGTATAGGTTTGTGATATCCTCTAAGCTTGAATTGTCCAGCTGGACTGAAGCTCCATATGAAGATTGTATCTGGGTACAACCAGGAGGTGAACTGTGTGCTGAGGAGGGTGTGAGATCAAACCTAGTTGTTGAGGAAGAAAACGTCTTCAGATTCCCGGCACTCTCCTTCAGGGTGTGAGAACTTAATCCTATTAGAAAACTCTATATTATTTTTAGTAAAACGTTAAAACAATTTTAGAAACACTTTTAATTTAGAATTTGACATTGTAATTGCAATTTTAGTCGCAGAATTGATTAAACCCAATAAGAGAAAGATTTTTATCCCAATCATGTCCATAACGGTTTCAGCAATTAAATATTAATTTACAAATTATAGTTATAAAAACTAATAATAATAATCAAAAATAACAATTATTAATTCAATAATAATCTAACCTTGTTTAGGAATTCTTCTAAACCTGGATAAATCATGAATCCTATTAATCTGTTTAAATTCTGCTGCAATAGAGTTGAGTTTGCTAATTACTCCTCCTGACCTGGTTCTACTCTAGAGTATCAAGGTTTAATATAATCATGTAGATACTCGTAGTAGTTTAATTTTTACCTTTATTCCAACTTTGCAGCATTTATGTGCACAATTCTGTTTATCTGAGCAGGGATGTCTACAGGCTCGTGCTGTACCCGGAGTACTGTTAAAACTATCAGATCCTTCATATCCACCAGATCCTTGGAACATCTCAGAACACTGGGAATTTTGGGATCCTTGAAATTGCCGGGAACCCGGGATGTCCTGTGATCCTTGAAAACTTTGGGATACCTGAAACCCCCGAGGTTCTTGCTGTTTGCTGAAAAAATTGTATCCGAGATTCCCTTGATAATCAAATTCAGAATCATCCAAAATATCTTCTCCTTCTCCCGTTTCACAGAACTCCGTGAATCCTCCGTTGATACCAGGGTTTCCGAAGTTTCCTCTAGGTTGGAATTCACCTTTACCAAAGTGTTCATTAATCTTCTCCTGCTCAAAGTATTCCTGTTTACTTGCAGTATTCTCGTCGGATGGTTGAAACCAATTTTGAGAATAGGTTTGATCTTGGACGGATTTCTGGTGCATATACCACTCTAGGGGCAGATCTGATCTATCCCAGTTCTGTTTATTGTTTATCCTGGACCTGGAGACAGGGATTGGTTCTCTCTGTATCGGAGCAGGAAGACAAGGACGGTTAAACTCAACCTTAAACTCATTCCCAACATCAACTCCTGAGTTAAACAATTCAGTTAAACTGAATAATAGGATAATATTTCTCTTAATCATTAATAATTATTTAATAAATAAAATGACCCTAAAATTATACAACAACATAAAGACAAATATTAATACGACTAAAGTAACTTATTTTCATAATTCTGAACTAATTTCTTGGGTAAACAAATCAGAACAGAACCAAGAACTGTACACTTTAAACATGAGCTAGGAACATACTCTTTTCGTTTTCAAAAAGGTTAATGAAAGTTTACATGCAGAAACAGCTTATGGGGGGGGGGAAGGGGGAGCACAAGAAGGGAGTTAATTCAATTAAAATATTCAACCTCGGAATCTCAGGTGCGTATACAGGGGGGGGGGAGTAGTCCTCTTGCCCCTCCCTGGGCATGCAGGGGTGGGGGCCCTGCCCCCTCTGGGATTTATAGGCAAAGGTTAAAATCAGGTGTGGTAGATAAAAAATAAGCTTGCCCCCATCTGCAAAGGGGTGTTATTCTCCTTAAAAAGTATTTGAAAAATTTTCTTCCCGCTTCACGCCAATTATTTTAACTCAGTATTTCCCTTTCATAAAAAATTGTCCCCCCCTTACTTGATAAACAATTATAGCTTTATGCATTGTGCACGTGTTTGGCATGTCCTACCGCAACCCCCATGAAGGCCAGGGGAAGATTACATTAGGAGAGGAGGGGTGGAGGAGAATAAAGATGACAGAGGAATAATGGTAGTCTTCAGGAGACTACTCAGGACTTCAGAAAGCAGCAGAACTATACAGAGGGATACATTTTAATCCTTTGATCGGGACTACAGTCGGCTACCAAGGGGAGTAGTCTTCAGGAGACTACTCAGTTCAGAGAGTAATACAGAACCATACAAAGGGATATATTAAATTATATAGTCCTTAAATCGGGACTACAATGAGCTACATAGTGGACATGTAGTTGACTTAATAAAAATAACAGCATTTTTAAGGCCAAGGGAGGGAGGGGGGACAAAAATCGCCGAGGTGATGGGGGATAACTTGCCTCCCCCTGGCTAAAACCCAGTAAATACGTCTGTCTCTAACCCCAATTAAAACAAATCCCAAAACATTGACAATTTGGTCAGTGGGACCGATGAAACTGTAGAATAAGAAGACGACATTTAAGCAAGCTTGTGTAATTTTATGTTCTTATATAGCAATATGTTTTACCAGTCGCTGGAAAATCAATTTCTGAAGTTAAATGGAAACTGCATAATTGCGGATTTATATATATAACTTGAGTCTAAAAGTCTTTCTATTCCCAAGTTTTATGGGAANTAAAACTAGAATCTGATATTGTATCATGATTAAACTAGAACCTGATATTGTATCATGGTTAAACTAGAACCTGATATTGTATCAAGATTAAACTAGAACCTGATATTTTATCATGATTAAACTAGAACCTGATATTGTATCATGGATAAGATAAACCTCAAGGATTCCTGCTTCACAGTCCCTGAACAAACAAATTAAGTTTTTATAATACAGGGTGTCCCAATTAACATGGGAATTAAGTGACGACTTTTATATCGTATTCGATCCATGCGGAATTGTTTCATGAGTACAATTGTTGCAACATTCCAGTTAAAACATCGAAATCGCTTTAGCTTGAGATGTTCAAAATGTGGTATACCATTTTTGAATCTCCATAATTGTATGAGACATTGCAAAATTTGTACAAATTTCAATTTATTTAATAAATCAATTTTGAAGACACATGAAAAGCTCGTTAGACGTACAGCCTCGTTTTCACACTTTCTTTGTAATGCATTAAAAATCAGGAATCAAAAACATCTTTCAAGTCGACGTCTCTCAGTTCCCATGTTTATTGGGACATCCTGTAGATTCGGAAATTTAGATATTAAATATGTAAAATGGCAACGAATCCTTCAATTGTTATTCTTAAAAAATATTTTTAACATACTTGTAGTGGACGGATAGGGTCTTGTTCCAAGGTTTACTGATATCCTGGAGCAACCCGTTGGTTCCTTTCGTTCTACTTATCAGCTGGTTCTAGAGTAGATTATATTTGTAATTATTCTGTATAAAAGGGTGGACAATATTGCGACTTCAGGATTGTTAAGTTTTTATTTGATAAGTTTAACTTACTCCTGATCCTACGATTAAGCTCCAGCCACCAGATCTACCCGGAGAGTATCTATCCTTACACTCGTCATGGTTTAGGATCTCAAGAGAAATTAAGATTTCGGAGATACCCTTGCCGCGAGATGTCTGGTTCACATTCAGTCTGAACAATTAATATCAAATAGACAGGGTGTCTTTGTGTTAAGGCTTTTTGCCTACTAAACATCGTTGTATTATGTTAACAGTGCTCCTAGTAGGTCCAATCCCTGTAAATGGGTGGGTAGTCGATGAAAAATGCCATTTTCACCTTCAAAATTATGTCTAATATTCGAAAATGTACTTGCACAGAGGTCGGAATTAATAAATAGCGAGAAGCAGATGGACTAGGGATGGCATGGTTGAACTTCTTTTCCTTTGCACTTGAAGGCACGCTAGAGATGTAAAGTTCAACTTGCATTTCCTTGTTTAATTACAAGGTTAACTCAGGAGGCTTTTCTTCGGGTTTAATCTTAATTTTCTCTGTATCAGAATCTAGCTTTTTGTCTTGGACAGATTTTAAAAATTTGTCTCTCAGCACTGTCTTTGATAATGTGTCACATGTACTAGTTTACAAACAAGAATACAGACATTATGTACCAAAAAGAGTGTACACTGTACAGTGTACAGCGTAAAGAAAGGGTTGTATGCGAACATACAGTAATATACAGTGTGCAGTGTACGTACAGTGTAAAGTAAGGATTGTAAATACATAAATGGATTTGATCATTGAACAGTGTACAATGTACATGTATATGTATACTGTGTATGCTGTAAAATAAAGAAAATATATATGTATATTGTAAAGTAAAAATTATATATATGTATATTGTATACTGAACCGTGGACCTGTAACGAGGCATATTTAGCGCAAAGTTGCGAACACTGTTCCCAAACGGAGGAGTCTTGCTACAGGCTATCTCAATATCACGTGGGTTAGCTGCGGCTAGAACGGAGAAGGAAGTGAACCCTGCAGCTACCAGATGATTTGACAGGATCAAACCTAAACATAAACTACATCCTTGATAATTCTTTCCTTACTTCTCTTTATTAGTTTCAAACTGAAATCAACTGATCCTCTCCATTTATTTTATCTACCTTTTTCTATATTCTATCCATCTGTTTTATCCTTGTATTTACCAATTCTATCCATCTGTTTTATCCTTGTATTTAACCAGAGAACCAGAGAACCAGCGAACCAGAGAACCAGAGAACCAGTGAACCAGAGAACCAGAGAACCAGAGAACCAGAGAACCAGAGAACCAGAGAACTAGAGAACTAAAGAGCGTTGATTCTAATTTTTAAAACTGTTTAGATCAGTGTGAATTAGGCCATTTAACAAATAAACGATTAAGTTATAATTAGAAAGAGTGGAGTGCAGATTTAGGATTTAAACAGAGGGACAGATAGGATAAATAAACAGATAGATAAAAAGATAGATAAACTGACATGGAGATAGATATATAGATGGATAGACAGATATCTAGACAGATAGCTAGACATATAGCTAAACATATAGCTAGACATATAGCTAGACAAATAGCTAGACAGATAGCTAGACAGATAACTAGACAGATAGCTAGACAGATAGCTAGACAGATAGCTAGACAGATAACTAGACAGATAGCTAGACAGATAGACAGATAGATAATGAACACTTCTGGAACATATTCTCAAAAGAACACTTCTGGGATCTCGAAAATTATGAATGAATTTTTATTGTCAATTGAAACATTAATCAATCTAATATTATTTAAAATTCAGAAAATAAGTTAAACTAACTTCATTTTGACGAGAATTTATTTTTTGAAATTTTCATGAAAAATTTGCTGAGATGAGTGAAAATAAAAAAAACCGGTGTATTTCCAGGATAAAAATCCGTACAATCCGTACAATTTGAAAAAAAATCCGTACAATCCGTACATTCCGTACAATTTTAGGGTTACAAAATAAAAAATCCGTACAATCCGTACATTTTGGCCACCCTGCCTATTCTATCCATCTGTTTTATCCTTGTATTTACCTATTCTATCCATCTGTTTTAACCTTGTATTTACCAATTCTATCCATCTGTTTATCCTTGTGTTTACCTATTCTATCCATCTGTTTTATCCTTGTATTTACCTATTCTATCCATCTGGTTTAACCTTGCATTTACCTATTATATCCATCTGATTTGACCATGTATTTACCTATTCTATCCATCTGTTTTAACCTTGTATTTACCTATTCTATCCATCTGTTTTAACCTTGTATTTACCTATTCTATCCATCTGGTTTAACCTTGCATTTACCTATTATATCCATCTGATTTGACCATGTATTTACCTATTCTATCCATCTGTTTTAACCTTGTATTTACCTATTCTATCCATCTGTTTTAACCTTGTATTTACCTATTATATCCATTTGTTTTGACCTTGTATTTACCTATTATATCCATCTGTTTTGACCTTGTATTTACCTATTATATCCATTTGTTTTGACCTTGTATTTACCTATTCTATCCATCTGTTTTGCTACATGAACTGTATTCTCCCAAACCCCCGAGGTCAAGCTCTAAAAAACAATCAAATCTATAAAAAAAAACCTGGAGACTGCATGGAAAGGTTTTAAAATATTGTTTTATTAAGAATAGTCGTCATAATTTTCGTGTAATAACATAGGGTTACCGACAAATGAGACTTCAGGTCGTCAACATTAATTTTTTGTGGTTAACTATACAATTTGAATGTAATTAACATGCTTTACTAAAGTCTAAAAATGTTGTTATTCCAGGAATTCAGCCAAGTAAATCTTAGTAGTAAATCTTAGTAGTAGTAAGTAAATCTTAGTAGTTCGTTCAAATTTTATTGGAAATCTTTGATCTCTGAACTGTACTTAATACCTTGTTAAGTATGAGAACACTTTTAACAATCTGAAAACAATTCTGTAATCTCCTAAAATAGAATAAAAAGTACATAATGCATTCAGTATAAATGATAAAGAAATGACAGCTAGATATCCGTCCTGCTATCTAAACTCTATCTAAATGTTGATAAACCAGCTAGATATCCGTCCTGCTAGCTAAACTCTATCTAACTGTTGATAACACAACTAGATATGTCCTGATAGCTACACTCTAACCTACTGTTGATAAAAAATTAGATATCCGTCCTGTTAGCTAAACTCTAACCTTCTGCTGATAGTGAACTCCAATAAACAACTTGATATCCGTCCTGCAAGCTAACCTCTAACCTACTCTTGATAATAAACTCCAAAAAACAGCTTGATATCCGTCCTGCTAACTAAACTCTAACCTACTGTTGATAATAAACTCCAAAAAACAGCTTGATATCCGTCCTGCTAGCTAAACTCTAACCTACTGTTGATAATGAACTCCAGTAAACAGCTTGATATCCGTCCGACTAGCTAAACTCTAACCGTCCGCTGATAATAAACTAACAGCTTGATATCCGTCCTGCTAACTAAACTCTAACCTACTGTTGATAATAAACTCCAATAAACAGCTTGATATCCGTCCTGCAAGCTGAACTAGTCGATGAGCCTCCAGGTTCAATCCAGGCTCAGAGATAGCAACCACACCAAGCATCGACTTAATTAATAATAGTTAGTTTAAAACAAGTTGATGAAAAAGTAGATTTACTGACAGAACATAAAAAAATCTAAGTTCAAAATCAAACAACAGGTTTTTGTGCATTATACAAGGCTAACCAAAAAGGATGAGACTTCAGAGACGACTGTACGGAATCAATATAATCCCTTTTACTCTATTCATAGTCTCCTGGAAGTAATTTTGTTTCTTTCTCAGTTAAATTAGACAGTTAATCCATTTAAAACTATTTGCCAAGGCACAAACGCAAATTCAAATGTTAGCCACATCTATCAACATTTCTACAATCTACATCAATAAATATATTTTTTTAAATACCTGAATAAGAACATTGACTTTCATTGCTGGAGTTTTTACTTTTCCTTCTAACTTGAACCTAATCTTTGCTTCCTTCCCTGAATTCAGACTGTTGAGTATCTTCTTCTCTCCTGTTCTTAGGATAACATCGGAGAACTCTTTACTTTCAGTAATCTTCTCTAGAACCTGCAGGATAGATTCGTCTCCGGTTAGAGTTGTCAAGTTTCGCATTGTCTCAAACCCAAGATAAAACCTTACAAAAATATTTTTTTTTATTTGGTAAAAAGGTTTTTAAAAAGTTGGCTAGATATTATTTTTAATATTGTGGAAAATGATTTTTTTTTTGAGTAAAAATGACATTAAAAGAATAAAAAATCTTTAAAAATAAACTTTCATAGAGCAAAAAATAATTTCTCAATTTAAACTTTTTAGTAAATGTTTATGTAAGGCAAACTATTGAATCTTCAGAGAAATATATCTAAAATATGACTAATCCTCGCGTTTATATAATTTTCGAAATGGATTAAGAACATTTTTTAGTTTCGATGTGCTAATTGCTCAAAGTCCTAAAAAAAGCAGTTTTCATGTAACAAAATGTTCCGAACCTTGACATGAGTCTACCGATTGAGGTTCCGTTAATATCTCCGGAGTCGGAGAGAGTTATAAGTTCAGCTCCAGCTAGATCATTTAGAGCCTAAAAATAGTGTGAAAAGTTATCAGGATTTAAACATTAAAGTTTGAGAGGAGTAATCAGTTCCGTACGCGTACTCTTAAAGGAACTGACCAATTGCCTCAAACTATAATTTTCTGATCCTTATTTCTTTTCAACCTTATGTGTTAAAGCTTCGATTGTTCGAACGTTTACTATTTAATCTAGCATAAATCATAGTTAAAATATCAAATCTTTACGACATCAGGATAAAGTTAAAAAACAGAAGTAATCATTATCTTTACCTATATCATTAACAGATAAAGGAACAGAATACTCGCTGAAAACTATAACTTTCTAATCCTTATTTCTTTGTAATCTGATGGTGTAAACCTTTGATATTTCAAACATTGGCTATTTGAGTTCAGAGTATGAAATATCAAAGGTCTGCGATATCAGGTTTCAAAGATGTAAGGATTATAACATTCGAGTTCGAGGTGAGTTTCCTTAATTTCCTCTTATTACAAGAATTTATCTGTATATTCTTTACAGAAGATATGAGAATAAGCTAAATGATGATGTCCTTAAGATTTCCAAACTATAATTTTCTCTGAAACCTGAAGCAAAGACTGCGTCCTGTATCTACCCTGTATACCTGGAGACACATTTGATAAAGTTGATCCTCCAGTTCAAACTCAATTAGATTTGGAGCCAGAGAATATCTGAACCAAACCTGGGTGTAAAACCGTGCATACTGCATATCAAGAAAATCATGCACTTTTGAAAACTTGCGTTTTTGATACTTCAGTTTTTTTTTTAAACTAAAAAAATAGGTGGAGACGAGGGGTTTCGTAACATCTTAATTTTCTCTACCGTAGTATTATTTACTGTAAATTTAAACAACATAAACGATATTTTTCACATCAACGTAGTATTTTTGGTAGAATCATAACGCAATTAATAATTTGTGTAAAATCAAGACGCAAACAATATTTTTTTGTAAACTCAAGACAAACAATATTTTATTGTAAACTCAAGACAAAAATCAATATTTTTGGTTCTGAATTCCAGGTTTCCTTGTGGGATTTTTCTTCACCCGGATGTAGAGAAAAGAAGATTTAAGCCAGGTCACAGCTTCACCCACCGTCTTTATAGTTCCTGGACATAAAAATATTTAGTTTCTCTACATAATAAATATATAGTTCTTGTACATAATAAATATATATATATAGTTCTTGCACAGAACAAATGCATATTTCCTGTTCATACCAAACATATAGTTTCTGTACATAACACATATAAAGTTTCTGTACATAATGCATATATATAGTTCTTGCACAGAACAAATGCATATTTCCTGTTCATACCAAATATATAGTTTCTGCACATAACAAATAAAAAGTTTCTGTACATAATTAATACATAGTTATTGTACAGAACAAATATATATTTCCTGTTTATTCTAAATACATAGTTTCTGTACATAACAAATATTTAAATAGTTGTTTCTATGCATATAATAATTAGTTTAAGAAAATAGCAAATAAATTGACTCAACTCCTTTTTAGACTCTTTATTGTCCGAAAAACTGCTTGACTATCACATATTCTTCGAGTCTGACTAACCTTACAAGACTATAATCATAGGATTAGAATTAAATGCATTCTGTAACTCTATACTTTAATTATAAATTGCTTAGGAAACCTGCTTTCCATGTAAACTGAAGTTTTTCTATAAAAATCAACTTGAAAGAATTTTAATAACATTCTCCTAGTTCTGCCGAGTTGCCCAATCAAAATATGAGTCAAATCGGTCCAGGGGATCAGGAGTTCTTATATATACAGGGTAAGTCAAAAAAAAAGTATGATTTGCGGCGCCTGGTACAAAATTGTACCTTTTTTGTGCAACTCTCCTGAATGGTGTTTTTTCAATATTTTTTGAAAATCTGTATTTTTTTGGTACTCCAATGGCCAAAAAGAAAATCCGCGAACCTTTTTTTCTTTCAAAATCAAAAGTTCAGAAATGCAAAAATGTGTATATAAATTATTTCTATCGAAATCTAAAATTTTAAAAAGATTGAATCACAGAATCTCAGAAAATTTGCAAAATCGTGATTAGAAAATTCACAATTTTCAGTTCTGGTCTAATTTTTACGGAAAGATTGTTTTTCAATTGTTTTTAAGGTTTCAACTGAACAGCGTATATTTAATACTTTAGAATATACTAAGAAGAAAGGCACTAGAGAATTTGAATAACTTTTCATTAAAACTTATACCAGAACTAAAAATTGCCAATTTTCTTTGATTCTTTGATTCAATTTTTAAAATTTTTTGTTTTTCTAAACTTTTGATTTTGAGAGATTTTCTTTTGAAAAAACACCATACAGGAGAGTTGCACAAAAAAGGTACAATTTTGCACCAGGCGCCGCAAATCACACTTTTTTTGGACTCGTATTTTTAACATAGATGACTTTTAAACCAACATAATTATAAAACAAGGTTCTATAGCGAAACAAAAATTCAGATTCGTACACGTCTGAGGTTTCACCCTCTTTAAGCTTTGCTATACAAAGAATGAGACTTTTCAGTCTTACTTCACACAGTTGTTTAATAACATTAATGTATATTAATTACATCATGATATTCAATAAATTCTAGCACGTCTCTGAATTCTCATCCTTTACAGATAACCAGGATAACCCTTCAATAATATCGGAGAATAAATTATTGCTCCGAACCTAGAATAATCTCGGCATTGAGATGTTGATGAAGATGTTTCTGAAGGTTGGATTCAACAAGCTGGGTTCCACCGATTAATCGTTCATAATGCCGCTTCATACTCTCCTCTGTCATAATAACAACGGTGGCGGTATCACAGAACTGAGGTCTACCCGCCCTACCCGCCATCTGGAGAACTTGACTCTCACTGTACTCCCGCCAACCGCCCTGAAAAAGAGAAATAATCCAATTAATATAGTAATATGACAAAGGAGTTTACATCCAATCTATTTTTGAATCATGTAGATATATCATGAACCAATAGTATTCACTCTGATAGATTGAATAAAAGCTAACAATCACAACCCTGATCAAGCTCTAGAGTACTGTTCTACCTTATTCATCTGCTGTGTAGACTTAATAACTACAAGATATGCTGGAAGATTAACCCCTTGAGCTAGAGTACTGTTATACCTTATTCATCTGCTGTGTAGACTAAATAACTACAAGATAAGCTGGAAGATTAACCCCTAGAGCTAGAGTACTGTTCTACCTTATTCATCTGCTGTGTAGACTTAATGACTACAAGATAAGCTGGAAGATTAACCCCTAGAGCCAGAGTACTGGTGCAGGTAAGAACTACAAGACAGTTCTGGGTGAACAGGTTCTCCACAATACGCCGGTCACCAGGACTCAATCCGGCCTTAAACATTAACATGATTTTATATAATCTCCAATTGAAAAGTTGTTTGCCCGATTCACAACAGTGCTTTTTATACCATTCTTTATCAAACAACAAAAAGAAAATTATGGTATTTTTTTTAAATCTTTAAATTTGATTATTTCTGTTAATTTCCTTCTCTTTCTCTTCATATGTAAGCAAGTAATTTTATAGAGAACCCAACACAAACCTAAAAATTATCAATTTTTAGATCAAAAACAAGAATATCTCTGTCAATTATTCGGGCAAATAACATTTTCAATTGTAGAGTCCATGAGAGCAAAGCAGTTATTATCATCAAACTAGAATTAACAGTGTTGTCCAAGATCACAGGTATTCTGAATTTAGTCAACCTCCTCCATATCTTTCAAAGTGCCGGAGATTTTAATAAGTTTACGATGATTTGAGATCAAGCAATTATTTCTTGGTGTATTTTTTGAAGTTAAATAGCAATTTGAAATTTTAGAAATTATAAAGAAACTAAAAAATACCGAAAGTGACTTTTAAATCATGTCTTTTTTATTTTACGAGTCCCCCTTTATAAACATTAAATAATACGAATTAGATCGAGGTTGCATAACTTCTTATAATGGAAACCTACATGATGATATCCGATCCCGAACTCTACCACGAGGTTTCTTAGCTTAGGATCAGATATGGAGCTGGACTGAGAGAGTACTTTAGTCTTGGTTGGGACATCAAACCTTGCTTTGAACTCCTGCAAAACAAAAATAAAATAATATGTGTTTAAAAAAACTTTATATAAGAATTATGAGGATTAGAAGGATACAAAAAGTAAGGTTAGTAGAAAGGTTAAGAAAAACTTAAAACAGCTCGATGAACAGAAATGAAAGAAAGGAAAAGGAAATTGAGGCAAATAAAGTGAAGGAGGAATGCGCCAAAAAAAATGGCGGGAAACAAAATAATAAACATAAAAGATGAATAATAATCAATATTAAGGAAAAATATTAATTATTTGTTGGTTGAACCTGAGATAGCACTGTAGCTGTGTGTACAGTTGCCTTCCTACTGTTGCAGAATACAAGACTAGGTTTATAGTTCCCGTATTCCTCCAGGATAGGTCGGAGTCTGTAGGACAGATTCATCTCAAACCTAAACTCAGACTGCCCGGAGTAGAACGGGTAACCTGAGATAAAAAACGTAGATATATTTTGAATCTTACGGGTAATTTTAGACAATAGTTTATAAATTATCATTTTTATTTAAAGACGAGATAGACACTCTATTTTTAAACTTCTCAAATACTATTCTTCTGAAAATTTTTAATACTTCTTGTAAAATTTAAAATTTCATAAAAGCATTTAAACACAACCCTTTTGTGTCCTAAAAATGCTTTCTTTGAAATCAAGAACCATCCTTTTATAATTCCTATAAAACCAAGCGCAACCACTTTGAAACCAAGAGAAAACCCTAGAATAATCCCATTAAAACCAAGAATAAAACCAAAGATAATCCTTAAAAATTAGAAAATATTCTTGTAAAACTTATGATTGTAAATTATCCAACTGGTTTATAGAAATGCATGTGCTTAATGCTTATTGTGAACTCTGTAATCAACACCCAAGATCACAATTACTATATCAAAAAGGCGAAAAAACAACAATTTTTCCAAATTCTTAAGATTTTACCTATAACTACCCGGTTAAGTTTGACTGGCCTTGAATCCTCGTTAAACTTGAAGAATACAGCTGACCGACCTCCCAGCCATATAGATACATCATCAACATTAGGGAAGGTGGCCGACACAGCTATAAACCTGGCAGGACACTTGATAGCTTTCAGACGACTAACAATAGCTTCCAACACGTGACCTCTACAACATCAGCTCTATCAACCAACAGGCAAATTGAAAACTTTCAAAAATTTCAAAAACCAAAATAAGCTAATAAAAAAATAATCCGCGAATTTTGTAGAACTGATTCCTGTCTTCATCATTGATAAGATGAACCTCGTCCACCAGGAAGAGCTGGATGGATTTAATTAAAGATTGGTTTCCACGGAACCTTCGGCTCACAGCATCCCACTTCTAAACAGGATATAGAGGAACAAACTTTTCACATAATTTATATCTTTGCAACCTGATGTTTTAAAATATGAATTATGCTAAATCAAATAGTGAAAATTTGAAAAATAAATGGTACACACAATCAAGGTTGCAAAGATATAAAGGGAATAATAATAAAATAAATTTCTTATCTTTTCTAATATTTGATGTCATAGACCTTTGAAATTTTAAACTATGAATAAATAATCAAATACTAAAAGTTTAAGATAATATGTTTCACTTTCAAATAAGAAACTGTTAGTTATTGTTAGTTATTAGTGAGAGTTTGTGAATTTAATAATTCAATAATAAGTTTTAATTTCAATGTTCTTATATTATTCTATTTAGTTGTTTACCTCCGGGGTAGAGACAATAATTTCACTTCTTTCAATTCCTTCAATCTCCTAGAAATACCATAGTTTATCCCGATAAGAGTTAAACAGAGGGAGAAGGGGAAAGATTTTGTTTACATTTTGATGTGTTATATTAGGAATTAGAACTGGGCAGGGCAAGAGAGCCGCGCCATAATGTTTAACAAATATTGTTTGTTTACGATAAAACTGTTTTTATATGTCACATTAAAATATAAACAACCTGTAAACTATTTTTTATCTAATTAATTAATGCTTAACTGAATTCAGTATCCGAAGATAAAAGTGACTCAAATCATATAATCTATTTTAGATTTAATAGTGATAAATTAATTGCCATGTTTCTAATTAGAGTAAACGAAATGAATAATATGTTTTAAAGTTTCTAATTTACTGAAACACCGGACTTTATGAATCTCTGCGAAAATATTATAATAAAACAGAATATTTTCCAGTTTGACTAATGTTAAAGGATCTAGAAATCAAGATAATGAAAAAAGAACGAAAGACAAAGTTATTTCAGGATTTGAGGTGCACGTGGTTTTAAACCCTGTGCGTAATACTTTCGAGCGGAGAAGATAGGTATTTCTTGAATATTCCTTGAACGATCCTTTAAAACCGGATTTTAAAGAAACAGAGATGGAATTTAAAGAATTTGAGCCACGGTTTAAATCCGCCAAAACCGAGATGGAATTTAATGAATTTAAGCCGCGTCTCAAATCACCCAAAAACCGGTTTAAATTAAGCACCGGCTTAAATCTTGAAAAACCTGATACAATTTTAAGTGGAATCAACCATATTTGAGCCTCGGTTTAAATTTAAGCCGCCGCTTAAATTCTTTAAATTCGGCCTTGAGATTACGCTTTTTAAATGGGCTGTAAGCGTATAAATTTCAAGTGACCCAGCAAGCAAAAAATGGCAATGTCTAATTCGTAACGATACACTATAAAACTTAGTTTGAACAAGTTTGAACTAGATATTAACATTTATAATTTAGAGAACAGATTATTCTCAATTGTGGTTTCTCTACATAAGTGACTTGCGCATTTCTACTACAGGAAAACAAGAATGATCGGAATTGAGCACGTTAAAAAGAACATATCTTACAATGTTGATCAAATTAAAGTTTCAAGGATTCTTACAATATTGATCAAATTAAAGTTTCAAGGGTTCTTACATTATTGATCAAATTAAAGTTTCAAGGGTTCATAGAATATTGATCAAATTAAAGTTTCAAGGGTTCTTACATTATTGATCAAATTAAAGTTTCCCCTTGAAACTTAGAATTCTTAGAATATTGATCAAATTAAAGTTTCAAGGGTTCTTATAATATTGATTAAATTAAAGTTTCAAGAGTTCTTACAATATTGATCAAATTAAAGTTTCAAGGGTTCTTAGAATATTGATCAAATTGAAGTTTCAAGGGTTCTTACAATATTGATCAAATTAAAGTTTCAAGGGTTCTTATAATATTGATCAAATTAAAGTTTCAAGGGTTCTTATAATATTGATCAAACTAAAGTTTCAAGGGTTCTTACAATATTGATCAAATTAAAGTTTCAAGGGTACCATTGTAAATCGTGCATTGTCATCGTAACACTGAGACTCACTTAAAATTAAGCTTACAGGCCCTTTTGAAAAAGAAAAAAATTATAATTTTACCTCGCCAGTCTGATCTCCGGTTAGTTCCAGAATCCGCAAATTCAACTAAAGATTAGAAACAAGATTATAAACATACTTGTACATAGTTCAGGAGTATATATAGGATAATCAGGGTTCCTGCAACAAGTTTGTTTTATTTAAATCTTCCAACCCTGTCCTGAATATTCTTATTTTGAGCTTCTAATTTGTTGAGATGCTAAATTTAATTTCATATTTCTAGGTACAAAAATAAATGTGGGACAAAGACTGAACAATACGACACAATTATCATAACATACTGGAGAAGGGAATTCAGTCTTAAACACAACCCCTGATTTTCTAATCCCTGTTTATTTGCAACCAAATGTCAAAGACCTTAGATATTTAAAACTTAGAGTTCTGGTAGATCAAATAGTCTAAGTTTGAATTATCAAAGGTTTACGCCATCAGGTTGCAAAGACATAGGGATTAGAAAATTTGAGTTTGTGACAAAGACTTAATTCCTTAGTTAAAACATATAGGTATATTTTTAAACCTGAGCTAGTTTTTTTCTCCAATCCAAAACCCTCTCCGTACACAGTGCTTTCACTGGAGCTATATATACAATCTTCCATCCAACCCCACCACCTTCTCCTTCTCCTCTTCCTAGCTTGGAGTTGAGTAGTCTGGCAATAGCAAGCTCAAATACACCAGTCTTACCAGATCCAGTAGGAGCAGCAACCACTACACTCCTGTACAATTATCCTATTGCATGCTGTTTATTTTACAATGGAAACAGAAAACGGGAGAGTTCTAGTCGTCTAGAAAGATACAAGAGCCTACGTATATTTGTTTACAATTATAAGTATATAGTGCAGTTTGTGCTTTGTTTATGTTCCTCCCAAAAACTGCAGTACAGTTTTTTTGTAAACTTCCTCTCATATAATCACCACATAATATTTCTTCTAAATAAAATGTAGAAAAAAGTCCTGAAATGTTCCTAACCTAACCATCGAGCTAAATGGAGAGGTCGCGCGGGAACCATGCTTCCAGTTTTTATATTGATGATACTTTTCTCTTATGTGCTTTTTAATAAAGAAATTAACTTAAGTGCCCGAAGTTCCCTCTGGAATTTTAAGAACACTATGAAAAAAAATCTAATTTTGAAGATTCAAAATTTAGAACTTTTTAGCCTACATTGCCCCAATGGGTTTCCTCAAAAAATTCAGCCAATTTGGTCCAACAGTAAGCCAAGCTTTAGCTAACATAAATAAATATGAGCGAAAAGCTTTATTATAAAGATAGATTACATATTTTACTTAAAGGTGGCCAGCCCGACCTAACAAAGTTTTATAAAAGATCCCATTTTTTACAATAAAGAAAACTTAGGCAAGTTTTAAAAAGGATTTTTTTTTGGGGGGAGGATTCAAAATTATTGAGTATTTATTTTTTTTGTTATTGTTTTAGGAAATTAACTACATGCACAAGAAAACTAATGTCAAACAGGATTAAATTGTAAATTTTTTCTCAAGAAGCTCAGGATGGCCATCCTAGGTAGGAATGTCTGGGTTATTAAAGATTTAAAATCTTAAATCCTGGCTAGTATGGTTAAATATAAATTGCTGAGGGCTTTTGACACTGACTTTGGTTGAGTGGATCTACAGGACAATCTAAGATGAAATCTTGGATCAACAATGGTTGGAATACCTAAACCTTCAGTTTCAAGAATAAATTCTGTGCCTATGCATTTTTATGAATATATAATTTACACAAAAAAATAACCATGTCCAACCTATCATATTTTTTAAATTGGTTATTTAGAACTGAATACTCCCCTGTCAGAGTAGAAAACATCATCCAGAACCTCAGATTGGACTTTGTTAAAACTGGAGAGGGATGAGAAGAGAATCCGTCCTGGCTCAGGGATCTCAGAAACCTGTCTCAATCCAGGCTCCGGAGCTGGGATATATTCAGGAACAGGAGCAGAGGGAGGTTCCGGGTTAGGATTGACCAGCTCTTCTGGGTTACGGCGAAGTTGACCCCGGAAGTTATTTAGTTGATCTCTAACTTCCGGTCTAAAATTGAATTTTGTTTCAACAATGGTTCGTGAGATTAAAATAATACAGAAAATTATTCTTTTGATATTTCAATAATTAAAGGAACTGTAAGCGCAATTTCCAGTGACCATCCATGCTCGTTTTAAAACAAGTATAAATTAGATATCCATGTCTTTGTTTGTTTAAAGTAATTATTTTTATTTGTGGTTTCTCTACATCAGGGACTTACGTATTTTTTGCTTATGAGAAACTTAATGCACGAATTTACAAGAATAAACATTTTTCGAGTCAGAAAAACGACGTTGTCTCGCACATTTTTGAACAGTCAAAGGTTTCAAGGGCCCCGTTGTAAATCGGGCATTGTCATCTTTACATAGAGGGTACCTAAAATTAGGCTTTCAGTTCCTTTTAAGATTACTTATTTCAAATATTTATTTATAATTTCATTCATCAGTAGGTTTGAGGCGAACTACGCTATGTATCTATTTACATTTTCATTCATCAGTAGGTTTGAGGCGAACTACGCTATATATTTATTTACAATTTCATTCATCAGTAGGTTTGAGGCAAACTACGCTATACATTTATTTACGGAAATTTCATTCATCAGTTGGTTTGAGGCAAACTACGCTATACATTTATTTACGGAAATTTCATTCATCAGTTGGTTTGAGGCGAACTACGCTATATATTTATTTACGGCAATTTAATTCATCAGTTGGTTTGAGGCGAACTACGCTATATATTTATTAACGGCAATTTTATTCATCAGTTGGTTTCAGGCGAACTACGCTTACTGCACCTTGAAGGAAGAATTATAATTAATACTAATCTAAACACCTTATGGCACCATCAGGCTTCTTAAATAACTCTTTCTTGCTCTCTAAACACTCCTCTTCGGAACGGGTTGAAACAAATTCTCTGGATTTCTGAGGAGCTTGAGGTTCATCGAGGTTTCGTCCCTGCATTGATGGTGTTCTCTCCATAGTCCAACCAGAAGGGTTTGTTCCCTGATTTGGTTCAAAATAGGATCTATATCCATGTGCTGGTGTTCTAGTGGTGTGGTACTCTAGGTGTGGGGTGTAGCTAGGAGCTAAAGTGTGCTCAGTTATCTGACTAAGAGATGCATCCGAGTAAGAGTAGTATCCAGTATCAGAAGTTATCCCTGAAAAACTGGCGAAATGTCCATCCGAGTCAGGTTTAGGACCTGGAACTCTATCCATACACGGAGCTATGTCTGGTTCAGGTTTAGAGAAAGAGTTGAACACAGGACCGGAATCAACCTGCACACTTGACGAGTACCCATTGAATGCATTGGTTCTAAAACCCGAATCAACTAATTGATGATCTAAACGAACTATTAAAATTCAAAATTTATTAACATTTCTGAATAAAAACAGTAAACTCAAAGCCCAGAATTAAACCAAAGGTGCATTATGTTTTAATAATTTCCTGAACTAGTCCTGTAGCCACATGAGTAGGGTTGGTTGTTTCCTGGAGAATTAAAGAATGTTCCGTCCTCCAAAAATCCAGAATCAATATTGTCAATTTCTGACCCTGTTTCTGAACCATCCTGATCCATCAGACTCGACAATCCAAAACTGATTCCGGAGTCGTCAATCCTTCTATGTGCGTTTGGTTTGGTTGGATAGCTCAGACACCCAGCATTACTCTGGGTAGGTGTATAGGAACTAGTAGCACCAAGCTTCCAATTGGTTTCAAATTGTTTCCTGTCCTTATATTCCTGGGTGTAGTAAACCCTAGATTGGTCAGTTCCAGTCTGCATCTCAGGTTTAGGCTTTATCTTCAGATTTAGCCTTACTTGCGCATTTTTATCTAAACTCCTAATAAAACAAAGCTTGGTAAAAACATAAAGACACGAATATATACAAGATTATCCTGAAGATTACAAAAAAATTCATGAAACAGTTTGTCGAATAAATAAATATTATAGTTTTGTATTGAATATTTCTTTTCTCATATTGGCTTCTGATGCGAGTTTTATGAGAGCAGTCTTTCTGGTTCTAGTCTTTACAGTTATTATACATGGTGTCCCATATATTAGATCGTGAATATGCTTTATATTGCGATTTTCGGGAGTACTCAGACATTTCAAAAATAAGGAATCATTTAACAAATTTGTTAAAGAAAAATATAAATGTTTATATTGAGAAAATGTAAAATTTATGATTATTCCGGCGTTAAAGCTTATGATATTCCCCATATGATACGGGACACATAAATATGAATCCAGGAAGGATATGATTAATACCCAACACGCAAATGTTACCCTCGGCATTCAACTCCGAAACCAAGTACAACTTGAGGGGAAGGGAATGGAAACCCGAATCTAAATGCTGTTCAGCTTTTACAGTGTATATATCATATACGACTGTATCACGGAATACTGAGAAACCAACTAAATTTACAAAATTCGATCAACTCCATCTCATCTCACAAGGAAAAAAATCGATTCTTCCAAGTTTTACAAGTAGAGAATGAGTTTAACATTATCATTAAAAAGCTTCCAGCTTTAGTTTTGGTACTAGATGGTACAATTATATTTGGATTTATTTAGGCTACTGCACTTTCAGTTTAAAAAATCTAAAATTCTAAAATTTGATTGCGTACGCAAAATTTGAAGGAGAAATAAAACAGAGAATAGATGGAGAATGTAAAAATAATATTTTATTTCTGACTTCTATTATCACAGAAACAAAGCACTACTTGATGACTACTTCTTCTCCTTTTTATCTTCCTCATCCTATCAGCAGGTTCATTTCAATTGTCTTTATATCTTAACGAGCTCCAGGATTAAAGATCTAACCCCCCCCCTTCCGTATCCCCGTATAGTGTGTTGGAATTCATGCGTGTCCTTTAAAATTCTTTTTTTCGTAAAACCTGAAATTAACTTAAAACATCTTTTTTTGACTTCGTAAGTGTTAAGATTGAAAATATTTAAAAATTATGAAATCTAATTTGAAATGTAACATTCCTCATCTTCATCCTCTACATCATCTTCATCATATTCATCATCTTCATCATCATAATCCTCATCATCATCATCGGAATTATCCAAATAGTATCCTCCGAACTCTCCCTTATCGGACTCGTCATATCCTCCATATCCACTGAAACCTCCAGCACCTCCTTCCTCATCATCATCATCATCATCCTCTCCCGGTCCTCGACCTCCGTAGGTTTGTTGTTGTCGACCAAATTTATGGGCTCTTGTTGACATCGACATGGCCTTCGTCTCGGCAGTGTCGTAGCCACACTATTTATAAAAAGGAATTGAGTCTTTGGAACAAAATCAAATATTTAAACCTCAATAACTTTAAAACCCGATATTGTAAACCTTTGATTTTTCAAACTCAGATTATTTGATTTAACAAAATTCATAGTTTGAAATATCTAATGTCTGCAACATTTGGTTCCAAAGATATAGTGATTAGAAAATCAGAGTTTGTGGCAAAAACTCAATTCCTTTGTTTAAAACTTTATCTATTCACATTTCACAATCTGTTATAATCAGGCGTTTGTCTCAAACAGGGTAAATTTAGAATTTAACAAAAATAAATGATAAAGTTTAGGTAATTATATCAGAAATGATTTTGAAAAATTCACATTTGTCATTAGATTTTCTACAAGTTAATTTGATAATTATATGAAAGAATATAAATTTGTNTATGTTTATGTTTATGTTTATTTAAAAATGTCAAATAATACCTTAGGACAGGGAAGGATTTGATTCTTCTCATATTTAACTCCTTTTCTCCGAACATGATCCTCACTAGGAATATAAATATATTTCAAAATAATTAATGAATTATGGGGGGGGAGGGTGATTTTTGGTATTCAGATGTTATCTTGTTTACTTCAAATTAGGGTGGCTCGTTAAACCTGCTCTAAACTATATAGCTATGAAAACAGACGAGCCTTCCATTTTATATTTTAATTAAATCTTAAAATTCATTATTTACACACATATTTATATATAGAAGAGACAAGTAAGTTTAATGAAAAAGAAAAACCATTATCTCAAAGCTTATTTTGTCACCTTTAATGAAATAAATATGATTATCTAAATATTATCCAACATGTGAACAAAAAGTTTAAATCTATCCAGTCTTATAAAGTCACATCCTTGTTATTTATCTTCATCCATCCTTTCATCCTCAACCCTATCCCCGTCCTGCAATTAACACATATTGGAATATTCTTCTCTTCTCAAATATACTCTGACAAAATATTGAATAACTCTTTAATAGATAGTGGTGTTAAAGTTTATAGTGAAAAAACACATATTTAATAAATAAATAAATAAATAAAAACTGATTGATGTATTGTATATTTGTAAATGTTTCTATTTTTTCTACGTATTTGTACTTTAAAGGATTTTAATCAGAAATTGTGTTTATGAGTTTGGTAATGAATGAAAACGGGAAGGGGTTGGGAACATAATCTCTTACTTGTATCTAGTGCAAGCTGTAGTTGGTGTAAGGAAATCGGGGGAAACTGTTTGACCGCATGTATTCCGTAGTTGTAAGATCTCTCGAAAGTAGTTTTCCTCTGTATCGGAGTACTTCCACTTTCATATCCTAGAGGAGCGAAGTGCATCTTCTGACGCGCACTCGACCCCCATCCGCGCTCTTTCCCCTTCTGTCCATACGCACGCTTCCTGTTATGTTTCGTTCCAGGTAACTGTTGAATATTGGACTGTGAGATCCGAGGAACCTCGCGAAGAAATTGAAGAGCTTTCTCTCGAACTCCGTTCGACATTTTTCTGCAATCCATCATAGATACAGATAATACAGATCACATCAAATAGTAAAATTGTAACAAATAAACCTCTTAAATACATAATTTGTAATTTTCGATTAAATAATTCATAAATTTTGTCGGTTTCAGATCAAAAATGTTTGATTCAAGAAATCAATTACATTAATTAAGGATATTATATGTTAGAACCACAATGAGAAAACACTAAGCTCGGTTAAATAATGTACATTGTAAGTAAAATATTCATAAATATATATCATCACTGGTAAGATAAATTTAAATGCATTTCTATCAGTAGAATTTAGAACGACTTTTATAAATCTGTAAGGTTCTGAAAGAGAATAATTTAAAAAAATAAGTGGAGAAACAGAAAAAGGAACAAAGAATAAAAAGAGGGAAAGATTAATTTAGGATAATAATAGTATCTGAGAAAAAAGGGTTTAAGAATGAAAGTAATGTTGAGCATCATTTTTTATTCTTTTTCAAAATATTTCAGCTCTTTGACTTTGATGTGGTTTCAGATAAAAACAACGACGCCAAGTAAATCTCAAAATTTTATAATTTTTGCTTTAATTATACTGAGCCTTTTACTCTTGACAGAAAATGTTAAGTCTGATAGAAGACAAAACAATAAGTTCCTTAAAGTTATGTTCTCTTGAAACCGGAACAAAAAAACGTGCCCAACACTATGGAAAGGGTGACATTTTAAAAGAATGAGATGTTATAAAGAACCAAATCAGAATTGAGGAACAAGGATCAAAGTATCAATATAATATAACTAGAAAAAATCTCCAACATTTCAAGATTGTTTCTGTCCTTCCTCTTGAATCTCACGCCGAACCTTGACAAAATATTGTTGGAACATGCTAATAATAATTTAATACTTCAATGTTTTCAATATTATTTATAACACTGCCAAAACAAGAAAAGTAAAAAGTTAGCCATGCAGCTATAAAAAACCATGCTATTTGACGATCCTGAACTAATTGGTTAATCCTACGCAAATGGACGAACATTGTTAACTAAATGTGGTAACTTACCAGAAGCAAACCTTGCAACGGAGACAACTGTACTGTCCGTGTCTGTTGCAACTTTGACATTTCAAATTCTCAGCTTCGACAACCTACACAAACAAATGAAAATGGGGTGTTGCAACTAATACTATTTAAGTTCTCAGCTTAAACATGATGCAAAACGGATTAAATCATCAAAAAAGAAATCCCTAATGAACTTGCTTTATTTTTACAATTCAAATATTTTTATCCGATTTGAAGTTTTCCAAAAACAATTAGGAAATGCTGATTGTGATCTGAAATATAATTCATAGTATCGCGTAGTACAGTACAGTACAGTAAAGTACAAATCAGATCTGAAATACAATTCATAGTATCGCGTAGTACAGTTCAGTACAGTATAGTACAGTACAGATCTGAGTATCGCCTCAACAATTTTTATCAATTAAAGAAAATACTCACAATCCGAGGTATGTATTTTTCCTGAGGTGAATTTTAGGACAAGTAAAAACGCTGAAAATTTTATTCCTAATTTCATTTTTTCTCCAAACTTTCCCCTCCCCCTTCACACAATAAAAAATGTACACCCATTAGATATCATAGGTGTACATTTTTTTTTTGGGGGGGGGGGTAAATTCTAGAACAAGGATTGGTTCTAAAATGTGAAATGTTTACCTGACAGCTGGCCTGGTGCTCGAATTGATCATCTTCGCACAGGAAATTAACACAGAAACTGCACTGGAAGATCCTAGACGAGAGGATATTTAATTTGATTGAGATAAACTAATTTAAAATGACTAAGCATTAGTTCGTGTGACCCTCCATGCAGTGGCAATTTCCGATTTAAACGGTACCCTTAAAACCTTTGTCTGATCAAGTATTAACTAGAATATCTTTTTAAGATCTAAATATTTATTTTATGCTAATCCATTTAAAGATTTCAACAGGTTTACATTACATTACAAGATATAGCATTAAATTTTCATCATTTTCATAATTTCCCTCAATCTTAAATCTAGTTCCGCCTTTGTAGGTCTTCGTTCAGGCTCAGGAACAGGCACAGGATTAGGTTCAGGTTCAGGGTGAGGATGAGGTTCAGTTTCAGGTTCAGCTTCAGACTCAGAATCAGGGTTTGAGTCATGATAGGGTTCAATTTCATACTCGGAGCTTTTTATGTCTATTTTCCCCGTCCAGCTGAGGAATAGGAGATGATACTAGAGATTGAGAGCGTGTCTTTCTCATCTTATGGGAGGTTAAATTTGAGGTTTCTTCAATACTTGGCGGTATCACAGAAACTATCTTAAGGGCCTTGAACCCTTCCATGGACTGGGGGCCTCTCATGGACCTCTCCTCAGACTGCGGGACTCTCAGGGGCCTCTCCTCGGACTGGGAGTTTCTTGTGGACCTCTCCTCGGACTGGGGGGCTCTCTCCTTGGACTGGGGGGTTCTCAGGGACTTATCTTCGGACTGGGAGTTTCTAGTAGTCCTCTCCTTGAACTGGTAGTTTATAATGGACCTCTCCTCGGACTGGGGGGTTCTCAGGGACTTCTCCTCGGACTGTGGGGCTCTCATGGACCTCTCCTCGGACTGGGGGGCTCTCATGGATATCTCCTCGAACTGGGTGGTAACATGGTGGTTTGGTTTATCACCTGTTCTCCTCCTTATCCTTATTCTTCTTCTCTTTCGGGTCCTCAAGGACCAGGGAGCTTGCAATTTTGAGAAGTTAAAGTACTCGATACCTCCTCTGAACCACAGTTTTAGCTCCACCTCTACACCAGCTTGTAAACACTCCCTATATAAGCCCAGAACTTGATGAGTAAAACTCATTGTGGAGTATGTTTTAACGATAGGTTTGGTTTATATCGTCCCATAGCAACAGCTGTAGAAGCCTGCTTGGGAACAGTGGATCTGGTTTAGGAGATGTATAGAGGTGTTATTGACGGCAGCAGGTTATGAGAGAGACTGAATTTCAATGTTTAATACTTTTTAAAAATTATTATTTTTCATTGTGGTTTCTCTACAAAGGCAACTTGCGAATTTCTACTTTGAGGAAAACATATAAGATTTATTTAAATTAATTATTTTTAAACCTATAAAAGTGTATAAATATCCTCCACATTATAGATCAGATAAAGGTTTCAAGGGTACTGTTGTAAATCAGGCATTGCCATCTTTGCATGGAGGCTCACATGAAATTACGCGTAAAGCCCCTGCAACCTAGAATGCAACAGTATTTGGTAAGTAAAGTGTGTGTGTGTATACCCGGTGCTTTGCGAAAAATAAAATAATATGGGGTTTATGCTTTCTCAAATAAGCTATCCATCTGTAACTAATCTGCATAACTAACTTTAATTATAAATACTATGGAATCAGTTGCCTTTATTGAGCATTTCTCAAGAGTAAGTTTTATTTGAATATGAACTCGATCTCAGACAGCTGGGAGATTAGATCAATTTCACTGTAAAAAAACGAGTCGAGTAAGTTTTATTTGAATATGAATTCGATCTCAGAAAGCTGGGAGATTAGATCAATTTCACTGTAAAAGAACGAGTCGAGTAAGTTTTATTTGAATATGAATTCGATCTCAGACAGCTGGGAGTTTAGATCAATTTTTCTGTAAAAAACCGAGTCGAGTTAATAATTGCACTATTTTAAAAATTGGGAATCAACTGGCAAACTTTTCCACCAGCTTATTGATACTTGAAATCCAAAAATTCATTGATTCAGCGAATAAACCCGTAAAATAAAAACACATGACCATCAGAGACTCGAGAGCAAAATTAAATTAAATTAAAAAATTACTTTCTTCGAGAAAATATATATCCCTGAAATGAACTGTAAAAAATGTCTACCTTCCACCGTGATCCCAGACTCCTCGCTCACACTCAATACACTCAGCATCCCTGCAGATACAGGAACAAGCATGGCTTTGAAGACACTTTCGACCATGGCACACCCAAGCTTCACTAAAGGAGAAAGGATAAAAATGACCATGTGATAACGCCCCAGACCGCAAGCTGGAGAGAGGACACCAATGTCAATGCACCCGAATCCCAAATCATCGGATCTGACCGTAGCCCCCCCCCCGTAGCTTTACCAGCCGTGGGAGCTAGGATGAGACTTGGATTAAATGTTCTTGCAGTTTTTTTAATCAAACGATCAGAGGCCGTAATTCAAGAATTTAAACCACCAAGTTGGTTCCACTGAAAATCGTAATAAATGTTTCAAGATTTAAGCTGGCGACATTAATTTAAACCGGTTTTGGGGGATTTCAGACACGACTCAACTTCATTAAATTCAGAATCGGGCTGTTTTTGACATTAATTTCTCGGCAGCAAGTATTGAACTTCAAAACTTGTAAATTATAAATCTAAAAATTTGTTTAATGATAAAAACTTTGAACTTACCAGAAATCACAAACTGCACCTACCATCTGCATACCAGTAACATACTGTCCTGATTTAAAGAAATTTATGTTTATGTTTATGTTTATGTTTATGTTTATGTTTATGTTTATGTTTATGTTTATGTTTATGTTTATGTTTATGTTTATGTTTATGTTTGTTTCCCGTAAAAATAATTTATTTTTCCTAAACTCTCCACAAAAACATATTTTACATACTGCAAAATAAAAAAAAACAATTATTTTTAAAGTTACAAAACTTTTAAAGAAAATATAAACCTCGTCCAGTGCAATACTCCAGACATATTCAAATGTACCGGATGAAGTACGAGTACCATAAAGTGAAGAGTAGTGTACCTGCATGTTTTATTATACAATCTCCAGTCTTCATCATACATTTCTGCTTTCCACACTCGGCACAGCACGGTAACCGTTGTACAGCCTGTACATTTACATATATTTACATATATGCATTATTGGGTAACCGTTAAAATCCAGTACATAATTAATCCAAAAAAAACCAGAAAAAAACCCATTGCACATTAAAAAAAAACTTTACTGTTTTGAAGCCTGCAAGTGCACTGCACAGTGTACAGTGAACAAACTAAAAACTACACAAACTTTTAGGTTTAGTAAAAAATTTTAAATACAGATAATGCATGATGCCAATTGCTGGTTTAGGGATCAATAAAAAAGTTAATAATTATTAAAGATTAAACCTGACAGAAGTAGCAGAAAGCTCTATTTTTCTGTCTTCTCTGACATCTGTCGCACTCCATGTTGAAGTTGGCTGGTAGACTGACGATCTCCCTCGTATCCTACCAATATATCCAGGTTCAACCAACAGCAAAGTTCACATTGACAAGAGACGATTAATATTAAGAGGGTTTAAGATAACTCCAAAGGACTGTAAAGCGTACAAGTTTATTAACTCTATTAAAAAAGTAGTATTTTAGATCCACAAAATTACAATTTTCAACCATTTTCTAAGAAATGATAAAGCTTAATTTTCAGTTATATGGGACGTTTTCTTCCTCGATCAGGGAAAATCTTAGCAGTTATCTTGCTCCTCTTTGGGATAGTTAAGCGAGTGCTAGTATATGCTAGACACTAATTTTCAGTTTTCAGATAAAAAGAGGAATATATTATCCCCAACCAGAATTTAGGATCCAGATTCGTTGGATCCGCAACATTTTGACTTGCTGAATCCGGATTCGTTGGATCCGCAACATTTTGGCTTGCTAAATCCGGATTCGTTAAATCCGCAACATTTTGGCTTCCTGAATCCGGATTCGTTGGATCCGTAACATTTTGACTTGCTGTATTCGGATTCGTTAAATCCGCAACATTTTGGCTTCCTGAATCCGGATTCGCAAAAAGATTGAACAAGATTCCTTTTTTGTTGCGATCACTTTCTGTCTGGCTTTCTGCTTCTCCGCCTTCTTCCTCGCCCCCGTCTTCTTCTTCGGCATTTTTCTGCAATAAAACTAGGACTAGGAGAAGGATTATGTTGAATACACTTTGTTTAAATCAGATTTGTTTGGTTTAAAAATGGTTCTATCCTGGAGACTGATTAACCAACCAGGCTCCAATCCGTAGAATATTTGTCTGGGATCCTAGAACAATGCAACTTTTTGTTTTTTTAGTCTTATATAGAGTTTGTTAAAAGGTTTGGTCTGCGATTTGTAAAATTTGTCCTATAAATAAAGCATCAAAACTTACTAACCTGTGTTTTTGCTATATTTTAAAATTTCATACAAGATAAATAATATTAATCGTCAGAAATTATCTTAAAGCTAATTAATTACAATTTGTTGATAATATTTTTTGGAAAACCAATGAGTAAAAGTTGCAGTTTTCCTTGTTAAATTTGAATAGTTCTTCGTCCTGTGTCTCCGGTAAAGTATATCCATATTTCTGCGCAAGAACCTGTTTATCCTCCTGAACCTGATCAGGGTGAGCTAAATATCCTCGGTTCCGTGCATTCATATAGAAGTGAAGAAGATTTCCCGGTGGGGTGAGACGCCGCGGGATTGGAACTCCGCTCTTGAAGAATTTAATCGGGGAAGAGAGGGCCATTACGCTGTGAAGATCGTAGTAGGCGGTTGTGATTTTACCGCCGTTTCTTTCAACCGCCGCTATCGCCTGTTCGTTGGCCCACTGGACCTCGATATGTACTTTAGCCTTGAAAAGATCCATTCCGTCGCTGGTAAGGTTAAACCCGAACTGGTTTGCCGCGGGATTAACAAAAAAGACACCAGTTCCACAAAGAGCTGCCATATCAATAGGTTTGGAACTATCCAACCGATCTAAACACAGAATATTATTCTATACATTTCAGATGATAACGATCTTTTACTTAGTCCCCACCTCATATCTGATCATCAACTTAATTCTTTCATTCAACATGCAAACTCGTGATTGAATAACTCTTTAATAGATAGTGGTGTTAAAGTTTATAGTGAAAAAATTGGTAAGATAAATTTAAATGCATTTCTATCAGTAGAATTTAGAACGACTTTTATAAATCTGTAAGGTTCTGAAAGAGAATAATTTTAAAAAATAAGTGGAGAAACAGAAAAAGGAACAAAGAATAAAAAGAGGGAAAGATTAATTTAGGATAATAATAGTATCTGAGAAAAAAGGGTTTAAGAATGAAAGTAATGTTGAGCATCATTTTTTATTCTTTTTCAAAATATTTCAGCTCTTTGACTTTGATGTGGTTTCAGATAAAAACAACGACGCCAAGTAAATCTCAAAATTTTATAATTTTTGCTTTAATTATACTGAGCCTTTTACTCTTGACAGAAAATGTTAAGTCTGATAGAAGACAAAACAATAAGTTCCTTAAAGTTATGTTCTCTTGAAACCGGAACAAAAAAACGTGCCCAACACTATGGAAAGGGTGACATTTTATAAGAATGAGATGTTATAAAGAACCAAATCAGAATTGAGGAACAAGGATCAAAGTATCAATATAATATAACTAGAAAAAATCTCCAACATTTCAAGATTGTTTCTGTCCTTCCTCTTGAATCTCACGCCGAACCTTGACAAAATATTGTTGGAACATGCTAATAATAATTTAATACTTCAATGTTTTCAATATTATTTATAACACTGCCAAAACAAGAAAAGTAAAAAGTTAGCCATGCAGCTATAAAAAACCATGCTATTTGTCGCATCATTTTTAGGTGACTCATGAAGAGTAGCATTTTCCTACGTAATATTATATTAAATTTTTTTTTGTACTTTGAAAATTAAGTACTGGTTTCTAACCTGTCTACTATCCGCTAGTAGTTATCTAACCTGTCTACTATCCGCTAGTAGTTCTCTAACCTGTCTACTATCCGCTAGTAGTTCTCTAACCTGTCTACTATCCGCTAGTAGTTCTCTAACCTGTCTACAATCCGCTAGTAGTTCTCTAACCTGTCTACTATCCGCTAGTAGTTCTCTAACCTGTCTACTATCCGCTAGTAGTTCTCTAACCTGTATCCGCTAGTAGTTCTCTAACCTGTCTACTATCCGCTAGTAGTTCTCTAAGCTGTGAATGGATAGCATCGTTCTTCTCCTCTAAAGAATCCAGAACCTTGTCAAGATCGTCCAACTGCCTGTCCAACGCCTAAATATTAGATTTTTCTAAATATCAATTTATTGTTTGCCTTGTATACTTGACATTGGTCCTTATTTTAAAAATAAAAATTCAAATATTTTTAGTTTTTGATAGCAAGTTTTCTTTTTACTTATCAAAAAATACTATCTCGCAAAAAAAGGAAAATTTTATTTAAAACCAGAGAAATGTTCAAATTCTTTTAATTACTTTAATAATCGAATAAAAAATTTTATTCTTCTTAAGAAGAATAATAATATAGCTCTGAAACATATATTAGGATACTTACATTAAACTCAGAAAATAATATAGCTCTGAAACATATATTAGGCTACTTACATTAAACTCGGAAAATAATATAGCTCTGAAACATATATTAGGATACTTACATTAAACTCGGAAAATAATATAGCTCTGAAACATATATTAGGCTACTTACATTAAACTCAGAAAATATTTTCTCCTCGTCTAGTTCAGCCAGATCAGAATCATATTCATCATTCTCCTCATCTCCTACTTCATCTTCATCCATCCTTTCATCCTCAACCCTATCCCCGTCCTGCAATTAACACATATTGGAATATTCTTCTCTTCTCAAATATACTCTGACAAAATAAAAGCTGATAAATGAATGAAAAGATGATTTATGAATTAAACCTGATTGTGAAGGAAAAGATGATTAATGATTGATGAATTTAACCTGATTTATGAAAGAAAAGATGATTAATGATTGATGAATTTAACCTGATTTATGAAAGAAAAGATAATTAATGATTGATGAATTTAACCTGATTTATGAAAGAAAAGATTGATTAATAAATAGAAGTTAATAAATGAATGAACATAAAAGAATTAAAGCTGATTAATGAATGAAAGCTGTTTAGTAAATGAAAGCTAATAATGAATAAAAAGCTGATAAATGAATAAAAAGATGATAAATGAATGAAAAGCTGATAAATAATAAATGAATGAAAAGCTGATAAATAATTAATGAACGAAAAGCTGTTAAATGAATGAAAAGATGATAAATGAATGAAAAGCTGATAAATGAATGAAATGATAAATGAATGCAAGCTGATAAAAAAATGCAAAGCTGATAAATGAATGAAAAACTGATAAATAAATGAAAAACTGATAAATGAATGAAAAGCTGATAAATGAATGAAAAGATGATAAATGAATGAAAAAATGATAAAAAAATGAAAAGATGATAAATGAATGAAAAGATGATAAATGAATGAAAAGATGATAAATGAATGAAAAGATAATAAAAGGATGAAAAGATGATAAATGAATGAAAATCTGATAAATGAATGAAATGATAAATGAATGCAAGCTGATAAATGAATGAAAAGCTGATAAATGAATGAAAAACTGATAAATAAATGAAAAACTGATAAATGAATGAAAAGCTGATAAATGAATAAAAAGATGATAAATGAATGCAAGCTTATAAATGAATGAAAAGATGATAAATGAATGAAAAGATGATCAATAAATGAAAAGATGATAAATGAATAAAAAGATGATAAATGAATGAAAAGCTGATAAATGATTAATGAACGAAAAGCTGTTAAATGAATGAAAAGATGAAAAATGAATGAAAAGATGATAAAAGAATGAAAAGATGATAAATGAATGAAAAGATGATAAAAGAATGAAAAGATGATAAATGAATAAAAAGATGATAAATGAATGAAAAGCTGATAAATAAATGAAAAGCTGTTATATCAATGAAAAGCTGATAAATGAATGAAAAGCTGATAAATGAATGAAAAGCTGATAAATCAATGAAAAGCTGATAAATGAATGCAAGGTGATAAATGAATGAAAAGATGATAAATGAATGAAAAGCTGATAATTAAAAGCTGATAAATGAATGAAAAGCTGATAAATGAATGAAAAGCTGATAAAAGAATGAAAAGCTGATAAATACACCTGCGGATGAGTATCCTCTTGTCTTGGTGGCTCCTCTGAAAACATTATTGTCTGGAACTAGGGATTAAAATTTTTAAATTTAATTTGGTTCAGATTAATTCAAATTCACAATTTTTACATTTGGGACTAAAAATTGAATATTCATCACATTTAGTATTTATTTTAACTATAATTTCGAGATTTAAAGCAATAGAAATGTGTTAAATATTCTTAAACGATCTTTGCTGTTGGTGATTGGAAGAATGCCTCGCTTCAACTTAAAACTAAATAAATCGTTAATTTGCTAGCACACAATCTCATATTATCCTAACAATAGACATGATTAGAAATAAAAAAAAAATCAGATAAAACTTTTTTGTTTTGAAGATTAGTCCTGAAATAAATGGTTCGAGCACAGTGCTACATGACAAGGTCCCGACAAATTAGTTTTTCTTGTTAGAGTTGCTTGATTTTGTTTAACTGAGCAGGGATTTCTTGAATCGTGGATGACATTGACCACGATTTTTTGAAAATCTACAGATAAATTTAATTTTTATTCGATATTACGTGAATAGTATATATAGTCTGTGGAGAACGAAGAGCAAATTGGAAGTTAAGGAATTTTGCGCTCAACTAATGAGAGACCATAGAAATTGAGGATATTCAAAACCAAGGAGATTCTGCGTAAAATTCGAAAGTGTCCAATGATCAAGGGATCAAGATGATGGGTATACAACACAAAATGTTCTAGTTAAAGTTATTTTTAAATTTAATAAAAAAAAACTTACGTCATAAAATTATTTTTCCCGTATTTTTTGTGTGTTGATACTTAGGTTTGAATAGAAATTTGCTAATATAAGGGCAAAATTTGACGATACAACGCTTCTGAGATTATATAGGACTAAAATTCCAAAAAAGGACTGCTTCTGAGAAATTAATTGAGACGCAGTATGCTTTTCAATAACAATTATAAAAACAAAAAATTTATAAAAACGAAAACTCTTAAGAGTGTAGTGTTAATTTAACTGAAAAATACATTTTACGTTTAAGATCTGCTCAAAATTTAACGCTTAAGAAACATGATGACCGACGACCGTTCGAAAACCGGCTCAATATTCAACGTTCCTGAAGCTTCTTAAAAACGGTATGAAACTGCTAAATAATGATGTTTCTGGAAATCTAGCGTTTTTAAGTTAAGTGATAAATCGTTCATCGTTAAAAACAACACATTATCCGCGTGTATAAGATTAAAAAACGTAAAAAATTGAGCAGACTTTAATCGTTTTTGGAAATTTCAGTTTTGGAAAATTGGAACGTTTAGAAACTGTAGATTCATCAACAGTTCACGCTAATATTTTAGTATTTAAGGTTTGGAAAACGGCACCGTGTAAACATTTAAAAACAGAAAAGTACGTTATTTTCTATTAAAAAATTACAACGCCGCTGAGTTAACGAAACTGTATTATGAAAAAAAAACTTTGTACAATAACTTTAGGGCACTGATAACTAATTTTAAATGATAAATATCCTTAATTTACAAGAATTTAGAAAATATCTATATCCGTTTCATACAAATAAAACAGCGGTAAGTTCCTTGAAAAGTTTGAGATTTAAAAGATTTGGACATTTAATTTCCATTTTCAAATGTTTTTTACTAATTTTGGTTTAATACGCATTTCCTGGACGCGAAAACATGATAATTTGAGTAACATTTTTGAAATAAGGAAAGGATCCGGGGTAGATGTGATTTAAAACTGGGATACAGAATCTAAATTATTGAATCCAAAAAAACAAATAAACTGACCCTTATAGTCTAGAGATCACAATTGGAATATTAGCGAATTGAAAATATCTCAGCCTTATTTCAAGGAGACTAATTGCTTAAGAAGGTCGAAGTTTAACTAAATTATAAATTGAAGACTTAACTCTCAGCGGTATAAACTTGGAACTTTGTCTAGGATATGAAAAGAATATGAATTCATATAAAATACCTTAAACTATACATATATGTATATATATTACTGACTGAATCTTTGTGTACCACAGAATCAATTCTAACAAAAAACACTTTGTATTATCCAATATAACGGATATATATACAAACATTGAACAGGGAAGAAAGCAGAAAATGTTTAATTAAATCTTGATCGTTTAGAAGTCGGGGAGTCCATATTCTCATCTCTGGAGGGAGAGGATGGAGCAGGTCGTTTATACCTCTCCATTCCCTCCAGTCTGCTCAGCTCCAGCATATCCTGGAGACTGGGAAGAGGAGCTGGAGCTCTGGTTTCTGCTCCTCTGAAGCTGAGTCCTGTCTCGAAGCTAGACTCAAGAGGGGAAACTGATTGTCCAGGAGAACATTGAACCAGAAATGAGAGAAGTTCCTCACGTCTAAACATACAGGTTTGGATAAAAGAGAAGAGTTGGGAAAATTCTAAGTTTGATTCATCCAGCCCTGGTGTATTACCTGATAAACCGTCTTTTAGATTTAGCCCAAGTAAGTATATCCCTCCTAGATCTATGATATCCTAGTTTCCTATTAACTTCACCAATCAACTTCTGCTCCTCCAAACTATCCCTGATATAAGAGATAATTAATTTATGTCGGATTCATTATTCTAATACAATCTTGCAAGTTAATTTTTCATTAACGTAGGCGCTAGTTTCACTTTACTTGATATTGAGACCAAACAAAAATACCTAGAAGAAATAATTCTCAACTTTTCAAGAGTAAATGTTAAAGGATAAATTTTCTGTTAATTCACACATGAACAAATAATTGGCCTCCTTATTAATTTAAATAAATCCCACTTTTCAAACCCTAATCAAATATAAGATTTATCTGAAAGTGAACCCACAGAGGATTACTGTGCACCAGGGTTGATTAAAAAATATTTCATTTGACATATTTTTGAAAAAAAAATATTCACAAAAAAATATGAAAAACTAAATATTTTAAATTCATTTTTAATAATGTTTTCATGAGAAGATGCTAAATTTTCAGGGTGGCCAAAACTTTTTTGAACCCATCCGTACAAAAATCCGTACATTTTCAGAAGAAATCCGTACAATCCGCACAATTTTCGAAAAACAATCCGTACAATCCGTACAATTTTTTTTTTTTAAATCCGTACATTTTTTAAAACCAATCCGTACATTTTTTTAAAGATCCGTACATTTTTTTAAAAATCAGCACAATTTTCGAAAAAATACCATTTTTGAAAAAAAAAACATTAAAATTCAATTTTTCATTCATTGTCTTTTGTGTTCAGTTCATGTAAGAGGGTTTAAACTTCTTCAGCAAGAATCAATCTGTAAAAAATTGGCTTCATACATATATACAAACTAAATACTGGGTACATGATACTAGGTGCATGATACTGGATACTGGATACATGATACAGGGTACATGATACAGGATACAGGATAC